AAGCCCAAGTGGATTTGACTGAGGAGGGACAGGGGGTCTTGATCTCTGAGGGTTAGACACTTTAATGAGAAGTGGTAACAAAGGCTGAGGGAGGATTTATCTCTCGAGGGAGACCTGTCAGCATAATGGTAGGTGATAGATATGCGCGAGTGGCTTTACACATAGGGAGACATGAGCGCTGACTCTAGGGAGGCAATCTATTAAAGCCTAGTGGCTGCCTGTAGAGCAGTGGATTTGATTGAGGGTAGAAGGGTGCTTCTTGATTTTGCGAGAGGCTGGTTTGTTGAAGTTCAGTAACCAGGGATGAGTAGACTTTTTGCAAAGAGGTCGACAAGTCCCAAAAGCTGTGCTGAGTTTTTCAATTTTGTTATGCCCGAGCATGGTGACTTCTTCAAATGGAATAGGCACAAAGCACGCAAGGTGGGAGTCTATGGGCCAAACTTGTTGTAACCCCTATGGCTGAGTTATTGTGATAATCTGACAGAGGTTCTGTCTGCTGGCGAGTCCCTAAGGTTGTTCACACAGAGAGAAAGCAAGGATTAAGACAAAGGGGTGAAGCTCAGTTGCAAGCTATCGAAAAACTGCAGATACAGCCCAGAGTACGTAGGATTATATACCCCTAAGTACGAGTACCATAACAGCTGCGACAGATGTGTCACGATGTGTATCCACAGTGATCAACAGGATAATCAATGAAATAGAGAGGAGTCATACAGTGTCAACGATGGGGGTAGGGAAGCAACGAAGGCTATACCAGCTGGCGCAATCAATGCACAGTGAGGAGCCAGACACCAGAGCTATAGTACAACATCTGAGCAATATACATGAGTCAACGGAACAAGGGAGAAACATGTCATCCATCAGAGAGGGTAGTGGAGTACTGGATCACAGCGGCAGCACAGTTTCAACTGGTATTGGAAATACTTTGACAGTTGGAGATCCAAAAGTCCCCTGGAGCATTCGAGCCCCTAAGACAGCAACGACAACCAGAGATGTGATGAGGCATGTGACACATGTGACCACAAGAAGTCGAAAAAGGCAATGCCCCTGGTAGAGGTGTAACACTTCTACAGGCACATTTCAGCATCTGTTCACAAGACAATTTCATCAAATTCAATGGGCAATTCTCTTTTTCCAAGTTTTATTATCAAATTATTGACTTTATCATCAACAATGAAGACAAGGCTTGGGTGGAAGAGCTGTTCTCTCATTACAACAGGTATGTAAGGGGCTCTTGTGGAGTGCATACTGACACAAAGGTATAGAGTATTGTTTAATGATGTTTGTGGCACTGCAGGTGATGATGATGATGATGATGATGATGATGATGATGATGATGATGATGATGATGATGATGATGATGATGATGATGATGATGATGATGATGATGATGATGATGATGATGATGATGATGATGATGATGATGACCTTGCCATCATGAGGTGACAAATTGCTGCACATCTTGCCAGTTTGTCTGGCCTGTCTTCTGGGACTCGCCCTTCTGACAATCATTCACCTACTCAGGTGTCCTTCCCAAATACCCCACAGCCCCCAGCTTCAGAACATCACACAAATGGCTGCAGGCTGTCACCAGGAAGTCCCCTGTCTCCCATCCAGTCACCCGAAAATACAAGTTTTTCATTCAGTCAGCTGTCCTCCTTTTGCTCACCAAAACCTGCTTCAGAAAATGACACAAATGGCCACAGGGTGTCGCCAGGAAGTCCTCCATCTCCAGTCCAGTCTCCCAAAAATACAGGTTCATCATTTAGTTGGCTGTCCCCAGTGCGCTCACCACAGCCTTCTACTTCAGAACTGGAACACTGTGCCCAAAGGCAATCATGAGCAAATCTGGATCCTTCACCTGCAAAGCAGGTGAACAATCTCACTGATCAGATGCCACAACTCAAATGCAAGCACAGTGTGACATTTTCCACTGGCGAACAGAGTAGTCCATTAATGGACTGTGATTCACAGTGGGGTAGGAAGGCTGCCACAAGTAAGCCTTCTAAGATGGCAAAGGAGGGACATGGTGGACACTCCAAGAAGACTAAGGATCAGAGTAAGGTGTGAACCAAGGAAATGATGACAAGGAGATCAAGCTTGTGGGCTTCCAAGAAAAAGTAACTCATGCATGCCTAATCTCATTAAGTTCTGTTGTTTGGTGGTTACCTATTTGAGGCAGCCACCATTGTGTGTTTTATTCATCCACTCATTGCTGTCTCATTCTGCTCTCTCACTTGCACACTTCCTGGCCATTTTACTCTCCAAGTCCCACACTGGCTCTGTATATTAGTATTCTGTGGATTTCTCAAGATGGAACCATCAATCACCAACTAGCAATGTATGCATTCAGATAGCTACAGGTATTGGGATTGTGTGTGGTATGATGGTGTTGTAATGCTATGATCATGATATATGTTGTTGTCATCTGCTATATCATGGAGAGTGAACAGCAACAACGAGCATGTCAATGAAAATGACATCGAAACTCTATTCAACAACAGCATCAACAGGCATTCCTCTGTAGAAGAGCATATTCGTAGATTTTACTACATGACTGCCCTTTATCTACAGCGTCGTTGGTGTCTACATTGAATATATTTATATATATTTGTATCTCGTTTTTCTGCAATTTTGGTGATGCTCTGTGGCGTCGCGAGGCTTTTGTCTCCGGACGAGCGTCTATTAAGCGGCACATTTCCTTTTCCTCCCGTGCCGCAGTGGAGCAGGCACTGTGGGAGGCTACACTCCACCCATTCCAGGGTAAAGGCAAATCCCCTCCGGATATTGTGTGATATCGGACACCAATCCCATCACGGGCGAAGCAACCAAACTGATGTGCGAGAAGGCATCCACCCACGTGACCGTGTCGGGTGACCCTAAACAGGCAGGAAATGAGTGCTGTATGCCCTCGTCGCTCTCACATACATACTGTCCAGTACTGGACAGAAAAAGTGGTTTGCTGATAAGAATGGGGAGGACACAGGCCTAGACTCCTAATTGGGAGTCCTCATACCAAGTCATTAGGCACAGTCCAGAGATGACTGTCACGCACAACCACATAGCTGCAGGCCCAGTCGCGAGGAGAGATGCATGCGAATACAAGCAACCATAGTAGTACGAAGGGGTATCGAGATGGTCACTAACACCTCGTTCGCCGCGCCTCATCGTCGTCCCACCCACCACTTCCCATCTCAAACTTCGTTTTCCGCGCCTCGCAGTCTCATTTTCTGGGATCCCCAGTACTTCAGCACACCCTGCTGTTTCGTCCATGCAGTGAGGCGGTCCCACCAGCCCTCGCAGCTCACGCCCACCCTGCAGGTTACCGCTGCCGTTCTGGGCCGGCAAGCGCTTCGCGCTTGCCCTAATCTCCCTCTCCTTTCACCCCACGAGTTTCTTCCATAGCAATGCTATCTCCCTTCATCCTCGCGAACGAGACCGATATCCAAAGATGAACGGCTCCAACTCCCAAACTCCGAATTTTGGTTCCGAGGCATCCTGGTTATTACCGCATGTACTTACATACTTGCTCTCTGATGAACGCTAAATTCGGCGTCCGTCAAGTGCACTTTACCCATGTTTCGAGGCCAAAATGCAATGGCAGGATTTAAGCCAAAGGCTAACTGAACCCAGTCACCCAGCTGGCCTTCATGGCGAACGTTCAGACTCAGAGTCCGAGCACGCCATGCGAGGTTTGCTGAACCGTAGTCGGATGTCACTTCGCACTTGGGGAGGTTCTCAGCTGGAACTCACCACAGAGGGGTGAACACACTCAAACCGATCACAACGACGACGGAACGTGGACGGGCGTGTGGATTTGAGCAATCGAGCGTATACGCTGATACAAGATGATGGACAGAGAGAGAGAAAGGGAAGAAAGAGATATCTCCCCCGTGGACACAGACAGCACCAGTATATATACCCTCAGAGTCCAAACAGCGCAACACAGGAGGGATCTGCATGCCCGAACGAAAGCGCGATAGGAGGTGTGATAGTGTGACGTGTTAGCATGAGCGATGTCGATAGTGTGAGTGGCGTGTCAGTGGTAAGCGTACGCTTACATCAGCCATAAAAATGGCCTGCTTCTTCGGCCTATGACGTAATTAACACCTGCCTGAAACCCGACGTCGCAATCGCTCCAGAGCGAGGGCAGCATCGTACCATTAGCGCTTTACTGTGGTTGTGCTGTGATTTTCGTGGTTTCCCCCTTGCATGTACAAGCCCGGACGAAAGGAATGAAGTTTTCTATAGGGCTGTACCAATGGTATCGGTATCAACCAGTAGACCGGCTAGGTATTGTCGATCTTGAAGTGTGGGTCTCCCGAAAGCTGGCACAAACTTGGTAAGAAGTTATATTCACCTATCACAGGCCAAGGAGGATTTGGACGATAAGGAACGAGCACCAGGCTAAATGCAATGCAAAGCCACCGCACGCACTATACTATTACCCACCACTGTCCTGGTTTTCCTATTTGGACACCTGCTCGTCGTCCATGAGACCAGTGGTGACCGGTGAATGTCGACACACATTGCATTCGCGAGGGGAGGAAATGAACAACGTTACTAGGGGAATCGCTCACGAGCTACGGACAAGAACCTGCTGATTTTGAAAGCTCCGATTTGCGACATAGGGTGATACCTTCAAGCTCCACAAAATGTTCTGGCAGCACTTTGTACAGCCTACACGCTGACCTAATGAACTTCTCTATGAAACGGGAGCTTTCAATGTGGACGCACAGTAGTTGTTGGTCCTAAAGCCCCAAAAGCCACCGAACGAACACATTGTTTTCTCGAATAGGGGGTTCCAGCAATATCTCCGTGTCCATCCCACGAAGTACCACAGTTTCGAGGCTTTTCCAGTGGTCTGCAGAGACTGTAGTCCATCGATACCTTCGCAGGGACCGAAAGAGGCCGGCACCGCAGATTCTAAGTAAAATTCAGCGCAGCATACATGTAGAGAAGCGCTGCAAAGAGCTAGAGCATCCAAGGCATACATACTGCTAAACATCGTGAGAGACGTGGTTGACACTATTTAACATGTTCCCAAGGCTGCTGCAGGTGGGGAGTGGATTTTCCGAGCCAACAGTGTAGTCGAGAAATTTGAGCTTCGGGGTTGCAATCGCTTTGAAGAAATCATCTGCATCCCCGAGCTTGATTTCCAAGACCTCAAGGACGGGAAAGTGAACACTGTTTGGGTGGAGTAACCTCGGTGGTTTATAACCCGAAAGGGATAATGAGACCAGTGTCAGAACCGGAATGAGTACTGAGTTTTTGAAGTGACGTACCTGCGGAGTCGTTAAACCTGATACAGTCCAGAGCCACAGAATTTCACTGTAAAACACACTAAGCGGTGAACGTAGATTATGATGGAGGATGCTGACCTTCAGTTCCTCGAGAACGGGGACGTTTGTTGCAGAAAGGAAATTAGGAAAAGCTTTGACCTTTAACTCGAACTCGACACGTTTCAGGGATGGAAACTCGATACTACCCAGACGGTCCATAATATACGGCGTGGATCTCTGAGTCTGTGAATAGACGGAGGGACTACGCCAGCGGTTTGCACAAGGAATGAAGAGGTCCAGACCTCTATGAACACATTCGTTCCGCCCGAGTTAAATCCTGATTTGAACCTCTATCAAGCAGCTCCTGGCGACTTCTCTTCAACTGTAGTCTCACTGCAGGGTTCGACTTCTGCGGGCCAACAATCTCTATTGCAGACCAGAAACTCGGATTGGCTTAAACCACACCCTTCCAATACCATGATACACGTACCAGGATCTCCCCCCGCCAAGAGTTGGTCCCAGTGACAGAGACTCTAGAGGGAAACGCTTTTAGATCAGTTCATTGATTCTCTTCCTCTGTACCGCTGCTGCCGCACGGAGTTCGACAAGCTTTTGTTCATTGTCCTCCAAGCAAGCCGGCTCGGCTCGCGCTGAAGCAAGTTCATCCATGATGTGAAATTGATGGCTCTGTTGGCGGGCGTCAGCATGTACCACGAATCCGACGTTCCAACTACGAACAATTGCTGGACTGAAAGTAAAATTACCATAACTTCACAGAGTTCCAATCTTGTAGAACCACGTCTGAACGAGTGTAGGAGTCGAAGGCTTAAGGTTGGGCACGCCTTGATACCTGGGAGGCGGAAGGGTGACTTGAACAACTCGGAGTTCTGTGCTTTGTATGAAGCAGCATTACATAGGGGCCTATAGAAGTTCATGAAGGAACGAGTCAGCATGAAGACTCTGAGATCTGAATCGTGGTTTCGAGGGGTTATCATCCTACCTTCTTGCTCGCTCCTCGATGAACTAGCACACTGGCGTCAGACTGCTACACAGCTCTCCCGGAAGCCACTGTTGTCGTGCGTCAAGTTTACCTTACCAGTGTTCCAGCGCTGAAGTACAACGGTAGCAAATGTTGACCTATAGTAAATGGTGCCTTATCGCTTAGAGCCGTATCACACTACGCGGGTGCTTTGTCGTGGTCATGCTGGATGGATTGATTGTTGACGAACAACGATGAGACGAATACTACCGTCTAGGACACCGTCTAGCGACGGTTTTGAACGATTTGAAACATATTGAGGATACGGAACGAGGACAGCATTAGCATGAAGATCGGAATAGATCCGAAGTACAACAGGGTAGTCATGTATGTGAGCCTCACCCATTCCCGGCGTCCATGCGCAACCATGAGTGAGCACATGTCCGAGAGCAAAGCCAGCAACAAGTCTCGTACCTTGAAATGTCGAGATATTGTCAAGACACACTAACGACGCACGCATCGTACACATTATGATGACGCACTTACAACCCCTTATTGTACATCATAGCTCGACTCTCCCATAGCTTCTGCAACAGGAGCCATCCATAAGCAGACTCACGATCTTTCCGCTCCACCACCATTGCGCCGCAGCCGCGCTAAAACTTTCTTTGCAACGTGCTCTCGTCCTTCTTCAACACTCTCGTACATCTTCAGAAGCTCAAACCGCTCTTTCCCTATAATAATCCACACTTTGAACTTGTTATTCTCTTCCTGCTCTTCGTGAAATGAGGGTTTGCCATGGTCATTGCGAATACAGTATTCTGCACGAGAAATGCAGCATTTCGAGGTCAAGTACGTTATAAGAGTCGTCAAGCGTACGAACCCGTGAGCGCATCTACATGTGACGTCTCCGCCTTGCCGCCAGTATTATTCGTCCGCCCCACCGACACTGTCGGGGTTCTGGTGGCAGTCTGTAAACCTGCAGTGCGCTTGAACCCTCCTTTCGACTCAGATGGCACAGTTGTGGCCTCATCAGGTGTCCGAGTGGGTTTCGATATAGTCTTCCTGCGTGGATCGAGGGTCTTTGCACTTGTTTCACCTGGTCGATGGATGAATAAAAGATTATCTGAATATACATGATCAGTGCACCAACCTTGTCCGCTTGACCGTATCCAACTGCGAACATTTTGACTACATAGTGGGGATATGGGTGATCGAACTTCTCCGGGCTCTAGAGCAGAATCTGCAGACCGAGCGGGGGTTATTGGCATCGCTGCAGTGTTGACAAGTACGGGTGCGGGTACATTGGAATGCCCCAGAGGAATAGCATGCTGGGGAATGACGGGAAAGAGTGGTGATAGGGAGTGCGTCACTAGAGGTTGGATGGAGTTAAGGAGGCCGGGACCTAGAAAGTCATTTGTACCGCCCAAGACGTAGGGACTGGAGTCGAAAGGTATAGATAAGGACGAGGGATCGTTGAACGGAAGCTGGCCGTAATGACAACTGCTAGCAACTCCGTGGAGGGGAGGCCCAGACGGTCGACCCGGTTCACGTACGTTCCCGGGTCCTGTGAAGGGCCAATCTGCTCCGAACTCCTGTGCTCCACTGGCCCCATCAAGTCTGGGAATCCCGTAGCTCTGGTCATAGCTACTACCACCATCGACCTGGTGCTCTTGACCGGGTGTACCTTCATGCCCACTAGGATCCTTGCCACTACCTCGAGGCACATTTCTCTTCTGTTTCTTTGACGGTCTCGTTTCTCTGTCGTCTCGACTGTCTGGTTGGGGTCGTCTCCTTGAAGTATCCCCATCGTGGTTTTGCAATTTGTAGGGACTACAGTAGCCAGGCGGAGGAGGTCGCCCTCGAAAACGAACAAATTCGATGACGCCCTGCTCCGCCGCTAGTGCAATTACAGCCGCCTTTGCGTCGGCCTTACTACCGTATTCGCACGGTGCCATGTACTTTCGTGATTGCTCAGGGATGGACGAAGCAGACAACTTGACAAGCAAAGTGGCTCCAAAAGCTCAAAGGGAAAGGAAAGTCGTGATCACGACAATGTGAGCTAAGTGAGCATTTTACTTACCATCTCGCTCCTTCTCAAATTCGAAATGCGGGTACAAGCCGGGGTCGATCTTGCTGAGTTCCGACTGTAATGTAGGGTGAATGTAATTGTTTGAGAACGAGCGCATCTGCGATGTCAGCTTCGATTCGACGGACGAGACGATGGTCCGAATATATTCGCCAACTCCACAAGACATAGCTTTCAGGCACACGGCTGCTTTCGCATCGGCGCGCTTAGCAAACTCGGCGTCAACAAGATAAGCTCTGTAGGTGCCCGGACGATCAATCCTCAATAGACAACCGTGTACTACAAAAGGATGAGAATGAGCATAGTTATGTACACAAGTGAGCACACTCACATCCAGGGGTAGAACCGGAAATATAATAGGAGACCATGGCGAATTTCGAGCCCTTTGAGTTCCGGATCAGGGAGTTAAGCCAGGCAGTTGCATTAATCTGGTATGCATTGCTTGTATCGAGTGTCTCGGGAAGAGGTCTTGGGAGAGAGTCAAAGAAATTCTGAAGAGTCAATGGGAGTTTGAGGTGGTTCGAACGTTTATTCTTCTCATCCAAGAGTGGGCTTCGAGACTGTCGAGGAGACGGTGGACGGACTTGGCCGTCACCGTGTTTGATAAAGCGTAGCACATCTTCCGTTATAGCAGCTGCAGCACACGCTTCCTTGGCTTCGTCATAGGTGTCAAAGGTTGGCTCAGACATGTAAACGTGGTCAACGTGGGGAGAAAGTTTAACTTGAAGAGCGCAACCGTGTTCTGCGTCATAGTTCGATGAACGATGTGATGGTGAAAGCAAGAACGGGTACTCACTAAGTCCAAACCTTGGCTCGGTTAGTGCAATCCAACGTGGTACGACTCTTCCAGCTCGCCATTGGATACAACAACTCTCGATAACGTCAATGGCCTGAGTTGATGAGCTGCCCCCACTGGATAGCCCGTCGCTAGCAGAAGACGTAGGTGAATTCCTTTTCTCTTTCTGCTCCTCGCTCTCTCCGTACATGAGGAAGTCAAGAGCACCCATCTCGATTGCAATCCTGGAGACCTCCGCTTTGGCTTCGGCCTTCTTCTGAAAAATCGGCTGAGTGGTATAGGAACGTTTCGTGCCATCATGGCGGGCAATCGTCAATATGCATTGTTTGCCTGACAATCGTGAGTGCCAGATAGGGATTCTGCGCTAGTCGAGCGTACTTTTGGGACCATTTTCCTCCAGGAACTCGTATCGGAGAGGATCTGTGTTACCAAAGACACGTTGGCATATCTCGTTTAGACGTGAAACGGCGTTGTGGCGTGCATGTTCTGAAGATCTTGTCGGTGACGTGGGGAGGGACAAAGTGGACGCAGATGGATATAAGGATAGATCAGTGGTAGACGATATCGCAGTACTGGAGTCAGAGTCGTGCAGATATTGATGGAGCGAAAGAGCCCCCAACTCTGTCAATTTCTGAAAGACGGCGTCAAATGTAGCCTGTGATATCTCCAAATCAACACTGTCATAGAACTCCAGTGTTTCAGGTTGCATAGCGAGCCTGTGTAACGCGGGTCAGTGCGGCAGTTCCAAGTGCGGTGAACAGCCACACCCCCAGCCGGTTGATGCCGTTGGCTTCGGAGTTTGCCGATGTGCATCCGCCCAAGGCAACCTATCCTCGAGCTCGCTGTCCGGCACGACGTCAAGCATTCAAGATATCAAGACTATCGTTGTGCTGTAAGTCAGCCTTTTGGCCATATCTGCAGATCTCGATACGCTCTTGTGTGTGGAGGCGTCGCAGACGCTGGATGGCTTGTCTCCCCGAACGATGCTGACTCCTACCAAAGCATCTCAAGTAACACAGCAACAACCTGCCCAGCATGATCATTTCAAAGAAGAACAGGCGCGCTATCTACGAAAACCTCTTCAAGGGTGTGTATATGGTACGGCGACCGCCCGCGATCCCCGCTCTGATATGTATGACGCAGAGGGTGTCCTTGTGGCCAAGAAGGATTACAATGCGCCCAAGCACGAAGACCTTGATGTTCCTAACCTCGAGGTAATCAAGGCCATGCAAAGCTTGACCTCCAAGGGATTGGTCAAGACTCAGTTCTCGTGGCAATACTACTACTACGTCCTCACTCCAGAAGGTGTCGACTATCTCCGTGCATGGTACGTCCGTTGTAGTCATCCGAAGAGAATCGTGAAAAATCTTAAATTTTCCTTACAGGCTACATCTCCCAGATGAGATTGTTCCTGCTACCCACAAGCGGGCTGTCCGTCCTCCCCGTCCTGCCGTTGTGCGCCAAGGTGGCGAGGGTGGTGCATACCGCGCCCCTCGCGGTGATAGGGAAGATTACCGGAGAAAGGAGGGTGGTGCGCCCAGCGAGTTCAGGCCACAGTTTGCAGATGCCGGTCGAGGTGCCCCCAGAGAGTAGAAGTTGATTGCGACCTTGGTTGGATGTCGCTTGGGAGTCCAGCTGCCGAAGTGACTGTCGGGAAACCTCACGCCCGCTTTACTACCCGTTGTGCTGACGGATGACACTGTTGTTTCACGTAGCTCTCAGTACACAAAATATATGGACGACGATTTTGTCCTCCTTGGAAGTTGTGTGGATTCCAGTCGTGTCGGGCTCCAACTTGCTTGGCATTCCCACAGTCGTTCCCCGCAGTACAATACACCGTAGGGTACATACTTTGTTGCCGGTGTAGAATGGGCAGAGCAGTGTAAAATCGCGACGAGCTCAGTCGATAGTGGCTGCCTTAATGACATGCGATTGCGGTGACAAGCGGCAGTGGCGAACTGCCTCGTTGAACAACAACTCCACAGTTGTCGAGACGCACGCAGGGCCAAGCCCAACTGAAACCGTGAAATTCGACTGCCAGCGGCGACAAATTCCCGGACTGGACAAGTCACAGCTGTCCCACTTTCCTTGATCTCTACCCTCACGACCAGCCTCATTGTCAACCCGTTTCCTCGACATGCCGCCCTACGGACACGACCCATACCAGCCCTATAGCCCACATTGCGGCCAGGATGCCAGAGGCGCCTCAAGGACGCCGAGCCCGTCTCCGAGCGAGATTGCGGCACTCAACCAGACTGCCATGTTTGATATCAGACGCATCTTGAACAAGGAGAAAATATTCTCGAAACAATACTTCAGTGTGTTCATTCACCAGGCATCGTTCAGCCCAGCGCTTGCTGATATCTATGGCGCCCAGTTTACTATGTAGTCGCAATCGTCGTTATCGTCGTCGCTCTTCTCATATATATCTACGACAAGCAAATTGTGCATGCGATACAACCCGCAGCCAACTGGATGCATAAGTGAGCGCAGACGTGACGATGCCCCGTCGGGAATGATAGAACTCATCTCATCTCCCCCTTTCATAGCTTGTCCTTTGGCTGGTTGATCCCTATCGCTATATTTTTTGTCATATCCTTCCCTCCGGTTCGATATTCGTTCCTGTCTGCCCAACAACTGCTCTGACTCGTGGATACAGCTGTTTGGACACGAGATACTGGCCATCGTGGTTGGACTCGTTTGGGGAGTCTGGGTTGGATTTGCAATTACTGCAGCAGGAACTTTACTCGGCGAAATCGGTAACTTCTAGTGAGCTTGGTTTCGTCCTGTGTTCTACGTCCCATTGATCTCTTACAGCACCTTCAAATATTTCTTGAAATCATACGCCGACAAAAAGGAAAAGACCAACATCCAATATGCATGCCTTTCGAAGCTAGTTCGAGAAGGCGGATTCAAGATAGCTCTCATTGTAAGATACAGTGCTGTGCCGGGTCATTGTAAGCATTCCGTTGCGCGGACTCGTTTCTTCCGTGATGTGATTCTTGCATTAGTTACGACCGCCATCTTCGCTGTGTGTGGCATGAACATACTCGTCTTCATTGCAGCTGCTATTCTCTCCATGCCGAAGCAATTCATAACGGTTTATATTGGAACCCTTCTGGAGGACGACGCAAACGGTAATGGTAATTACCCTAGGGCGTGCGCTCGCTGACGTCGATTGGGTCGACAGGTTCAACCACTACCCGTGACAAGATACTCAGTTATGTCGTGGCCGCTATCACCACCGTAGTAACTGTGGCAGCGATGTGGTATATTCAGAAGGAAGTGAACAGAGTCAAACCTGACGTTATCTACGAACGTCGAAAGGCCCGGTAGGTGTCTTTCACCACACCACTATCACTCCATATGACCTTCTCTCGCTACAGCCAAGTCAACTCGGGCGGAAGCGACGGTATCTATCAAAACGTCGATGCTACCGGGACGTTTGATGACGCTATATTCAACCCTGCCCGTTCGGATCTCTCACTTGCCACATCGGATACCCCGTACGACCCCCCTCACCAGAAGTGGGATAAGCAGGGTCGTGCTGTGGGGTACACGACGACCGAACCCCACGTTTATGCTCCTCAACCTCGTCGAGTCAACGAAGGCTTAGACTCCAGCCTCACGACGCTGCGTGGTGAAAGTGCAACCCCGACTGGAAGGCACCGCCAACAGAGCTCCGACAGCGTAGGGTGGGAGTTCCAAGCTGGCCCTTCAGAACCACAGAGCTATCCGCTGCAGACCCTCCCGGATCCCGAACCTATCGGTCCGCTCAAGAATCCGTTTGAAAGGGAGGAAGCTACTGAGGCTGCGGCCATCCCGCCTGTTGCCTCTCCTCCACCTCGAGGAATGTCGTCTGACGCTAACTATGCTTTCGCCTCACCACAACACAGTTTCGGGCCTGTCAAGGGAGGTTCTTCTAGTGTCAGCTCCCCTCCATCCTATCGAGAGTGATTTTCAGAGATACAGACACTCATGTACACATTCCATATTCGCCTCTCGCCACAGTCCTTCCCACCAAGCCGAATTGTACATAACAGTAGTGTTAGTATTCTCAGATAACTTATATTCTTTAGTGACCATCTCGATACCCCTTCGTACTACTATGGTTGCTTGTATTCGCATGCATCTCTCCTCGCGACTGGGCCTGCAGCTATGTGGTTGTGCGTGACAGTCATCTCTGGACTGTGCCTAATGACTTGGTATGAGGACTCCCAATTAGGAGTCTAGGCCTGTGTCCTCTCCATTCTTATCAGCAAACCACTTTTTCTGTCCAGTACTGGACAGTATGTATGTGAGAGCGACGAGGGCATACAGCACTCATTTCCTGCCTGTGTAGGGTCACCCGACACGGTCACGTGGGTGGATGCCTTCTCGCACATCAGTTTGGTTGCTTTGCCTGTGATGGGATTGGTGTCCGATATCACACAATATCCGGAGGGGATTTGCCTTTACCCTGGAATGGGTGGAGTGTAGCCTCCCACAGAGTGCCTGCTCCACTGCGTGTTCCTTTCATAATGGGGCTATGCCAAGGCTCCACAAGTCCTTAAGTAAAGCAAACTCACGTCCAGGTCGCTGGACTACTGCCCAGTTGGCACCGCCATTGTCTACGTCGGGGTGTATTCCACCAGGTCATCGCAGATTCACCGGCGTCCGACGGAATTTCCATGGTATGTCCACCAGCGTTGCCTTTGGCGTTGCCGTCTTAGACTTACCTCGTGTAAGACCGAACCCGCCACCGATGTTCATCCGTACATTCCCCAGTTCTTCTGGAAGTTCTGGTTATCGGATGCGTACGGCTGTTGAACCTCTGACTCATATCACCGCATCTGATTCTGAATCTCTCTCAACTTAATGTCAGTGATCCGGATTCGTCTAGGCGCACCCTCGATGACCATCGCGTGCATATCTACGACGTCTTTAACAATACTCTGTCCGAAACGCGTCGTGTTCCGGCACAAACAATCACCGTGTTTCAGGACTTCCTTTCTGACATATTAGACGAAGGCTGTCAGTCTGCCGTACGTGCAGCAGAGCAAGCGTTTATGCGGCTAGAGAACGAGGTTGAAAGAATCCTCGCAGACCTCATATTGAGAGTTCGTTCATTGCAAAATGGCACTCGGTCACTCGAAAGAAAAGAAATACCAATCTCAAACCGTTCTCGCGATCGGCTCCTTCGGTATTTTGTCTTCCTACGCTATCGCAACAGTAAATCATACGAGTCGACAATCGATAGCTTGACTCAACGCGTCATGGCTGAAAATGGTGCCACTGTGAATGCCTGTCACGCTTGGCATCGGGTCCGTAGGCGTGCCCTCCTCAGCAGTTATCACTCCTTTCTACACCATGAATTACTTGACACACGCAGGCTTTCTCGCTTCCAAGGCTTGAATTGTTGGAACTTTTGTCGGGCAGACATCTGTGTCGGGGTCGCTGCAGAGGGATGTCAATATGTGTTGCCCGAGACTTGCTTTGCAACCCTCGACGAAGATTTCAGTAGGGACATGTAGGTGTCTTGCGGTTTTTCTATCTGCAAATGATTTCACGCATGTATCTCAGGTCATCCTGCCACCTGCTGTTTCCAGTCATGCCTACCATTTGTTTATATATCTTGGGCACACAGGATGCGGAAGATGCGCCTATTCCGTCTATCCCCAATGGTAGCGACGGAGAGGCAAGGTGTATCGATGTCGACCTCGAATCTGCCTCCGATGTCCACCTGCGTAATGCTTCACTCCTCCAAACCCATCCATCCATCCTGTACTTCTCTTCACTTACCTCCGTTGTGCAAGCCATATCCAGCTACGACGTGTTTCGTTGGATACCAGAGCATCTTGATTACTCCCGCCTTAAACAACGCGCGCGGCAGAAAGCGACTCTCGAAACGGTCACTAAGACGTTACTCATCAAGGGCAGTGTGGTGCTAGTAGACTTGACTGATGAGGTCACCAAGGTCGGCCAGCATCCCGTGTTCCACGGTGGTTTTGCAGATGTATGGAAAGGTGTGTGGACCAATTCAGCTGGAGAATCCAGGGTGGTGTGTACTGTTCTAACCGAATCCAATTTGGCGGTGATGTCATTGACAATGAGGCTTCGGTTCAACAGGTGGCCCTCAAGTTCCTCCGTCAATGCTATGGCGTTGCCCAGGATGTACGGGAGAAAGTCCTCAGGGTAACTTCATAACTGCCGTGATATTCGTTGTGTTTCTCATGATTCGTTAGCGCCTAAAAGCCGAGGTGATCGCATGGTATCGTTTGCAGCACCCCAACATCGCCCCTCTCTACGGCGTCATTCAGTCTGCAAACTCAATGGCAATGGTGTCCCCTTGGTGCAAAAATGGCACTATTATGCACTATCTTGAAAGAGAGGACGTGCAACCAGATAGGCTGGCATTGGTACGTGAATTTTAGTATCTAATGAACTCCTGCCGTTCCCAACAAAACAAATAAGTTGTTGCAAGTTGCCTCAGGAGCGAGCTACCTGCACAATATGAAGCCTGTCGTTGTGCATGGTGACCTAAGAGGGGTACGCGACCATCCACCTCGCGTTTCTCTGGTCAAGACATTAAACTTGTTTTAGACAAACATTCTCATCAGTGATGCTGGTACTGCCGTCATCACAGACTTTGGACTTTCCACGGTCATTGAGGAGCTGTCACTTATGGAGTCCGGTTTGCAAGCTGCGAAGCTAAGATCGTCTGGGCACCGTGGTTCAACGCGTTGGATGGCGCCTGAACTGTTTATTGCACTCGTCGACGATGAGGTTCCACAAATCACAACCGAAAGTGACGTCTACTCCTTTGGATGCGTATGTCTGGAGGTCCGTCCTTTTTTTTGTTTGATAGCGAGAGGACATCATATATGTACGTATGTCAGGTGGCTACTGGATACCCGCCATATGCTCACCGGTGGAACGACCCCGCTGTGACCGTTGACATAATGCGAGGCGTCAAACCATCCAGGGGTGCACCGACGACATGCAAGATCGTGTTCACTGAGAAACAGAAGGAGGAGTTCTGGGAGATCCTGAACCAGTGTTGGGATCCTATCCCCATGCTCCGACCAAGTATGGCTTCAGTGAGGGAGGCACTTGCTACCATGGCTGGCTATTGTACGTGATAGCAGTAGGTGGTGATTTGATGGATTACATGATTGCTGAATTGCAGCAGCACATCTAACTTCGATATTACTGGTACATTTTTAATGCACAAGTTGGTACTAAGCCATTGCATATACAGTGTACATTACTATGTGCCTATCTGCTAGCATCTCCATGGAAAATCATCTTTTTGTCAACTATGTTTTACCTGGCATGCTACTGTAGAATGTACTCTTGGTTGGGTGCAATAGCCAACTGAGGTGTCCATAACTATGCTACCCAAGTGTGAAAACACAAGAATATATAATACAGCAAAATGCATACCACAATACTAAGTTAATTAAATGTAGGCACAAGCAGAATAAGAAAAGCAGAATATACATACAGCATGGAATAAGTCTATTTATGCTGGGGAAAGTCCCACAATGCTCTGGGAATGGGTCCATCTAGCCTGGAGAAACCCTTTGGCTTAGGTCTATTTTTCCACTATAAGAATATATGGACCCAACAGGTCTCTTGGAGGAGGTGACTGAAATGAAAGAACACTGACAAAAGGATGCTGTCAGTGTGTCACACAATGTCATACAACATGTTAGGGCAGTTGAGCAAGGGAAGCTGTTTTACACAACAGCAAAAGCCACCAATGACTGTTATGCTTCCGTTTCCGTCTTTCCGTTTTTCGACTTGTCGCAGTCACGTGCATCACGTGCCTCGTCGCGTCCCTGGTGGTCGTCGTGGTGTTAGGAGTACGGATGTTACGCAGAGACCTCGGATCACCTGTTGTCCAGGTATTTCCAACGCCTGTCGAGACTCATCAACCGTGATCCGTCCGTGACGTTCACCGCTCTTGTGATCCCCGTGATTGTAGAAATGGCTCGTTCCCTTTCTCCGACTCTTTCTGACTCACATATGTTACCAGTATATTGTACTATAGATCCGGTGTCTGGCTCCTCACTGCGCATTGATGGCGCAGTCGGTATAGCCTTCGTTTCCCTCACTACCCCCATCTTTGACACCGGTTGACTCATACTTATTTCAGTGATTACTTTGTTGACTACTGCGGATACGCGTCGCGACGCGTCTGTCGCGACTGGTAGGGTACCCGTACTTAGGGGTATATAAACCCACGTACTTTACCTTGTATCCTCAGTTTTTCGATAGCCTGCAACAGAGCTAATTACTTCGCTTTCATCCTTGTTCTCTCTCTGCGCGAACAACCTCAGGGACTCGCCAGTAGACAGAACCTCTGTCAGATAATCGTGATAACTCTGCCATAGGGGTTACGACAAGTTTGGCCCGTGGACTCCCACCTCGCGCGCTTTGTGCCTATTCCATTTGAAGAAGTCACCGCGCCCGGGCATAACAATGACATGTCAAAGCATGTGATGAGAGGATTGCCACAAGCACATCAAACTGTAATATTACTGTCATCATCCATACATTCTATTTGACCTTTTCCATTGCACTATTGCTGTCTTTCACATATGGAACCAGTAGAAGGAAATTTACATCGCAGTCTCTTTGGTAGTACATTTTCAGAGACAGAGGTTTGAGCGAACATGTGGAAGTACGCCCACAATCACCTCTTGGCAATCACTTACTAAAGTGCATTCGGCGTTCCACCTACCCACCTTTCACGCACTCTCTTCTGCATAGAACCCATCAAAATCCCAACGGTCTTCATGCTCGCCCTCGCGCATCCATCCCAGCCTATTCTGCGTCAACATTGCAATACGCAAGAACACAGTTCCATCCAGCTCTTTCAGCCCTACCTTCTCCTCCGCCTCGTCCTCCCTAGCCAGCTGCGCAGCACTCAAACTCCGGCCTTCCACCGGCCCAGATAGTTCACCTTTCCTGCGGGTGCCGTACAGGGCAGAATAATGTGCCAAGGCACGTTGCGCCTTGCACAGGTGCTCGTTGGGGTGAACAAGCACAGTTTGAATGAGAGGAAGCCATGTGTTAGGCGTTTGTGCTAAATCTGACGATGGGTCCGGTAGGGTGCCTGGGGCAGGAGATGTATGCACTCCGGGGACTTTATGTAGCAGATGTTGCGTCCCTTCGTAGAATGCTCGGACGTCTAGTTTTGGGCGACCGCGAGCAACATAGAATACGAGGGACGTGATGAAGTACGTGAGGAGAAAGAGCCTGCGAGACGAATACTTGGGAATATTCGCAACTAAGCTCGGAAGAAAGAGCGACGAGGTCAAAAAGATGCATGAGGAAGAAATCTGCCTTGAAGCGTTGGTTCGAGACATGACCACCGACCCCGTAGATCAAGGTGTTCACCCAAGAGAGCTCCTCGACCGCGTCGGCCAGACTGACTTCGGAAGATATATCGAACTTCCACATTTCCACGTATTCGCGGATGGCCTTGCCGTATCTCTTGAGGCCCCCGGCAAGGAGGCCACCTTCGATTCGTTTGACGTTGGAAAAACGAGGATCACATGCGATGAGAGATAAAATCGTCAATGCGCTCCGCGTACCACCTTTGATATTAGGTTCGGAGACGACGTCCGGGAACCAGGCTCTGTCGATTAAGTCTAAGTTGGAAGGGTGTACAGCAGTCATTGCCAACCCTATATTCTCGCACAGTGAATCAGCATGACGATATTAAAAACGGATACTAATACCTTCTGCGCTGACACCCGCCAGGCCAAACTCTGCTCCAAAACCGGTATGTATGAAAGGGTGAATGGCGCCCATGACGAATCGGGACAGCATTGCGGGTTGTTCGCCACCATCACGAGTAAAATTAGCAGCAGAAGAGAATACATATTCTTCCAAACACTCTGGAAGGCCGCGCTTGAGGACCTCAGCTGAGAAGAACTTGAGATAGGCCGCGTAATAGCTATATAATAAATCCGCGATTAGTTGAAGATGACGGACTAGTGTACGGGTGGGACAAAAAGGAGGGACTACGTACCGTTCATCGTCGAGATGCTTGTGGACGTTATCGTGTGTGATGTGTCCAGGCGATTCGAATGCAGGCCGCTGATACACACAGTGTGTCGCATATGCGGCATCTATGACTGGACCACTAGCGCCCATCGCCCAGATAGAAAGCAGGTGATGTGGGGCATGACTAATACAAAGCCTGTCAATTCTAACATGAAAACGAAAGCACCTGAGCGCACTTGTGGAATCCTTTGTAATTGAAGAAGATATGCCAGGCAACGTGGTTGTGGGACAACGTTCGGATGAGAGCATCTGTCGATTCAGGATCAGCCCCTGGAAATCTCTGAGGGCTTATCGCAGACAGAGGAGGGTTTGGGACATAGAAAAGCTGCTCCATGTAAGGTGGCTTGGGAGGGACTTGGATGGTAGCAGCAGCCTCGGCCGAGTACGGACTGATGCCATGTGCACTAGTAGGCGGTACGACGACGGGGATCTCAGGCTTGCGGTGAAACGGGTAATCAGCAGTCTGATCAAGCTCGGGGGAAACCTCAGCCATGGTTATCAGCACAGATCAACAGCGCGGGGAAAAGATGGGAATTGAAAGCCTTCTGGCCCCCAACTGAGCATATGCAACCATCCTTATGTACGACCACTATCCGTGACGTCAGCTGATTAAGTCAAATGATCTATTCATTTGTAAGAGGGCGCAATGTCACAGTGATATCCATTTCAGTAGTCGGGCACTAGGCCTTCCCTTGTGCTTCCAACATTGCCAAATCGTCATACGCCTTCTGCTCAAACTCCTGATAGTTCCAAATCCCAGTGTTAGCCTCACCCTGGACTACCCAACCCAACGCTGCACTCGTGAGCCACGCAACTCGTAAGAACACCGAGCCGTCCAGGTAGGCGTAGTTGGGATCCACATCCACCCCATCCTTAGACAACGACTCCATCACAAAGCCAGCTTGCCGGTGACCGTACAGTGTCGCAAAATGCGCGAGTGCACGTTGGAATTTGCACAAGTGCTCGTTTGGATGGACGATCGCATTTGCGAGGATTGGGTACCACGGATTGGGGACTAACGCGTACGGAGAGTTGGGGGACGGAAGAGCGTCAGATGCAGCAGCGGGCTGGGGACCCGGAAGAGTCGTTGAGTGCTTTGCAGACGGGGAATTTGGGAACGGCGGAAGCGGGGTGGCGGTAAATTCTTTCAACGGGAAGGGGGATCTCCCACGGACCACCCACCACGTGATGCTTGTCAAGAAGTGGGCACGAAGCAGCAATGTCTGAGACCGACGCGATATATGGGCACAAAGGGACGGCAAAAAGAGAGCAGATGTGACGATATGGCCGCTATACAGATAATCAGCCCATCAGAAATGATCAGATCCGGCCATATCGCATGAGATATACACACGTGAAGAAGTCGGCACGATATTCGGCATCGTCACCATCCCAGCTTCCGACGCCGTACATGAGCATGTCGGCGAAGATGATCTCCTCTAGGTACTTTTCCAAGTCTTCTTGGTTCTCGATGTTGCAATCCCACATTTCGGCGTACTTGTTAAAGATTTCGCCATGTGACTCGAGCATGGCAGCAAACTCGTGCTTGTCGAGAACTCTCGAACCGAAGAAGCGCGTATCTCGGAGCATGAGTGACAAGATATTCAGCGCTCTAAGGCGTGTGCCAGACTTGGGCATCCATTCAGGCTCTGAGTTGGAAGTGAGTGAGACCAAGCGCTAATCTGTACCCCACATACCTTGTTTCTCTAACTCTGTGAGTGGAGTGGTACGCTCGGGAGTAAACAGAAGGCGTGAGATGAGCGTCGTCGCGCCCGCAGGATGGACGGCAGTCCAGGCCAGACCTGCAACAGGCGGGTGAACGGATGTAGCGGTGGAGCGAATTAGTTCCGTACCTTCCGCGATCATGCCTAGGAGGCCAAACTCGGCACCATATCCGACGTGAATGATGGGGTGTAAAAGAATTTCCAAGAACCTGTTTAACATTTCTGGCTGTTGAGTGCCCTCCTTTGGCATCCTAATGTTGTAGTAATCAGAGAAGATATATTTCTCTATGATATCAGGGATGGTCGCGCCAGGTTGGAGGACGATACAGTGGAAGTAATCGAGATACGCATTATAATTCCTAGGATGGGAGATGGGTTGATTGATCTGGGGGGATCTGAGAGGTAAGGACGTACTGGTCATTTCCGAGATAATCAGTGAAATTGTCGTCGGTGATCACCACGTTTTCGGGTGCAACGAATGCAATTCGCTGATGGTCAAGATGAGTAAGCTCATAGGCGGCGGTAATCACCGGGCCTGGTGCCCCAAGTGCGTAGATGGCGAGCAAGTGATGAGTGGAATGGCTGATCGCAGAGGGAAGTCAGATCGAAACGTGGGCATGAGAGGGCAGGACATACTTGTGGAAACTGAACTGGTTGAAGAATACGTGGCTCCTTTCGTGGTTGTCTCTGAGTGCGGTGAGTAACGCAGCCAATGCATCGGGACCGTTGTTCGCGATGCGAGTAGGAGCCAACACAGACGGGGGTGGTTTGAGCCCGGGGAAGAGACGGGCGAGCACCTCCGGGGAGGAGGGTTTAGCAGGGACAATGATCTCTGGGGGGGAAGACGTGGCCATGGTTAGTAACTAAATCACTGGGATGTGGATTGCCTCTGGCTTTTAAGGCCTGGCTGTCGTCGATAAGGCGTGGTTGTCATTGGGCTTAGTCGGCTGCAGCGGAGAGTATACGGAACAGCTAGCACAGGCTCGGCTAACTGATTGGATAAGCACAGGGGCTATTTTGCTTATCTAAGCCATGACTCGAGATTTGCCATCCGGCCTCCGACTTCCGAAAGTCCAATTACCGCATGGCCATCTCGATTTATTATCGATATCTCAGACTTGCCTATCGACATCACCGACCATCACTGTATTTTTCTGGCATGCACACCGCAGGGGCAGGGGAAGGGGCGCCACCAGTGGATGGTGTCCCATCCAAACATGCAGGTATGAAACTAATGGCACCTGCTACTAATTTTAAGACATTGATGATCATCTCTTACAGCTAAAAAAGAGGCAAAGAGGCTGGAGAAAGAAGCTAAATTAGCTGCAAAACAACTTAAACAGGCTGCCCCTGCTTCAGACAAGAAAGCGAAGGTGGACAAGGAGAAAACATTGAAAGTGGAAGAGACTGTTTTCGAGAACATCACTCCAAAGGGAGAGAAGAAGGGTATGTCGCATGATCAATGTTTTCGTCTCAGTCTCTGAGGAGGACCCTGCGTTTTCAGACATGTCTCAGCCAATGGCCGCAAGCTATAATCCGCACGCCGTGGAGGCCGCTTGGTACGATTGGTGGGAGGCGCAGGGATTCTTTAAACCTCAGACACAGTCTGACGGGACCGCCAAACCCGAAGGACATTTTGTCATCCCCGCCCCTCCTCCAAACGTGACCGGGAGCTTGCATATTGGTCACGCGCTCACCGTTGCCATCCAAGACTGTCTGGTGCGCTGGTGAGCATCAGCAGTTTCTCCCAACATTCAAATCCACACTGACTTCCCGTGTTTGAAGGAACCGTATGTTGGGAAAGACGACCCTTTTTGTCCCCGGATTCGATCATGCTGGTATCTCCACCCAGTCCGTTGTTGAGCGGAGGCTATACAAGTTAGAGGGAAAGACGCGACACGATCTGGGCAGGGAAACTTTCCTGGCGAAAGTTTTGGACTGGAAGAACGAGTAGGTCGATTTGCACGCGTGGAATTTTGATCTCACTGACCGTGATGCAAGCTATCAAGCTCGTATCACTAATCAGCTACGCAGGCTCGGAGGAAGTTATGATTGGGATCGTGTCGCATTTACCATGGATCCAGTCAGTATCTGGGTTTTGCGATGCAAACTCTCTGCTGACGCGTCACAGTCACTCTCGAAAGCTGTCATCGAGACATTTTGTCGGCTGCATGAAGGGGGCATCCTTTATCGTGCTAATCGCCTTGTCAACTGGTGTGTCAAGCTGAATACCACACTGTCCAATCTAGAGGTATAACCGAGACTCCCAAGGAAAACATAGTTTTGACTATCAGTACAGGTAGATCAAAAACAGCTAGAGGGTAGAACCCTCTTGAACGTACCGGGGTATGATCTAAAGGAGAAATTCGAATTCGGTGTAATTACCTCTTTTGTGTACCCCATACAAGGCTCGGGTACGTGTTTTTTAAATGACCTTTCCCTCTAATTAATGGAATTGTTTTGTAGACGAGAAGATCGTCGTTGCTACTACGCGACCGGAAACAATGTTGGGAGATTCCGCAATTGCAGTACATCCTGATGACCCTCGGTATAAGGTGAGCGGCCGTGCAAGTCTACATACCCATCTGCTAACATTTGCCTTAGCATCTCCACGGAAAATTCGCTAAACATCCTTTTGTCAACCGCCTTTTACCCATTGTTACCGATGCTATTGTGGTAGACATGGAATTTGGCACTGGTGCCGTGAAGATCACACCTGCCCACGATCCAAACGACTACGAAGTTGGTGTGCGGCACGGATTAGAATTCATCAATATCCTCAACGACGATGGAACATTAAATGCCAATGCGGGTGAGAAATTCCAGGTTAGCATTTTGGTTTTGCTGGGACAATGGTATTGACGGCTTCCTAGGGTATGAAAAGATTCCATGCGAGGAGAGAAGTCGTTAAAGCGCTCACGGAGGCCGGCCTTTTCATTGAAATAAAAGACAATCCAATGCAAATCCCTATCTGCAGGTACGTGGTACTGTGCATCGCTATACCCCGATCGCCTCAATAAACGACAGCAAATCTGGAGATATCATCGAGCCCATACTGAAACCGCAGTGGTGGGTAAATTGTAAACCACTTGCAGAAGAGGCAATCAAGGTATTAATTACGAGTTATCCTAGTGGAATATTGCAATAACCTGAATTGTTAGCGTACTCGTAATGGGGAACTCATGATAAGTCCTAAGCAGTCAGAGGCGGATTGGTACCGGTGGCTGGAGAACATCCAGGACTGGTGTATCTCGCGTCAACTTTGGTGGGGCCATAGATGTCCTGCATACTTTGTTCGTGTTGAAGGCGTTGAGGCTGATGTCAGTGTCCTTCGTGCATCCTCATGGCACTATCTGACCAGATGCAGGTCAATGATGGCAAAAATTGGGTCGTCGGACGAACACTTGAAGAAGCTACTGCCCGAGCCAAAGCCTTGGCGAATGGTGCCAATTTCACGCTCGAGCAGGACGAGGACGTTCTTGATACATGGTTTTCGTCTGGTCTCTGGCCCTTCTCGATCATGGGATGGCCAGAACGGGTACGTCGTCTCTATTCCTACGAATTTCAGGTAACAGATGCATACAGACTCCCGATCTCTCTCATTACTATCCTGCGAGCATGCTTGAGACAGGATGGGACATCCTCTTCTTCTGGGTGGCTCGCATGGTTCTACTCGGAATCTACCTAACTGACAAAGTCCCGTTTTCGGAAGTGCTATGTCACGCCATGGTGCGCGACGCCCACGGTCGGAAGATGAGCAAATCCTTAGGCAATGTCGTTGATCCTTTGGATGTTATCTACGGACTACCCCTCGCGGATCTTCATAAGAAACTTTATGAAGGTAATTTAGATGAGAAAGAAATTACCAAGGCAATCGCTGGGCAGAAGAAAGATTTCCCTAGAGGGATCCCGGAGTGCGGTACGGACGGCCTGCGTTTCGCTCTCTGCGCGTATTCAGGAGGAGGTGAACACAGTTCTCCATTCTTCGATCGCACTGCGCTGACCATACCTGGCAGGACGGGATATCAATCTCGACATTCTCCGCGTGGAGGGATATCGAAAGTTCTGCAACAAGATATTCAACGCAACCAAGTTTGCTATGCTCAAGCTGGACTCCACGTTCATTCCGAATGCTTTACCGACTGCAAGTACGCGTACTGTATCATCTTCGTTATTCTAATACCCAACGCAGCCCACTGGAAACGAGAGCCTCGTGGAAAAATGGATCCTTCATAAACTCAACATAGCTTCAGCCAACGTCAACAGTTCTCTTGAGCAAAGAAATTTCATGGCGGCTACGACGGCAGTTTATAATTTCTGGCTCTATGAACTTTGTGATGTGTTCATCGTACGTTCCTCTGTCTGATCCTAGATGTACTAGCTGATTCCACCAACAGGAAGCTATGAAGCCAATGACTGATCCCACAGTTACTTCGGAGACTCGCGTTTCGGCGCAGCAAACACTCTATACATGCCTTGATTACGGACTCAGGCTTCTTCATCCGTTTATGCCTTTTGTCACTGAGGAGCTCTGGCAGCGCCTCCCTCGTAGAATAAATGACGGCCCATCCATAATGGTCTCCAGATACCCAACGCAGGTATGTTGCAACGCGATTTTAGACTGTATTGTGTCCATGTCTTTCTCTATTCTGTAGGATGCATCTTTCGTCTTTGATGATGCCGAGAGTCAATTCGAACTTGTCTTTTCTGTGGTCCGTACTGGTCGTTCACTTGCGGCATCATACAATTTGCAGTCGGACATCCAATGTGAGTTTTCCTGCTCAATACCTGTGATTCGTCACTCATCGTGAATTGCTCAGTGTTTATTCATGCCAGTGATATTGCGGAAACGGCACTCCTCGAATCTCAAGCACCGACTATAGGTTCACTAATTAAAGGGTGTACAAAGGTGGCGGTTATAGGAGATTTGTCACGGTTGCCACCTGGCTGTGGGTCAACTGCCCTGTCTCCAACAGTTGCTGTATACCTAGCTGTTCAGGTAAGCCCGACGATAGGTGGGTGATGGACTGACCTGACAACTAATCATGATGCAGGGCTTCATTGATCTCGAAGCTGAGGTCGCAAAGTTGGAAAAGAAGATCCACGCTGTGAACCTCAACCTTGACAAGCTATTAAAAGTCACGTCGCAACCTGACTACCGAGACAGCGTACCAACGACAGTGCAACAAGCCAACGAGGATAAGGTTAGTTTGAGCTCTGAATGAATCTTACTTGTTGTCGTGTTTATAATAACACTACTTCTTGTAGCAAAAAGTGCTTGAGGCAGAGATTGCGGCTTTGCAGCAATCCAAGAGCATGTTTCAGAAGTTGCAGTGAGCATTTTTGCATAAAATAGGTTTCAAATGTATTAGTTACCTCCACATCGAGTTTTATTCTTGCTCCATCCTTGACGTGAGAATACCCCTTGAAGGCTTGAACTTCCGTAAGGTTTGTGAGCTATAATTCACCTGAGGGATTCCAGCTCCAAGCTGGACCAGTCCCAGATTCATGATGTGCATGACTGGGATGTTACACTTGGTATTCTTGTGAATACATCCAACAGCTGTTGGAAATACTTAATAGTTCCAACCATCTGGATCACTCTAGATTTACACATTACAATACATGTGTACTATCACATGACATGCTCAGTCATCCAGCTCCACAGTGATGTCAGTATGACATCACTTATTGCATCATATTCCATAGCATTCTGTGCTATTCCATACTATACATAGTAGTAGTTTCCTTATACACTACTGGTCCATGCATAACTCTACATGTATATAAACTCAGGGATATTCTCCCATTATCCCTATCAAATTCTACATTTGTTCTACTGTTCTCTCAAGAACAAGAGCCCCAACACACTTACTTTCAAACCTACCATCAAACTCAAGTATAAGGTAAGTGCTCTTGTCTTTGCTCTTTGTACTGTAGCCTATCCTCTGTGCAATAGGTTATGAGCCCTGCCTTCTAGGCATGTGCTATTTACTTTATTTGCATAGATCAATCACTGCCAATGGGCATATCACTATGGATAGAGTAGGCCTAGATGCACTAGGGTTTGTGGTAGTCACTTTCATTTTGTCACTTCTTGTGGGCTGTTACCAGTCCATTTTACTTGTTTATTATGGAGCTTTTTCAGCTAGCAACTTGCATCAGCTGTTTATCAGCTTGACTGCCTTCTGGATGATGTTTCTAGGACTCTCCACATGGTGGTGACTCCAACAGTGACTTATTGCTCCTGTCATCACAGTCCAAGCCATTGCTGCCACTCATCATATGCTTCCTGCTCTGCCTCCTCACTACTTACATTTTCATCTTCCTGACATTGACTTTGAGCCTGATTTAGATCCCATACCACCATACACCAAGGAAGGAGCAGTTGATCCTGCACCTCCTCATTGTGCTCCTACACCTTTGGCTGAGGAGATTGTGGCTTTAAATGAGTTGCTCCAACCAGAGCTCATTCTCACTGTTGTTGGCAACATCACAGAGTTTGATTTGCTTTAAAACTTGTTCATCACTATTTATTCAAGTTATGGGAACTAATTGACTTTAAGAATGTCTCTTGTCATCACAAAGTGTCTTGAAACCCAAATTGCTGAGCATTGGGATGGAATGTATGAGGGTGCCAAGTGGAGGAAGTATGTGGTAAAGGAGATCATAGAATTTATGGAGATGTTGTATGTATGCAAGTGCTCATCTTGGTGTGAGGTGGTGCCATCCTCCATGGTGTTCTTCAAGAGGCCAAACCTGGCCACATATCTCATTCCCCTAACCGTGGTCAAAGTTGCCTGGAAGCATATGCCTCACTTCCCTGATTTTGACTCTCCTTTCTTCTGTCCCAGTATCCACATTGCTTATCATGGTTATTTTACTGACTTCATACCCAAACTTACTCACTCTTCCTCTCCTCACGCTATAGCCAACTTTAATGGCTGCGACCTTCTGTCAGTCACTTACAACAACCCCACTCTCTTCACTATTCCTGCATCCACCATCACCCACAACACCTTCATTTATATAACCTACAATGCCCACATCCTCTATTCTGATGGACCCTTCTGTGGTATCATCCCACCTCTTTGGGTTTGGCATGAATATCTTGAGTGCCATTTCTGAGGAATTTGGGCTGACAGCACCACCGACATTGCCTGCATCCCCAGGTGGTTCCATGAAAAATGAAGAGGAGGAGATGCATTCAATGGTAGGCTTCTCGCCTTTACCAGAGGGCTTAAGGTTCAAGGAGATATGGGTACTGTCATGCAATACTCAGCCTCTAATAGGCATCTTGGATGGGTTGATGGAGCTGGTCATAGACAGTTCTCTTACTGGCCCTCAATGGAGGATGTTCTTTGAGATCTCAAACGTACCATGGAGGATACTACTTTTGACTATTTCATGCAACCATGACACTGCCTCTCACCTCCCAATGCTCTTGCTAGAGCTTGCCTCTCACATGCCACTCATGCACAACTTTCCTCTTCCTGGTATGATGGACATACCATACACATCTGGAGGCCACTACCACAAGGGAACTGATGGGTGTATAATAGATGAATCCTATTCCATATTTGAAATCATAGTTCATTCTAGATGTCCTGGATTTCATAACACAGAATGTTTTCCAATTCCTTATAGTTGTGCCAATCCCTTCTTGGGATTTGTAGGAAACAGAGTTCCATTGCATGATGCAACATGGAGCTTCTTTGCCTATCACTATTTTGTGCCATTAGACTTTGATCTATTGGAATGCAATAACTCTTGCATCCCATTACAGTGATTTGCTGAGAGAGGCACTCCTATAGTAAAGGAATGGAGAAATCCTTGCAGACATACACCCAAGCCTTGTCATACTCAACACAAGTCTCAATCTGCTAGAGCTTGTGCTTGCAGACCTAAATGCCTAGCCAATCATTTATTGAATCCACCTGACTCTACCCTGTATCCTATGAAATTGTTCTTACATGAACATTTCCTAATGGACTTCTAAACAGATGTCCGAAGGCCTTTCAAAGCAAATTCCAAAACTCAATGGCCTTAACTATGCATCCTGGTTGGTTCTTATGAAGGCTTATATGCAAACTCTTGGCATTGTGGATATTGTTTCTGGTGTGAAACTTCTTCCTGCTGGTGTCACTCAGCAGGAACCATGGTGAGTCTCGGACACACATGCCCAGGGTATTATTACCCTCTTCTGTGATCCAATGATCACTATGTCTATTGATGGACAAGATACTTCTAAAAAGAAATGGGACAAATTGAAATCCAAATATGGCAAACCTTCTGCTATGACCACATTTATGGAATTTCAAAGGTTGATCTGCATTTGGATCAAACCTAAGGATGACATCATGGTAAAGATCTCTGAGATCACCATGATAATGGCCACTATCCAAGGCCAGGGCATCAGTCTAAATGACAAGATGAAGGCCCTAATTCTCATCCACTCTATGTCCCAAGCCTGGGAACAGGCTCCCATCAATATCCTATCATCTATTCCTGCTGATCAATTATCTGCCGATACAGTCATACCTTGTATGAAAGAAGTCTGGTCTCATAAATCTGGAAAGTCCCTGCTTCCTCAGCAGGAAAAACCATTGTCATCAGGAACAACTATCAAGCAGGAGTCTAATTCACTCCTCACTTGTATGAATAAACCACTGCTGTGTAATATATGCCATGGTTCCCACAACACTCAAGATCACCATGGAGGTGGTTCCAGCTCTGGATCTGGCTCATTCCATGGAAATTGTGGAGGTTCTTGCAGAGGAAGTGGATGTGGTGGTGCATACACCCCTTACCCACAGCAGCAGCAACAACAGCAGCAGTCTTCTGGCTCTCATGGCCAAGGACAAAATCATCGCCAAGGCAAGGGAAAAGCCCAAGCCAATGCTGTTGAAGTCAAAGGAGCTGAGGCAGTCAAATCTGCCTATATTGAAGAGCTCCCAGACTACCAAAATTTTGAATATGCTGCTGATGACTTTGATATCACCACTATTGAAATTAATTGTGAACCTTCACCCAAATATTCCCCTGAGCAACCTGCTCCCATGGAGAATATTTATTCTAATGACCTCAACACATACATCAGTTCCCATGTTATTGGTGAATCTAGCCAATACAATCCAGACCTGACTTGTCAGGACATAACTACTGCCATGGAATTGGTTGAGTTATCTCCCAGTCTCCCTGTAGATGCCTCCACAGGCCAACTTGCCTCTTGGTACCTTGATGAAATTCAAGGTCACCAAAGTGATCTAGTTGAGTCAGTCAAGATTTGTGTCAATATCCCTCAAACTAATTTGCCCTGTACATGTTCTATTTGTCACCAAGCAGCCCTCTCTGCACTCCAACTGGAGTGTTCCCTACAGGAACCCTGGCAATGGGAGACTCAGAACTTTGTTCCAAGGCAGATTCCCCTTCCCATTATTGGGGAGGACAGGATATGTCCTTGTAGTCCCAGCCAGACCACAGATTGAGTGGCAAATTCCATTTTGGCTTGTGAGGACATGGTGGCAACTAGGGATGTTGAGGGAAATGGTGGGTTGTCTCTGCAGACAGACTGGAATTCTGGTCACCTTGCCAGAGATGTTCAAGGACATGATCATAGCAACTGAAGATCTGTCTGAGTATTAAAGAAAAACCACCCTATGTCCTTAAAGACATTTTACAGATCTGTTCCTGAACCAGTTGTACCAAAACCTTTCTGTATTCATCATAACCCAGACATAGAGTGTGACCCTAACAAATCAGCCATGGGATATTTCCCCAGTGAATTTGATAGGAATGCCTATGATGCTTTTGACTGCTACCCCTTGGGTGTGCATGCATCTTTTAAGAACCTACCAAAGGGTGAGTCTATTTGGATGCTGGATTCAGGAGCTTCACATCATGTGACTCCTTTTAAAACTGATTTCCTTACTTTCTGAGAATTTAAAACTCCTTCCCTTGCATCTACTGCTGGGTTAAGTCAAGTTCAATTACTTGGAGAAGGAACAGTGGTTATTTGCCTTGAAAATGGGCAGAATTTATTGCTCCATAATGTAGTTTATAGCCCTCTATTCTCAAAAAGGCTATGCTAGAGAAATGCACTCCTGAAAAATGGGTATAGGAGCACCACAACATTAACAAATGAAGTGATCCAAACACCAGATGGCTGGATTGTACTTGAGGTGTGATTAGCCTCACCTACTTCACCACTACACTAGTTTGTGGGTGTACCACTTCCACCTACCAATGCATATGCAGTCCTTTGCCCTCTGGTTTGGGAACTTTGCATTTGATTGTGCACTCCATGTGTACAACAGAACTCTGCTCAAGCAGATTCTCTTTAAAACCCCTGTGGAACTATTCTTAGGAAAAGTTCCTAATATATCCTATTTCTGCACCTTTGGCTGCAAAGCCTTTGTATGAGTTCCAAAAGAACAGTGAGAAGATAAATTGGAACCTCACACAATTGAGATGGTATTTCTAGGCTACAAGCCTAATACCAAAGGTTACAGATTCCTTAATGGTCAAAAGATCATTTTATCTCATACTGCCAAATTTGTAGAAGACTCCTTTCCTTTCTGCTCAGATAAAAAGACTGAAACCTTTGACCCTGATTCCAAAGATGACCATTCATCTGAATCTTCTGACTCTGAAAGCCTACATTTGTTACCAGATCCTGATCAGATCCAACCATGGCCTCATCAACTGCAACCACCTTGTCCAATTACACCACAAAACCCACAGCAGGGAAAAGCTGCAGACCAGCATAGAGCTTCTCATCAAAGAAGAGCACCTGCTGCTGCACCACCAGTCAACGCTCATGTCATTCAGCATCCACACCAACCTTATCCTGTTTCTGGTGACTCCCATAATGTTTGGAGAGCACAGCCACAACAAGCCAAAGACTGAGAACCTCATCCTAAATGCTGATTTATCCCTGTTTCCCATCCTGGAAACATTTATGGAGATAGACCTCTAGTTGAAATTGAAAGGGGTATTCAACAAAATCAAGATCAAGCCCAACAATGGATCCATAATGCAGAACATAATATTAGGGAGAGACAAGAGGCTCTTAGATGTTATGAAGAGGAGAGAAGACCACCTTCACTGATCTTACCTCTGGCTATGGTACTTCCTCTGGTTCCTCACCAGTGGACTGAACATCCACAATATACTACTCCTCTGTCACCTCTATCTCCTCTAACTCCACTTCCAGAATCTCTGAAAGGAATGCCAGATCAACAACTCAAGATGCATCCATTTGAATTTGCACTTGCTGCATGGATCAAGGAGTCTCTGGAACATTATAAAGATGTTCTAAAGTTATCTCTGGATCTCCAGAAAAAGTGGTTTGATGCTATGAAGGATGAATTAAAGTCTATTGAGGAAAGACAAGTATGGACCTTGGTGGATCCTCCCAGAGATTGGAAACCCATAAAGTGTTGATGGGTTTTCACTATTAAAAGCAATGGTTGTTACAAAGCTTGTCTTGTGGCTAAAGGCTTTGCACAAGAATTCAGAACCAACTTCAAAGATACCTTCTCTCCAGTGGCTCACTTTGAAACCATGTGAATTTTACTCACATTCACAGCCCAAAAGAATTGGGAAATGGAAGCCCTGGATGTTAAAACTGCCTTTCTTTATGGCAACCTAGATGAAGAAATTTATATGGAGCAACCAGAAGGTTTTTGAGTTAAGGGTCAAGAGCACAAGGTATATCAGCTGCTTGGAGCCCTCTATGGCCTTAAGCAAGTGGCACTTGCATGGAATAAAGTCCTACATGCATCACTACTTTGCATGGGCTACATATGCTCAAAAGTGGATGCTGGCATTTATATTTACTCTTCAAAAGCTGGCATCGTCATTTTCCTCATCTATGTCAACAATGGATTATTCCTAGGATCAGACAAATGCCTTCTGAAAGCCAAGAAAGAAGAATTCATGAAGAAATGGGAATCCTGTGACCTTGGAGAAGTAAAAGAATATCTCAGAATTCAAATTCACCAAGATCAATTGAGAAAAGAACTCTATCTCAATCAAATCCCCTATGTCAAAAAGGTGATCAAAAGGTTTAACATGGAGACTGCTTGAAATGTTCACACTCCATTACCTTTGGGATATCAACCAGAAAAAGCCCCTTCTGATTATCAAGCAACCTCACAACTCCGCTCCCAGTACCAATCCATTATTGGGTCCCTTCTCTATATGGCCCTTGGTACATGTCCAGATATAGCCTTTGTGGTTATCTGCATGTCTCAATATATGGTGAATCCAACTGAGGATCACTGTAACAAAGCATTGCATAGAGTTCACTATATTGCATCTACTCCCAAGTTAGTGCTTTACTATTCTGGGCTGGAATCACAGATTTTCAGCTTTGCTGATTCCAATTGGGTGTTGAATAAAGACACACATCATTTGACAACCAGTTATGCAATGTTCCTCAGAACATCCCTTATTTCTTGGCAATCATGTAAACAGAAGACAGTTGCACTCTCTTCCACAGAAGCTGAGTACATGGCTCTCTGTGATACTGCATGTCAAATCAAATGGCTTCACATGCTATTTGATGAACTTTAACTCAAGACCGAAAAGACCATACTTTACTGTGACAATATGGGTGCTCACTTTATTGCTGAGAATCCAGTCTCAGATGGACACTCAAAACATATTGACATTCAATGGCACTATGTACATGAATGTGTACAAGATGGTTTGTTCAGTATTGAATATGTTCAAACTGACAAACAAAAGGCCAATGGTCTTACAAAGTCTTTGACATGGCAAAAATTCAAAACTAATTGCTCATCAATGGGATCAGTCAATCTCCCATTTTAGAGCAAGGGGGAGTGTTGGAAATACTTAATAGTTCTGACCATCTAGATCACTCTAGATTTACACATTACAATACACATGTACTATCACATGACATGCTCAGTCATCCAGCTCCACAGTGACATCAGTATGACATCACTTATTCTGTCATATTCCATAGCATTCTGTGCTATTCCATACTATACATAGTAGTAGTTTCCTTATACGCTACTGGTCTGTGCATAACTCTACATGTATATAAACTCAGGGATATTCTCCCATTATCCCTATCAAATTCTACATTTGTTCTACTGTTCTCTCAAGAACAAGAGCCCCAACAAACTTACTTTCAAACCTACCATCAAACTCAAGTATAAGGTAAGTGCTCTTGTCTTTGCTCTTCATACCATAGCCCATCCTCTGCACAATAACAGCTTCAGGTTCTGGGATGTTCCTTGCCCTGGAACCTATTTCCATGGAGAAAGATTATTTCCTTGGGAGGAAGCACTTGGCTTCTCGGACATTCCTCCTGGGAATAGAGGTCCTTTTTATCTCGAAATCCCTGCCATGCCCGCCAGGAATGGTGCTCCTTTCGCTCATGCACAACCTCTAGTTGCCCTCTCTCCTACTCCATTTATGTAATCAAAGTTACACGTCCTCCCTAGCTACCATACTGTATCATGAAATTGTCTATTAGTTGTAGCCACCACACTACATTGAAATTGGCAGTCTTTTGAATTGTGCTTGCATTTCATGGTCGGGGGAAGGTACGATGCCAATTCTGCGCCGCCACATCTCAAAGGATTGTTGGACATCCTTGTGAAATGGCCAACAATTTTCTTCGATTGGCTGAGCATGCACGCCGAGGTCTCCACCCATAGCCACCTCACTCATTTTGAAAGAGGTCGTTGAGAAACGACGACAACGATCGATCCCCTCTAAAGAAAGAGCAACCCATGACAGATCTAAGACTATCTGGCGGTTTGTTCATGATGCTGCCTTGGACAACAGTTCACTAGCGGCACATTCAGAGTAATCTGGTCACATAACGCAGGGTGCCTCTTAGACTGAGTACCGAGGGTGTGTCTCGGGTGTGAGAATCGAGGCCCCCATGTACACTGTCGTTTAGGACCAGTGTATAAAGGACGTACCAAAGAATGAGTGGGTGAGTAGCAGTGGGGATAGGATCATATCAACAGCTACATGCTCGCACCCCGTAATAATAATGGTTGGCCTTGGAAGTGTATTTACTTTTGTTTGGACCTAAACAACATCGAGCGTATTAGTCAGCCAGTCTGCCTTCGACAACGACCACCATGGCATCCTATGACAGCGATCCGTTCTACCTCAGGTGAGCCAGCCTATCAGACTCATCTAAAGCATTATTTACACATGATATGTCTAGGTACTAGTGCGTGTATCATATCATCACGTCTACGCGAGCAGCAGGCTGACTCGTGTGTGTAGCACCGGCCATTCCGGTAAACACGGCCACGAGTTCCTCGAGTTCGAGTACTCACATGGTCGTCTGCGCTATGCCAACAACTCCAACTACCGAAACGACAGTCTGATTCGCAAAGAAAGTTCGTCGAAAAAGTTACGGAGCTCGTCACACCGTGACTAATCAATCGTTGTTGTAGTGTGGGTAGGGCCTTTAGTGGTCAAGGAGCTCAAACGTATAGTCGAGTCGAGTGAAATAACAAAGTAATGTCCACTTTTTCTTTTTCTTCTCGATAAAGAAACATTTTTTGACCCTCGTTCATTCGTGCACAGGGAAGACGATACAAATTGGCCGAAAAAGAACATTGTTGGGAAACAGGAGCTTGAAATTCGGATAGGCAACGATCATATCGCATTTGAGGTTCGCAAATATCATCCTACGGCGATTTCCGCCTCTCACGGGCTTGCTAGACTGCAAAGATCGGGTCGTTGGTTGAGATCCAGGATAGCGAAGACCCCGAAGGTCTTCGTGTGTTCTACTATCTTGTCCAGGATCTTAGAGTGAGTCCCTCAGGCATTCTTCCAAATCTTCTTCGCTAACTGTTCGATTAGTGCTTTATCTTCTCTCTCATCAGCCTTCACTTCAAGATCAAACCCATTTAAAACTCACGCGTCTCGGGCTTTCGGCTTCTTTTACACCATCTGCTGTACTTGAGTCACTTTGTGAGCAAAGGTAGACTAGTTACAGTACGATTCGCTCAAAACGTATTTGATTGCGCAAGAAAGCATTGTACTCTGTTTACAAGGTAGGAGACTATTTTCATGTGAAGATCCATCGGTGTTCTGACAAGATGTGAAAATAGATCGTAGAAATCTACTTCATGTTCTGCGAAAGGGATCATTTTGTGGTACATAGCGATGGAGCTTCCACTCCCAAGTCGCTGGCAGTGGCACATCTGTTAAGACATTTCTCAAGCAATCGACTACGGTCAAATATCGTACACTCCCCGACACCAGCATACCAACCTTTAGAGCAGTAGGTTCTCCATATACCACCTGTGTTCACGTTTCAATGCGTCTTCGATTGTGCTCGCCTGCTTCCAGCCGTGACCCTCGCCATCGTAGAAATGGTAAGAAAGCTTCTCGTCTGGTGCTTCCACTTTGATCTTGGCCAAGAATATGATGGCTTGCTCTTCTGGAACTATAGGATCCTCCTTTCCTTGTAGCATCTGTACGAGGCGCACATAAGTGCGTCATTCATAGGGTACGTGGGCATAAGCAAAATCGTGACTCACGAGAAGTGGAATAGTCATCTGAGGCTGACCAGATGAATCGAGAACGTTGTAGTATGGGCTGCGTGCCGTGTACACGTCCGGGATTTCATCCGGAGAACCGCCCAAGAGCTTGTACATGTACTGCAACTCGAACTTCTCCGTTTTCTCAGCCAAAAGCTTAAGGTCTGATATGCCACCATAGGCAGATGTCGCGGCCTTGTAGTACGTGTTGTTGCTGGCTGTGGTAGTCGAACAAAGCGTGGTGAACCCGCCAGCGGAGCCCCCTCGGACTGCAGCACGCTTGCTGTCAACCAAGCCCTGCTGTTCATCGACCATCGTCACCGCATCTTCACAATCCTGATTATCCAGGATACCCCAATTACCAGCGAGGAGCTCGCTAGGAGTGTGCAGTTGTATTCGTGATCACTTAAAGGGAAGAAGCTCACTCACATATAGTTTCGGCCGTATCCCGATGATCCACGATAGTTCACATCCAACCTAGTAGTTTTTCATTATCAATCGATATCAGATGTCGATCTCACCGGAAGCCGGTGCCACCCACCAAGCAAATCCACGGCTAGTGAAATACAACTTTTTCAAGTCCATTGCCTGCGTCGACATGGAAGTTGGGCCTCCATGCACACCCGTGATGCAGGGTGGCTTCTCGGCAGTTGGTCCTTCGAAGTCAGGATTCTTCGGGAGGTACAGGATGGCATATATTGGGTTAGGATCACCATCGTTGTACAATGTAAGGGGTTGGGGGATTGAAATGTACGAGTCATCCACCGGCTGCGCAGAGCTGCTTTTCAAGTACACGTAAGTCGGGACAAACGAAGGTGCGGCTCCGAGCGAACATTGAAGCACGCCACCAGGTTGATCGTTCAAGCTAGCTGTGAAAACAAACGTTGTAGCATCAGGACCCTCCTGCTTCAGATGTTGCGCCACCACGAATGGGAAATCAACTATTTGCACCGGATCAGAAGATTTGGTGAGATCAAGAACATATAGGATATTGCGTCCGTCCTGGAAGGCAGTGAATGCCCCGTAACTGCCGTCTCCCAGCAGAGCGTAAGGATAAAGCCCAAAGTACCAAGCAGGCTCAGCGAAATCCTGTGCGATCGGAGTTGCAAGAGCAGCTCGAGAGGATCCGGTGTCAGTGGAATAGATGAACGGGTTCTGGAAACGAAGGGACGAGCCAGGAGTATAGTCGGAAGTATAGAGTAGCGCAGTGTCAGAGATCCAAAGGGGGTATCCTGCGGAGATCTCAAGCTTTTCCCCGGCGACGTACGTCTTGTTAGAGAGAACAATGGCACCATCTTCGATTGAGACATCTGCGACATAGACTAAGCCTCCTTCGAAGGGCATGTCTGGCTGGTACCACTCCTGCCAGGCAATCTTAGTACCGGACGGGTTGAAGACTGGAGCAGCGTAGAAATCTGCGCCTTCCACAAGGCCTGTGCGTTCGGCAGTCGTAGCATCAAGGACACACAAAGTGGTTTCAACGTTCTGGGGGTTGTCGTCAGGATGATATTCGAGGATAGATGCGATCAAATTAGTTTGAACAGGATGCACGGCAAAGTTAGCATAGCGATATTGTTGGTTGGGATCCTCTGGCGGCGGATCAGCCAAGAATTGGAGAACTACACTTTAACCAACAATAGCATACCAGGTGAGACCGGGCTGGGTTCACTACCTTCTTCGTCTTTGACTGAATACACTCTGCCGTCTGTTAAATTCGAGAAATAGGCGATGCCTCCATACACGACGGCTGCAGCTCCACCATACTCATTCACGGCATCAGCTGCGTTGAAGTCAGAGGGAATCACGTCCCGGCCCTCGGCCGTATTGACGATTACAGATCGACCATCTTCATCGGGGCGCTCTTCGATGTGGTACACAACCGATGTAATGGGGTCGACTAGTACATCATCGAATACGATGCTCTGTCCAAACAGAAAGTGTAAGCGAAGTTAAAACTGAAGGATGAGCCACGTACGCTAGTGGCAACAGTCTCCGGTGTGATAGGGGACGTCCACGTCCCATATGGAGCGGTTTGAACCATAGGTGATTGATTACTGGGAGGAATGCGCCTGAGAGCGACTTGGCCAAAGCATTGTGGTCGAAAAATGCGATCTCTTTTATAGGGCATCGTCAGGATTCCGATGGACCATGCTCCCCGCGCTTCTGAACCTGTTGCATCAGAGGAATTCGAATGAGACGACACAATAGGTATCCGTCTCCCGACTACAAGGGTTAGATTTGGAGTTTGAGGGCATTCTCGCCATTTCGGTTCGGCGCAAACACGGTATTACCGTGTAACCGGATGGCAGGGTGAATAGTCCTTCTGATGCATGTGCGTGAGGCCCCACTGTATACCAGTAGAAGCCTCCAGATATGATAATGTCCGTGGACTCTACACATTGCAGTTCTCGCAGGATTCCGAGGCTAGGTCGCACTGGGTGGTCTCATATGGTGATCGATCACCACAGCCTCGGATACAAGCATGATTGATGCGAATCCTATGGAAAAGGAGGACCAAGGACAGCAGGCACTTGTCAGAATGAAGTCGTGATTGACAGTCAACTCGTACCCTTTCGAAACACTGCGTGCCTGCTAAGCCCACACATGAACATGCTAGCGGATCGGAAACTCACTATGGAACGCGAGCCACAACCTGCAGAGCACGATCAGCACATCAGGTATAACAAAAACTGCACCGTCTTCAAGCAGGTTGCGGCAGACTTGCTAGTGAACGAGTGGAAGAAATTAAAGCCAATTGTCAGGGAATACCCCGGTAATCTGATGACAGCCATATCACTCTGAACTTCGCACGCTGTCGACTTTGCTGCGATGGGTTTGAGAGGAGCCTAAAGAGGTTTTCTGGATGAGGTGGGTCCGAGTGGCCAAGAAGGCAATGGTTAAGACAGGATTACAGGAGTTGCATAAAAACATGTCAGTTTTTGCTCCGGAAGGACCGCCTGCGGTGGTAGCCACTTTTTTCGCTAATACCCACAGAAATGTGTGTTTTGCGGAGGACCATCCTGTGATGTTGAGTGGTGAAACTTTCACCACTTGTCTCCCAAGTCGCTGGCAGTGACACAAATCCGTTAAGACAGATCTCGAGAAGGCGACTACATTCAGATACTGTACACTCTCGGACACAAGCAAACAATTACAATAGGTTCTCCACATACCACTTATGTTCACGTATCAATGCGTCTTTGATCGTGCTCGCCTTCTTCCAGCCGTGACCCTCGCCATCGTAGAAGTGGTAAGAAAGCTTCTCGTTTGGTGCTTCCTGCTCGATCTTTTTCAAGAATCTGGTGGCCTGATCTTCTGGAACCACAGGGTCGTTCTTCCCTTGTAACATCTACAGGACATGTACACAAATAGGTCAGTCAGTCACGTGCGTGGGCATCGGCAAAATCGTAACTCACGAGAAGTGGAATAGTCATCTGGGGCTGACCAAATGGGTCGAGAACGTTGTAGTACGGGCTGCGCTCCTCGTACACGTCCGGAATTTCATCCGGAGAACCACCCAAGAGCTTGTACATGTACTGCAACTCGAACTTCTCCGTCGCCTGAGCCAAAAGCTTAAGGTCTGATATGCCACCATAGGCAGATGTCGCGGCCTTGTAATACTTGTTGTTTTTGGCTGTGGTAGTCGAACAAAGCGTGGTGAACCCGCCAGCGGAGCCTCCCCGGACTGCAGCGTGGTTGCTATCAACCAAGCCTTGTTGTTTATCGACCATTGTAACAGCATCTTCACAATCCTCATTGTCCAGGATACCCCAATTACCAGCGAGGAGCTCACTAGGAGTGCGCAATTGTATTTGTGATCATTTACGGGCAAGAAGCTCACTCACATATAGTTTCGGCCGTATCCCGATGATCCACGATAGTTCACATCCAACCTAACAGTTTCATCGTCGGTCGATACCGGTCACCAATATCGCCGAAAGTTGCAATTACTCACCAAGCAAATCCACGGCTAGTAAAATACAACTTTTTCAAGTCCAACGCCTGCGTCGACATGGAAGTTGGGCCTCCATGCACACCCGTGATGCAGGGTGGCTTCTTTCCAGCTGGTCCTTCGAAGTCAGGGTTCTTCGGGAGGTACAGGATGGCATAAATTGGGTTAGGATCACCACCCTTGTACAGCGTAAAGGGTTTTGGGACTGAAATGTACGCGTCATCCACCGGCTGCGCGGAACTCCTTTTCAAGTACTCGTAAGTCGGGACAAACGAAGGTGCGGCTCCAAGTGAACACTGAAGCACGCCACCAGGTTGATTGTTCAAGCTAGCTGTAAAAACAAACGTCGTAGCATTGGGACCCGCCTGCTTCAGATGTTGCGCCACCACGAATGGGAAATCAACTATTTGTACCGGGTCGGAAGGTTTGGTGAGATTAAGAATATATAGGATATTGCGGCCATCCTGGAAGGCAGTGAATGCCCCGTAACTGCCATCTCCCAGCAGAGCGTAAGGATAAAGCCCAAAGTACCAGGCAGGCTCAGCGAAGTCCTGTGCGATCGGAGTCGCAAGTACAGCTCGAGAGGAGCCGGTGTCAGTGGAATAGATGAACGGGTTCTGGAAACGGATGGACGAGCCGGGAGTATAGTCGGATGTATAAAGTAAAGCGGTGTCAGAGATCCAAGAGGGGTATCCTGTGGAGATCTCGAGCTTTTTCCCGGCGACGCGCGTCGTGTTAGAGAGAACAATGGTACCGTTTTTGATCGAGACATCTGCGACGTAAATCAAGGCTCCTTCGAAGGGCATGTCTGGCTGGTACCACTCCTGCCAGGCGATCTTAGTTCCAGAAGGGTTGAAGACTGGAGCAGCATAGAAATCTGCGCCTTTCACAAGGCCTGTGCGTGCGGCAGTCGTGGTATCAAGGACACACAAAGTGGTTACAACGTTCTGGGGGTTTTCGTCTGGATGATATTCGAGTATAGATGCGATCAAATTAGTTTGAACAGGATGCACGGCAAAGTTGGCATAGCGATATTGTTTGTTGGGATCCTCTGGCGGCGGATCGGTCTAGCAGTCGAGAACGGCACCTTAACTAACGTCGACGTACCGGGTGAGACTGGGCTCGGCTCACTGCCCTGTTTGTCTTTGACTGAATACACTCTGCCGTCTGTTGCATTCGAGAAATAGGCGACGCCTCCATACACAACGGCTGCAGCACCGCCATATTCATTCACGGCATCGCGCGCATTAAAATCAGATGGGATCACGTCCCGACCTTCAGCCGTGTTGACAATTACAGATCGACCGCCTTCATCGGGGCGCTGTTCGATATGGTACACGACCGATGTAATGGGGTCGACTAGCACATCATCGAATACGATGCTCTATCCATACGAAAAGTGTAAGTGCAGTTACAAGTGAGGGATGAGCCACGTACGCTAGTGGCAACAGTCTCCGGTGTGATAGGGGACGTCCACGTTCCGTATGGAGCAGTTTGAACCATAGGTGATTGATTACTGAGTGAGAGGAGAATGCGTCTGAGAGCGACTTAGCCAAAGCATCATGATCGAAAAACGCGGTCGTTTTTATAGGGCATCGTTGGCAAGTAGACTGATCCATCCCGATACGTCATGTTCACCATATTTCTGAACCTGCATCAGAGGAATCAGAATGGAGAGACGCGATAGGCATCCTTCTGCCGACTGCGAGGATTAGATTTGGGGTTTGACCGTGTTCTCTGTGTAAACACACGGTACAAGTTGTACCCGTGTAACCGGATGGCAGGGAGAATGGTCTTTCCTTCTGATGGACGTCCGTGCTCGAGGCTCATGGCATCATCTACCGGTAGAAGCCTCCAGATGATGTCCGTGCATACAAAATGGTAACTAGATGACCCACACCTTGTCACCCTGCGTCTAGTTCCTGAGGTCCCATCACTTGCACAATTGCGAGTTCTATGGAAAGGAGAACCAAGCACAGCAAGCAAGTGCTTGTCAGGGGCCAGGCTGTGATTGACAGCCCACTCGTACCTCTGAAAACTGTGCAATGGTCGGTTGTGCCTTCATTAAGGGGACAGACAAAGTACTACAGAAATCACACGCCAATTATATAATTCACTGAACCATGTGCACAAGTCGACACTCGTGACCACATATCAAAATACAGTTTTCGAGCCTCCAGTTATTCCAGGATGCAGAAGCAATCCTCCTCTGCTTGATAACGGGCCGAGCGAGTATATAGCCGGTGGGTCGGCGGAAATTTCACATATGCGGATTGTGTGGCAATATGACAAGTTAAGGTTATCGTCCATCTCCGCCGCGTATATTGTTGGACGTTTGGAACATTTAGACTGACATCGTGACTGAGTTTTTCTTTAAATAAAACACGGAGATATTCAGTACTTGGAACACGAATGCTTTCCTTCAAGGGACACTCTTAAATGCTTGTTCAAAATCCGTAATGATATCGTCGATGTGTTCAATTCCGACAGATACCTACAACACAGCATGAATCAGTCAAAACCCAAAGAAAGCCTGGATTATCTGCATACCCGGATCAGATCGGGGGTCACGCCAGAGGCCAATCGCTCATCATTCGTCAACTGCTGGTGCGTAGTTGTGGCAGGATGGATGACGAGTGTTTTGGCGTCACCAACGTTGGCAAGGTTACTGGCAAGACGGAGGTTGTCAACAAGTTGACTGGCCACGCCGATGTCGCCCTGAACACCGAAGCTCAACACACCACCGAAAGCGTTAGGCCTTAAGAGTTCCTTGGCACGTTCATGGTACTCGTGACTCGGGAGACCTGGATACGAGACCCAAGAAACCTTAGGGTGATTTGACAGCCAACTGTTAATACACGCACGGTCAGACTCTGAGACAACTTAGCAGGGATCACCCACGTAGCCAAAACCAAGGCATTATCCGAGTGTCTCTGCGCCCGCAAACTCAGAGTCTCAAGGCCTTGGATTAGGAGGAAAGCACCGAAGGGGTTGAGTGCGGGGCCAAGGTCGCGGAGGAGTTCAACTCGCAACTTTACGGCGAACGCAGACGACCCGAAAGTTTCACTGAAAACAAGACCGTGATAGCCCTCCGACGGTTCAGTGAACGATGGGAATTTGCCACTGCGAGTCCAGTCGAACTTGCCTGAAAGATGTCCATGACGAAGCGAGCATGAGAGTCGTGAGAGATCCCTGGATACTGGACATACCCGAGTCGATAATAACACCTGCGATCGTCGTGCCATGGCCACCGATCCACTTCGTTGCACTATGTACTGATGGATATCGAGTCAATGCAGAATCATACATGTCGTAGGTTATGCACAAACCGACAATGTCTGCTCCTAACGAAATGGGCCGAATGAGGTAGCCGCCCATTCCAAAAGTATTATCAACGATCAAAGGTATGCCGTTTTTATGTGCAACCTACACAGAACCACCATGAGCCCTTGACCTACCACGGGGAGGAGCCACTGGACACTGACCTTGGCCAAGTCAGGTATCGGGGCAACATTATATTTCGGGTTGCCTATACTCTCGACGAAGATCGCCTTTGTCTTCTCATCGATAGCTGCTTCAAAGTCGGCTGGGTCGTCGCCCTGCACGAACTTGACACCTATTCCGAACTTCTTAAAGGTGACTATACTGAATTATCAATATCCGCCCGAGTAGGCACATCATTCACCCCCTTACCTTTGAATTGGTTATAGGTCTGCAGCGTGACATTAATTATCAAGACGGAAATCATAAAGTGTTACTCACCCCCCCATACAGATATGAACTACGGCGCGATGCAGGTCAGTAAATTTGCAAATGGACGGCGAATACGAGTCCTTACGTAGAGACGATGTTATCACCAGCACTTGCGATTGTAGAAACAGCCAGGAATTGTGCCGACTGCCCAGAGGAAGTTGCAATAGCAGCCACCCCTCCTTCTAGTGCTGCCATACGGTTCTCAAAGACGTCCTGCAAGAACAAGTCTTTGAGAAGGGGAAAGGATGCTCAACATCGAAAAAAGGGAACGGACCACTGTGGGATTGCCAATACGGGAGTAGATGTGGCCGAACGTCCTGATAATGCCTTAACACCTTGACAAAGATGGACTGAGGTATTTACTTCAATTCAAAGAGCTCTGCACCGTGCTAAGGGAGAAATTAGTCCCTGACAGACTTCAGCACGTTGAGAAAGAATTACCGCAGAGTCGTTGAACACGAAGCTCGTAGAAGCATAGATGGGCACTGCTCTGGCTTTCGTAGTAGGATCTGGAGTCTGACCAGCATGAAGCTGGAGCGTCTCGAACTGAAGTTGCCTATACCAGAGTAAGATGTTGCTGCCAAAGGATAATGGTGGAAAGGATACCTGTTGAGATCAGCCATGATTGTCCGAGCGAAGGGAATGGAGATGATGTCAGTTGATTAACTGATTAGGGGGTACCATAATATACGGCTTAGATGCCCATGCTTCGTCGCACCGTAACACCCGACAATTCGCAAGACAATTGAATGATGCCACTTGATCACGCAATCTGATGCCATGTTAGAGGGAGAAAGCTTCTGCAGAACTTCGTCATTCCCACAGACATGGTCCTGATATCAGACTAGTACGTATGTACCGGACACTCCGCGTAGACACGGTCCGCTATATCACCTGATCTATTTTGTCCGACCAACTCGGGGTGTGTACCCACTCTCATATCAGTGGTATACCGTGTCATTTGTCTTGTTCGCGGCTCCCCGAGCCTCTTCAAGAGTATTCAGACCGGTACCGTCATGTAGATACCCCTTGCTATGACTTTTCCCCAGTGACTGTGCTCCACTTTAGTAATTCGGATTCTGCCAGGATGCCCCGTGAAGCTGTCGACATTCTTCCTCATCATGTCGAAGGGAAGCTCAGGGAAGCTCATACGGGATGATCACATCAGACGGGCGAAAGCAAGTGCTACTTTAAGGATATGTTGTCAGTTCAGAATTCCGATTGCTGTAACACCTTATCAGTGGGGTTAGTGCGAAGTCAATGTTGAATGGTAACACTGTATAGTTTCTGGACAACCACGCGCATTCAGGAGGTCCAAGTTGAGCGAACGAGCTGCCAAACGTATACTGAACTGATAATACTGCCATTTAAACTTACGCGTAATGAGAAGTCCTGGACACAATCAGGGCCCAGACCTGGGGACGTCTTTAATCCTCGAAGGCAGCGACGGACCAGTATCTCCAGCCACATGACAGGAGAGAAGGGATGCCAATGGGTGAGCCGAGAACCACCACCAAATCCTGGACGCCGTCAGGCTCCAACTCTGGGGAAAACCTTTTATCGTTTGAGATAGCGTTGGCCTGTCGGCCGAGAAGAGCCGACCTGCGCACTCCGGCTGGGGGTGACTGTGACTGCAATGGGGTTTGGATTGTGTAGGGCATCATCACGCACAGTCTCACTGCATCTACAGAGATGGACCAGGCCATGAACCCTTAGGTTGTAGACATCACCGGAGTGGTTGATGGTATTCCGACGGTGGAGATGCTCACGTTATTAGGAATTGAGCAGTTTTCCGAGTACGCGTTACCACCCACGTACGATCCTGAGAAGTATCAGGGGGGCATAATTTGTCCTCAGGGTATTCGGAGCGTTGAGGAGCTTGCAGATATCCACATGTGCAACTCGTGTCGCAAGGTACTCACCAGCACAAAACCCCATCAGCCGAAGGACGCAATTACAAACTTTCGGTACACACTATGGTAGGGCCGAACTTCCGGGCGACGTGAAGTAAGCTTTACAGTGTGGTAGTCAATTTGAACTGATGTTAGTTGCGTTGTGCCGCGTCACCACTATCACGCATTATTATAAGTCGAAAAGTCTTCGAGGTGATCGTCTTCCAGAGGAGGCCAGTCAACGTTGTTATAGTAAAAATGTGGCAGCTTTGTCACAAGATCCCGGTGGTTTTTCGGAACGTTCTTCCACCACCCTTGGAGGGCATCGAAGGGTCCCTTTGTGTGGTTTTTGCTGGCAGTAGTTTCCAGCTCTCTCCAGAAGCCTCGCGGAAGTCCTCGTCTCGAAATCTAAAGTGAAATGTGTTATTGATCAGTCAATGAGTAATACGTTTTTTTGACTCGAAATCTCTTCACTGGGCTGTCGGTGAAGGTGATTTAATTGCACGTCCATAGTAGGGCCAACATCAGTTGTATCACAGTACGCCTTGTGTGTCAAAGGCAATAGAGATCCCGTTTCGATTCAAGTGACCACCGGGCCGGCTGAGCCTCGTCATAAAGTATGGGACTCCCAAAGCTCGATAGGGACTGAGAAAAGTTATGTTCAGGAGTTGCAAGTACACCACAGGCTAATCAGAGATCGACAGTGAGGTCAACGTACAGCTCGCTGTGCTGTTACTGGTAAGAGGCCTGCCCCAACTTTCCAATGCCTCCTACAACAGCACCTATGTCATCCGCAAGACCAGAGGTGAACATCGGGACGTGCTGCATGCTTGGGGTAAGAAAATCAACAATGCTGGCAGGGGACCCACTCACGAGCTGTAGACCAGAATCCACTGATTTCAAAAGTTCCGATTTGGGCCACAAGCGGATGTCCTTCAGCTCTACAGTACAATATTCTTGCAGTATCTCATACAGCATGCAAAGTGATCCGATGTCTTCATCTGAGGTGGAGAAACCGTTGATACAGACGCATAGTGGCCGTTGGCCCTGTCGAACCACGAGCCACTCCACGAGGGCATTGGTTTCTCGGATAGGTGGTACCAGCCACATCTCGGGATCAATATCAAGGAAAGCCAGGCTTTCGAGGCTCCTCCAGTAACCTGCAGGAGCCTGCAATGCACCGACCCTTTCGTAGGGGCTGAAAAAGACGTACAGCGGGGAGTCTGCAAAATTCTGCATGGCAAACATTTGGAAACGCTCTGCAAAGAGCTAGAGCATCTGACGTATCCAGACTGTCGAATGGTATCGTGAAAGAGACCTGTTTGACGCTACCGAACTTATCCTCAAGGCCGCTGAGGTCGGTAGAAAGCGGATCGTCCGAATGAAGAGTATATTGGAGAGATCTGAGCTTGGGAGTTACGATTGCTTTGAACAGATCACCTGCATTCCGGAGGTCGATTTCCAAGGTCTCGAGAACAGGAAAGTGAACACTGTTTGGCAATTCCAACCCTGCGAGCAGCTCATAACCCGAAAGTGATAATGTGACCAGTGTTAGAACCGGAATGTGGTCCGAAAGTAATGAGTTGCAGCCTGCAGGGTTGGAATTGATATGGTTCAGAGCCGCCGGGTCTTACTGTAAAACATACCAAGCAATGGGCACAGATTAGAATATACATCTTCATTCCTGACTTCCAGATGCTCCAGAACGGGGACATTTGTTCGGGAAAGGAAGGATGGGATGGGAGATCTCGATTCGAGTTTAACACATTTCAAGGATGGAAACTTGATACCGTTGATATGGTCCATAATAAATTGTCGCGCTGGTTTGGGCATCTTATTCCATGTAAGACTGCGCCAGCGACTGGCACAAGGAACGAGGAGGCCCAGACCTTCGCGAATGGTTTCATAGGAACTGGACGGCTCATCTCGAATAGTAACGTCAAGTGGTGCCTCGCAACTTTTCTCCAACCGTTCCCTTACGCGACCTAAGTTCTGTTCGCCACTGATCTCTATCGTGGACCAGAAACTTGGCTGTTCCAGAATCAAATCTCTCCAATGCCGCGATACACATGCCAGGATCTTCTTTCGCGAAGGGTTGGGTCCACGGAGAGCGAGATGGAGAATTGACGAGAGCAACTCTATAGGGAGACGTTGAATGATCGGTGGTTTTTCTTGGATCAGTTCGTTGATCCTCTTCCTCTCTGCCGCTGCTGCGACACGGACGTCCGATAGCTGTTTGACAAGGTTCCGCTCACTGTCCTCTAGACGAGCCAGCTCAGCTCGCGCTACAGCAAGTTCATCCATGATGCAGTGAAGTTGGCGGTTCTGTCGGACGGGTGTCAGTGCCGTGAATCGGACGCTCCGACATTGGACTTAAGTCACTTGGAAAAGAAAAAAAGACCAAAGCACACAGAATTTTGATCAGTACGTTCCGGAATAGAGAAGGCTGAAACTTAGGGACGCCCAGACTCCGACGAACTGGTCCTCTGGCAGTGACATTGGGTATTCAAGGTCACATCCTAGTATGTACGTACGTATTTGCTACTACAATCCACATGACCAAATCCATTGAGTTTCCCCGAGCCCGAGACATTGCTCTCACCACAAGGTGGGACCGTATCCTACGATGAGTACTGTTCTGTGACAAATCATATCTTCAAGTGCCATGAAGACAAGTTTCATACGTAAGCCCTCTGGGCACCCCTGGACGCCATGACACACAACCACACCATCACTGAAACAGACCGGCCTTCACATCCTCACGCGGACGGAACATCTTCGTCGGCAAGCATATCTAGGAGATGGCAGCGTGAGGTTCGGCAAAGTCCATCCTAACCATAGATCTTGGTCTGAAAGGAATCTGGAAACCGAGAGGAGTTGCGTTTGAACGGGTGAGCACAAGCCATGATCCCTCCTGGACGCTGGTACTTCTCCTCGCCTACGGGGACTGTTGTTACGTGCATGGCTGCCTCCCAGGACACAAGCTGCTCTCCATAAGTAAGCTGACCGGGGTAGGGAATGTGCCAAATCTTGTAATCATCGGGGGCATTCACAGCTATGTCATTGACTAGGTCAAAAAAGTCGAGGCAGTATTGTCCATACTGTGCCATGCCACCATCCCAGATGCGGATGACCAAGGGGGAGTTGGGGAACGGGTAGTGTTGGATGCTCTTGTCATTCAGGCAATGGCTTGCCCTAGAGATAGTTAGCACTTGCACGGACACGAAACTGCTCCGAAAGACACCTGGGGAGGTGCTGGGTTGCTCTTTGGTGGCACTCGTTCGCACCTGCTTCGGAGGGGCGCAGCGTCGTAACGCAGCATTATTTGTTTTCCCAGTAGCTGGAAGGCCGCCATCAGGAATGAGCAGGCTAGATACAGTGGCACGAAGACGCACGCGGTGAGCGGTGGCATTTATTCATCCTTTGGAAGGTGCGTCGCGCTGCGAAGGGGGATGGGAACGGATTAATAACTTAGTCAACACACAAGCAGCGTACACCACTGTCCATGTCTTTATCGTAGCACTCTCTCAACTATGTGCACGACGATGCATCGAGGAGGGCCACGCACGTGGTCGGGCCCGCGGCCCGGTATGATCTGCGGTCACAGACGGCGTCCAGGAATAGAAGTTTGAAGCCCGGAGTTCTGTCACTCGTGCGAACGAGTGGTCTGGCGGACTGCCCAGTTGCTTACAAGTATGCAGGGTGGTTGGGGCGATACTATATATTTGAATTTCAGTCTTTCCACCTTCACGTCTGACAGACAAGCTGCATCGTGCAGAAAGTGGGAGCCTGCGATCACTCCCTGGTTCCTCGTGCAGACTCAAGCATATGACGAGTAGTACGTCGAACTCGCAGACCACTTAATGATCCCAATTTCTACACAGAAGATCCCCATCGACGATATTGTCATCGACTCTCTTTCTCTGATGATATGTATATCACGTCCAAGACGCGTAGCCGATCACGGTCTCTATGTGATCGTGAACGGCAACCGTTGCTGATGTCATTGCTTCCCCGCTGGGCGTCTGCACAGACAGGTATGCGCCCCGTGTTTTGCATGTTGAATCACGTACTACAGATAACCCCAACCAACTCTGCAGTGCACCTCGGGAAACTCCACCAAGTTCTCATGTCTATTGTTGAGGATCACAACGTGGATACCCCACAGACCGTCGTCACCACGGTGTGTCATTAATGCCGCGAAGAAACCTCGTTCAAGGAGCTGATTTCTATTCTTCCCTAGTCTCCAATCTATCCGGCACCAATGTTGCCTATGCCTGACGTGAATAGTTTCCTCCTGACATGCCTCGGGAGGGCTAGCCTTCATCTGTGAAGCTAAGGTATCATGACTTTCTCTCGCAATTCCACTACTTCTAACTGTACCCGTCTTCTGTGCTTCGTGTTTCTAATCCATGGTATTCTTATGATTAACGACACTCTTGTGTATCGCAGGATATGCATGCCCGTGCTGAATCCATCTCCGGAAGATAACACTCCTGCTGAGCGAGCACTCCAGAGCACTAAGTGGAGGAAACAAACAGTTGAACTGACAGTACTACGACACGTGATGAGAATCACAAACCGAGGTCAAGATTCACAACTGCGCCACGCTCTAGGTTCTTAGGGAGGATAGCTTGTTACAAGAGATGGACACCGACCCTTTTTCGGTGAATGGTTTTGTCGCCAATGCCGTGAACCTTGATTCTCACATCTTGAAGGTAGGTGTACACTTGGGCGGTTCCCCACCTACACCTAACGACGGTATGTCCTTGAAGTTGTGTAGAAAGCAATGGTTTTTTTTTCCTGTTCAGTGGCATAACGACAACCATGGTAACCGGTGGGCCAGCTGGAATGTGTCAAAGAAGGGTGGGTCTCCAGAAAACTACCGCGAACCTAGTAAGAGGTTGTACTTAGGAATTGCAAGCACGCTGCAATCAGAGGCTAGCAATGAGGTAAATGAATACAAACTCATTGCACGCATGCCTTTACTCGTGAGACGGCCACTCCCCTACTACAGCACCTATGTCGTCCACGAGACCAGAGGTGAACGTCCGCACGGACTGCAGTCCCGAGTTGAGGAAATGAACAATGCTGGAAGGAGAACCACTCACGAGCTGCAGACGGGAACCTGCTGATTTTGAAAGCTTCCGATTCATGGCACAAGGCGACGTCTTCTAGCTCCACGACACAATATTCTCGCAGTATTTCGTACAGCATGCAAAATAATGGGACGTCTTCCTCCTCGGCATAGACGCCTTCGATACGGACGCGTAGTGGCCGTTGGTGCTGTCGTTCCACGAGCCATCGGACGAAGGCATTGTTTTCTCGAATGAGTGGTTCCAGCCATATCCTGGGGTCCATGTCACGGAATGCCACGCTTTCAAGGCTTTTCCAGTAATCTACAGGAGATCGAAATGCATAGGTGCCTTCACAGGGGTCGAAAAAGGCGCGTGGGAGATATTTCGAATAAAATTCCGCGTGGCATACATTTGGGAACACTCTGCAGAGAGCCAGAGCACCGGAAGTATCCAAACCGCTAGAATATATAGAGACCCGCTTAACGCTACTGAACTTCCCCTCAAGGCTGCCGAAGAGGGTAGAAAGGAGATCTTGCAAGCTAACGGTATAGTCGAGAGATATGAGCTTCGGGGCTACAACTGCTTTGAAGAATTCAACTGTGCTCGTGAGGAAGATCTTCAATGTCTCAAGAACGGGGAAGTGAAGGCTGTTTGGTTGGAGTAACCACGGCGGCGAATGACCGGAAAGCGTTAATGTGACCAGTGTGAGAACCGGAATATGCGTTGAAAATGACGTGCCTGCGGAATTTTTGAAATTATGTGGTTCAGGAGCATTGAGCCTGACTATAAGACATACCAGGCGCTGAAGCGGTGTGGACTGCGACTATCACGATCGTCGACCATGAGATACCCAAGTTCCAGATGCTCCAGAACAGGGACATTTGTTGCAGAAAGAAAAGTAGGGAAGGCATCGGCACTCCAGTCGAGTTCAATACGTTTCAAGGATGGAAACTTGACAGCACCTATACGGTCCAAAATAAACTGCGGAATAGACGCCGAAGACCACGAATAGATGTAAAGGGTATGCCAGCGGTCAGCACAAGGAATGAGGAGGTCCAGACCTTCACGAAGACTACTGTAATTCCTTGGACGACTCAACTCGAATAGTGATATCGAGCGGTGCCTCACGACTTCTTTTCAGGTGTAGGCCTCACGGCGGGGCTTAACTTCTGCGAGCTTACAATCTCTATCGCAGACCAGAAGCTCGGATGGTCCAGAATTACATCCCTCCAATGCCGCGATACAAGTGCCAGGGTAACTTTTTCCGAAGGTTTGGTTCCACGAAGAGCAAGGAGAAGGATTGAGGAGAGCAGCTCCACAGGGAGACACTGGATGGGTGGTGGTCTTATTCGGATCAGTTCGTCGATTCTCTTCCTCTGCACCGCTGCCGCCGTACGGACGTCCGATAGCTGTTTGACAAGGTTTCGCTCATTTTCCTCTAGCCGGACTAACTCAGCTCGCGCTGCAACAAGTTCGTCCATGTCGATGGCTCTATGAGATCGGTGTCAGTAAGAATGGTTCTGAGGGTTCAACATTCACCTATGAAGAATTACTGGAGTTTAGTCCCTTTGAAAATGATTGTCAGAATTGTCAGAACGCGTAGAATTTCAGGTAGATGTACGTTTGAACGAGTCCAAGAGTTAAGAGCTGAAGGTTAGGGACCCTGTAATACTACTCACCAGCTCAAGCACTCTGACTTTGAATTTTGGGTTACGTCTTCTTACTTGCTCTTCGATGAACTGGCATCCGACTTCGACCTTCGCTGGCCTAGCCTCCTTATCGATTGAATTCGGTGGCGGTGAGCCGCCCAACTCTGTTGACGTTGCCTCGATATGGGGTTCTTCGTGAGCTGGGTTGCTTGATTTATGCAACGGTCGTCCGAGCATTGCTATACGGCTCTCCACCCACAGTCGACGTGAGTCAGGTTTACCTTACCCTTGTCTCTCCGTGAAAGCATTGCGATCAGCGGATGTGTATGTGTTACATAAAAGTATACGTGCATAACTTGAACATAACGCTACACAGCTGATCCTGGATAATATAATCTCCAGGTAACTTGCCTGTCCCTATCGATAAGGTCCGCTCACATGTCACTTTGTGCTCGAAAAAGTTGTTGGTTGGCAGATCCAGAAAATTGGCCTGCTTCTTCCGTCTACTATGGGGTTCGCACCTGTTTGAAATCCGACGTCACAATTGCTCCGGAGTTGGAACTGCATCCTTCCAAGAGAACAGATCATATCTTCAAAAGAATGATACCCACCTAAGCGGTGAAATGCTAATCTGACCTGGTGACCAAAGGAATTTGAAACTCCAGGTCGTGCCCCAATGATCGTAGGGTTTGTCTCTAGTCCTCTGGGCACTTGCGTTAATGAAGCATGTAATACCACCGACACAACGGATTGGTGGTGGGAACGAGTGGCCTGGGGGGACTGCCCGGATGCTTACAAGTATTCAAGGTGGTTTGGGCTGGCATGCAGGAATACGCTGACGCCTAGGAACTGTAATCTAATCTGACGGCCGTTTTCCCTCATAGGTTTCCGCAGGTACCATATCCGCATTTTGCATGTCGCAGCACATACCGTAGACAATCGCCACTTCAGGGATGTCATTGGTCAATTTCGCAGTGCACCCGGGGCAACCCGTGTCCGTTCTCGGGGGTCGATGAAATTGCTAGCAAAGGAAGTGAGTCTCTTGTTTTCGATTCGATGTGTCGTAACGACAATATTGGCGACTGATGGGCCAACTATATCTCTACCGTAAAGCGTGGATCCCCCAAAACCTGGTATGAAGTAATGGTATTCGAGAGTTGCGAGTACACCACAGGCAAAGAAGGAATTGGATGATCAACTGGGGTAATTATAATATAAAGTGGTTGCACGCATACTACCACCTGTAAGATGACTATCCTGATTCTGCGGTGCCCCTTGTTAGGACACCTACTGTCATCCACGAGACCAGCGGTGAATAATGGCATTCACTGCATTTATGAGGTGAGGAAATGAACAGCGCTATTAGGGAAACCACTCACGAGCTGCAGATGAGAAGCCATCAGATTTTTAAAGTACCGAATCGAATGACAAGTGGATGTCCTTCAGCTCCACATCACAATATTTCATATAGCATGCGAAGCGATGTGATGTCTCTTCCCCCTCGACAACGATACCTTCGATGCAGACACAGTAGTGGCTGTTGGCCCTGTCGATCCTCAAGACATCCCACCACGGAATTGATATCTCGAATAGGTGGTTCCACCCACCTATTGGACGCCCATGTCACGGAACGCCACACTTTCAAGACTTTCCCGGACGACTGATATGTATTGGTGTCTTCGTAGAGGTCGAAAAAGGATGGGGAATGTTTCGAGTAAAATTCTGCATGACAGTACATTTGGAAGCATTTTGCAAACAGCTGGAGCATCCAGACCACCGGACCCTGTCATGAAAGAGACCTGTTCGACACTACTGAACTTTCCCTTAAGGGTGCTGAAGAGGGTAGAAAGCATATCTTCCAAGCTAACAGTATAGTCGAGAGATCTGAGCTTCGGGGTTACGAACTGCTTTGAAGAAATCGCTTGTGTTCATCATACCGATTGTCAATGTCTCGAGAACAGGGGAGTGAACACAGTTTGGTTGGGGTACTGTAACCACAGTGGTAGAGTACAGGCAAGCGATAATGTGACCAGTGTGAGAACCGGAATCTGCATTGAAAATGACGTGCCCGCAGAATTGTGGAAACTGATATGGTATCAGAGCCATCGAGTCCAACTATAAAACGTACCAGGCGCTGACAGCAGATCATGACGATAGTTTCTGAATTCCAAGTGCTCTGGAACGGGGACGTTTGTTAGGGAGAGAAAGGTAGGAAGGGCATCCATCCTCAAGTCGAGCTCAAGGAAAGAAACTTGACAGCGCCAATAAGGTCCAAATTAGACTGTGATATTCAACTCGGTGCAAGACAGAAGGACTACGCCAGCGGTTTGCACAAGGAATGATGAGGTCCAGACCTAACGATATCATCGGGATCGGAAAGTGAAAAATGAATTGTGATATCGAGCGGTGCGCGGTGTGCGCCGCGACTTTTCTTCAAGCGTTGCCTTAAGCGACCTAGTCCCAGCTAACAATTCCTATCGTGGCCCGGAAACTTGGCTGGTCCAGAATCACGTCCCTCCAGCACCGCGATACATGTGCCAGGATCTCCTTTCGTGAAGGGTTGGGTCCTATCAACGGCAAGGTGGAGAATCGACGAGACTAGCTCCACAGGGAGACGCTGGATAGGCGGTAGTGCTTGTTCGGATCAGTTTGTCAATCCTCTTCCTCTGTACTGCTGCTGCCGCACGGACGCCCGATAGTTATTCGACAAGGCTTTCACTCACTGTTCCCTAGGCGAGCCAACTCACCTCGTGCTACAGCAAGTTCGTCCGTGCCGATGGCTCTGCGAGAAGCGTGTCAGTACTATCGTACACAGTGTTTCAACTTTCAACTATGAAGAATTGGGTAACCTTGAAAAAAAAATGGTTACCATGATTTCTGTCGGTTAGTTGTACGTTTGGGCGAGTCCAGAGTTGAGGCCTGAGAGTTTGGGAGTTGGGATACCTGACAACCTCAAGCATTAGGGTCGCTCAATGTTGGCGAATTTCTCACCTTGAATTCAGTTTGCGTCCTCTTCGTGCCCTTCCGATGACGGAACTCCGACTCGAACTGGTGTCCGACCACTACTCAGCTGAGTCCACAGTCAACGTGCGTCAAGCATACCCGTCTTCCGGCGTCGAAGTGCAATCATGTGTGCATGTATTCGTAGACCAAACTGATCCTGGACAATCTCCAGGTAACCTGTCCCTATCGATAGGTGGTCCGCTGATTGAGTGCCAACCGCAGTTGGATGTCACTTTGCGCCCGGAGAAGTTGTCGGATGGAACGGTTGGCTTCTTCTACCTATGGCGTTAGCACCTATTTTGAAATCAGCAGTTGTAGTAGCTCTAGAAACGGAACTGCGCGGCTCCGACCGCATCGGTGCGTTCCGTGACAGACCATATGCTTCGAATGATGGACAGTTTCCATGATAGAAATCTGAAGCCCCAAGTTGCGCCCCACCCCAATGTAAACCCGCGCATGTCAAATCGCCAATACAACGGGTCGATGGATGACCCCTCTCTGATAAAATGGTCCATCAACTTGTGGGAACGAGCGGTCTGATGGACTATCTGACTGCTTATAAGCGTGAAAGGGGGTTGGGGAGGATCTAGTAGTACCCTCGAACTGTCAACCCGAGCCTAAGTCTTTCCACCATCATGTCAGCAACCGCACCATACGGAAGGTGGGAGTCGGATATCACCCCCGAACTTCTCGTGCAGGGCGTATGTCGAGTTCCTTCGCATCTGGACACACCACTGGTTGATATCGATTTCCACACAGAGCATTCCTTTCGACGATGTCTTCGTCGATCCTCTTACTTCGGCGGTATATCACATCGAAAGGCGCGCAGCCGATCACGGTCGCTATGTCATCGTGAACACAGCGACCGATAGTGATGTCATTCCTTCCCCCCTGAGTGCCCGCACCGGTGTGCAGGAATACGGTGGCGCCGCCGCGATAGCGTACGGAGGGGTAATATACTTTTCGAACTTCGCCGATAACAGAGTCTACAAGATCATCGAAGGGCAGGCCGCGGAACCTGTCTCCCCTGGTAGGTTGCCGCTGGTATCATCCCGTGTTTTGCAAGTTGAAGGACACACCCCGCAGATGATCCCATCTATAGATATGCCAATTTCGCAGTGCACCCGGAGAAGCAACATCTTCTCGTATCTATCCTTGAGGATCACACCGTGGATACTCCACAGACCGTCGTCAACACCCTTTGTGTCGTTAATACCACGCGGAAGGCCATCTTTCCGCTTGTCGGGGGGGCTGATTTCTATTCGTCCCCTGTCTTCAATCCATCCGGTACCAAGATTGCCTGGCAAGAATGGTACCATCCCGACATGCCATGGGAAGGCTCCTTGATCTACGTCGCCGATGTGATCACCCAACCAGACACCATATTGCTATTGAACAAAAAGAAGGTTGCAGGGCAAATTCTCAAAGTCTCCGTATCTTTCCCTTGTTTTGCCAACGATACTACACTGGTGTTCACGTCTGACGAGTCGGGCTTCCAAAACCCGTTCGTGTATGATACCACAACGGGCGCTGCGAGACCAGTTCTTCCCTCACCGATCAAACAAGACTTTGGTAGTCCTGCTTGGACTCTTGGCGATTATCCTTATGCGATTCTTCATCATGGCAACACCGCCGCGTTCGTCGCTTTCCGCGATGGAAGAACTATCCTTTACACTGTGAACCTTACTCAAGTGTCCCAGCCTACTCTGCGCGAATTTCCGTTTACAGTTGCTGGGCATTTACGACTTCATCCTATACCAGTCTCCTGTGTACAAAGCGTCGTTTGTGTTCACTGCAGGGAGAAGTGAAGCGCCTGGTGGTGTCATACGCTGCGACTTCAACGACCAGATTGTAGGGAGACCAGATCCACAGTATACCGTCTTGAAGGCCAGTGGCTCCTTTACAGGTTATGAGGGATACATTCCGCTTCCGGAGCCGATCACTCTATACCGGGACGAGAAGCCGCTCTACGTAGTCTACTACGGACCCAAGAATCCAAAGTACTCTGGCCCTACGGACTCCACTGAAAAACCACCTTGCATCGTGAACGTACATGGTGGTCCGACTTCAATGGAGCCGCAGGTACTCAACTTGTTCAAGATTTATTTCACCAGTCGTGGGTACTCGTGGTGAGTGCATAAATTTCACTGTGCCCAGCAGGTACTTGAACCAAGTTAGGTTGGACGTCAACTACGGCGGCTCGTCGGGGTACGGTCGGGAGTATATGTAAGTGTGGTATTTTGATCCCGCTGGACGGTTCTCATCCATACCTTTTAGTGGGCGTCTTGCAAGTAATTGGGGCATTGTCGACGTCCAAGACTGCTACGATGCCCCTCGTCTGCTTGCATCGGAAAGCAATCCCCGCATTGACGGTGCACGCGTTGCCATCCGCGGTGGTTCTTCTGGGGGTTACACGACTCTCGCATCACTCTGTCTCGAATCCGCGCCGGGCACGAAGTACTTCAAAGCTGCGACGTCGTTGTACGGAATCTCCGACCTCCTCTCGCTTGCCCGCGATACCCACAAGTTCGAGCTCAAATATATGATCAAACTCTTGGGTGGGTCGGTTGATGACATCCCAAGGGTGTACAAGGATAGGAGTCCACTCTACTATGCCAAGAATATAACTGTGCCGTTGCTGGTGAGTTTTGCGTGGATATGCATTGCTGATTCCTATCCCCTGACGTAAATTTGTGAAGGTCTTGCAAGGTGCGGAGGACAAGGTTGTTCCTCCTGAGCAGTCAGAGAAGATCGTCAGTGAAATCCAGAAAAGTGGTGGAGAAGACAGAGTGAAGTACAAAAAGTTCCCGGGAGAAGGGCACGGGTTCCGCCTGGAGGAAACTATTAAGGAAGCCGTGAAGTTGGAGTGCGAGTGGTACAAAGAGAGGCTTCTCTGAGCATACCCGGTATACGATGTTGTCGAAGCCAGCTGTATAATAGTCAGACTTGCAAAGACAATGCACTCAGAAGATGACTTGGCTTGGCTCGTGCGCGGGGGGGCGGGAGGCGTGGTATTCACGTGATCCAATTAGCCAGATATAACTGGTCAATCAACAAAGACGCGTTCTTGCCACCTGACCACCACCACCACACCTCTACCACAGCACCTTAGCTTTTTCCTTTCCTCTCAAGCTCGATATATTGACCAATGTCTGGACGCGGAAAAGGTGGAAAGGGTCTCGGAAAGTAAGCATTTCATCCCATGAATACCCCCCGAGCAGTCATTGACCAGTGGGCCAGGGGTGGTGCTAAGCGCCACCGCAAGATCCTGCGCGACAACATCCAGGGTATAACTAAGCCGGTATGTGCACAACTGACGAGTTTTCGCGTTTCCGACACTTAATGCATGACTTGCCAGGCTATCCGTCGTCTCGCTCGTCCGTGGTGGTGTCAAACGTATCTCTGGTCTCATTTACGAGGAGACACGTGGTGTCCTGAAGATTTTCCTCGAGAACGTGAGTCACACGCCCGTTAGCTTCCGAATCTTCGGAACCGACTCATCACCTCACAGGTCATTCGTGACTCCGTCACCTACACTGAGCACGCCAAAAGGTGAGAATATCGTCGAATCGTAATGTGTACAGGAATTGACCGGCTGCTGTGCAGGAAAACTGTCACTGCTCTTGACGTCGTTTACGCTCTCAAGCGTTCCGGGCGTACGCTCTACGGTTTCGGTGCTTAAGCGCCTCGCTATGTAAGGTCCAGTCGCCTGTGGATGTCACTCTACTCACAGATTTCCCCAGGTTTAACTGCAAGATATCACGTTGCTTTCCGCCTGGTTTCCCCTGCTTCTCTCTTAACATGTCGATGATCCATTGAAATATGCTTATTATATTCTGTATGATACATACATATAAAACGATGTCTGTTCCTGTAGCTGTCTGGTCGAATGATTTTGCGAGCACTGGTGAGTGGAAACAATGTCAGTGTGATTGCAACCCCTTCCACCCCTGACAAAGCCAGTATCCTTCTGCAGACCCTGTTCGACTCGCTGAGGGCTTGATGTAGTTGACCGAGCTGAAGTTAGGGTCCAGATACTTCTCGCGGAATTCTCGCGAGAGTGGATGTTCGAAGTGCTTGAGTCTGCCAAGAATCAGCAACCGACGCCCACACGACCACGACAGACTGACAGTAGCGTCCCTCCACGTTGCTTCTTTGTCCCTGCGCTTGCAGCGGCGACGACGTGTAAATTATCCTTTGCAAATTGGAAGACCGAATGGCAAATATCGAGGCTCATTTCGATATCACGGACTCTATTCCCAGAGAAGTTGGCAGCCATATCAGACAAGATGATATCCACCATCCCGGAAGGATTTTCTGGGGCTGACAGGGCATTCTTGACCGCACCTGCCGCCTGGGATGATAAGAAGTCCATCTGCAATGTATGCACGCCAGGGATGGGAGCTATAGGCAGCAAGTCGACAGCGACGATGACGCCTCTACCGACTGTACTGCTCCACGAGCCGAACTTGTCGATCCGCGCGCCTTCGTTCAGACCAAAATTGGGTGCGATGTCCATGTCTTCGTCAGACATGGCTGGGTTGATCCAACCGAGCTTTTCAGCGACGACCTGGCTCCATCCGCCTGGAGCAGCGCCAAGGTCGACGACAGCACATATCTCGTTTCGTGACAGGAAGCGACCCCAGTTCTTGTCGATTTCCAAGAGTTTGAAAGCAGAACGCGAGCGGTATGAGGTTGCACTAGCTAGACGCTGTTTTACGTAGGGATCGCGAGCCTGTCGTACCAGCCATGAACGCGAGGATGAACTGAGGTTTTTCTTGAGGACGTCCGAAGGGCGGAAGGACATTTGCTATCGAGACGTGTTTTAGAATTATTTTGTTTGGCCTCCGCGTTCCAAACACTTCAACGCTTGACGACATGCCAGCTCAATCGCTCGTGCCAGGGTACAGGCAAGTAGAAGCCTTTGGGCCCGACGAAGAATACGAGGATGAAGAAGAGGTCTCATACGTGACATTCGATCTCGGAACAGTAGAACCCACTCTTCTTTCCAACAGTTCGACTTACAGGCTTATCGTGCGTCGCAACTCAAGCACACAGGTCAGTCATTGACCGTTATCGGTGATGATGCCGTCTTCAGGGTCTGGACACGCCTACGCCCTACCTCCAACTTGCCGGTTCTATATTCAAGGGCAGGCATGACAGCCTTCTTGGCACAGAGCTTTTGTTCACCGAGGAAAAGAGTGACCCATTCAGTTTCTTGTCCCTGCAGTAGGAATTTGACAAAAAATATAAATGACCAGCCGACAAGAGTTCTACAAAACGCTCTCTCGTCCACGCTGGTTCGACAGAACAGCGCGTCTGTTTTAAGGAAGTACAGCTCAAGGAGAAAGCACGACGTCCACCAGAAGCAGAGAGCGAGGCCCCTCACGCCCCGGGTAGTGGCTCGGTGGTAGCTCAGCCTGACCTTTACCTGGAAATGCTGAGCGGGCAAAGCTCAGCAAGTCCCGTTCGCAAGCGGAAAAGGGGTTCTAAGAAGGGCAAGGAGAGGGCGATCGAGCCCTACGCCAGTTAACGTTTATTACCGTAGTTGTATTACTGTTGGTAGTAGCGCCACTAGAGACAAACACAGCCAAACAAGTTTCCCCAAGTCAAAATTTGCGGACGTGTTTGTTTCATTGCTCGCTCGCGTCGTTCTTCGTCCTCAGCCATGGCCAACCCAGCTCCCGTCTCAGATGGTATCGGTATCGCAAACCTTCCCAACCAGGTCCGTGCTCAATGCCCAACCAATCGTCGAGTTCACGTTTTGACTCACTTCTTCGTACTGTTTAGAGGCACAAAATCGTCGCCAAACATGGGGCCCACTTCACCCTCATGGTAGTTGGTTCGTACTCGTCCGAGCTTGAAACCCTTTTAGTTGGTTTTGAACTTCCTCACGTACAGGCGAATCTGGTCTGGGGAAGACTACGCTCGTTAACACGCTCTTCGCTACTGAGCTGTCTCCCCCAAAGAACTACGCTCGCCGTCACCACAAGCAGCTCGACAAATTAACCGAAGTCGACATCATCAAGGCTGAGCTCGAGGAGAAGCAGTTCAAAGTAAAGCTCACCGTCATCGACACGCCTGGGTTCGGCGACTACGTCAACAACCGCGACTCCTGGAGCCCGATCGTCGACTTCATCGACGATCAGCATGAAGCGTACATGCGACAGGAGCAACAACCCCAGCGTAGCGAAAAGATCGACCTTCGTGTACATGCTTGCCTGTACTTCATCAGGCCCACTGGTCACACGTGCGTTAACACCCCATCCCCTGTGTAACACTGTCAGGAGCTCTTTTTTAAAAATTCTGTCAGACTCAAGCCTCTGGATATCGAAATCATGAAGCGTCTCGGGACGCGTGTCAACTTGATCCCCGTCGTTGCAAAAGCCGACACACTGACCCAAAACGACCTGTTCACTTTCAAACGGCGGATTCGCGAAGTCATCGTTGCGCAGGGTATCCGTATCTATCAGCCTCCCGTAGAGCCCGAAGATGAAGGTGCTGTTGAGCATGCTCGCATGCTGGCCGATGCCATGCCCTTCTCCATCATCGGTTCCACAGAAGATGTCAGGACGCTCGATGGACGCACCGTCAAGGGCCGCGAATATCTCTGGGGTGTTGCCGAAGTCGAGAACGAAAACCACTTGCGACTTCCGCAAGCTTCGCTCCCTGCTCATTCGCACACATATGCTGGATCTCATTTCCACTACGGAGGAGCTCCACTACGAGAACTACCGCCAGCAACAGATGGAGACCAGGAAGTTTGGTGAACCGAAAGTTAAGAAGGTTGACAATCCCAAATTCAAGGAAGAGGAAGAACAACTTCGTAGACGCTTTACGGAGCAAGTCAAGGCAGAGGAGGCACGCTTCAGACAGTGGGAGCAACACGTAAGTATCCCTTGACTTGTGCACATGTCGTGTTGTCCCACCCACCCGTTTCTTGCAGCTTATCGCCGAGCGCGACCGTCTCAACAAAGATTTGGAATTGGCACACAGTACCATCAAAGCAATTGGAAGTCGAGCTCGACAGTCTTCAGGCTGGCTATGGCCGTGGCAGTGCCAGACGATGAGCGCCTCAGTAGCCCCCACCCACTGCCTCTACATAAACCTGCTTCACTGCGTATACCCTACCTGCTTACGCTCCTTCTCCATTACCCGTGCATAGCGAATCACGACCTCTCCTTTCTTTTGGTTCCATGTTTTCCCTGCCTTTCTCGACGTTTGGACTACGCTATTGATTGCCTACCTTCGATCGTGTTGAGCGTGATGAACTTAGAATAATAAACTCAGTCCTGTATTGCGTTGAAACCACTAAGCGATGAGGCCAAGCCACAAGTGACAACCAGAGGAAAGCTGGCTGGAACGTATCTATGCATCCTTCGCGAGGCAACTGATACTGTACTTCTGTGGCCCCAGTTTACTGAATAATTGACGGCTGGCAATGATCTGTCAATGCTGTCCTTCCGCATCCTCAATACGTTCGAATCGCTCGATGCCGTCCCTAGACAGTGTCCTAGACGGTAGTATTCGTCTCATCGTCGTTCGTCAGCAATCAATCCAGCATGACCGCGACAAAGCACCCGCATGGCGTGATATGGCTCTAAGGAAGTAGGCGCCATTTACTGTAGGTTAACACTTACTGCCACTTGCACTAAGTGGCCTCCAGGAGAGCTTTGTAGCAGTCTGACGCCAGTGTGCTAGTTCATCGAGGAGCAAGGTGGGATGATAGATCTCAGAGCTCCTATGTGACTTGTTCCTTCTCAACTCCTATTGGCCCCTATGTAATGCTGCTTCATACAAAGCACAGAACGTCGAGTTGTTCAAGCTACCCTTCCGCCTTCCAGGTATCAAGGCGTACCAAATCCTTGAGCCTTCGACTGCTAGTCTCGTTCAGATGTGGTTCTGCAAGACTTGAAACTCTGTGAAGCTGTGGTAATTTTACTTCCAGTCCAGCAATTGTTCGTAGTTACATACTGACGCCCGTCCTACAGAGCCATCGGCTTCACATCGTGGATGAACTTGCTTTATCGCGAACCGAACTGACTTGGCTGGAGGTCAATGAGCGAAGACTCGTCAAACTCCGTGCTGCAGCAGCAGTACAGAAAAAGAGAATCAACGAACAGATCCAAAAACGTCCCCCATTCATTCAGCGTCTCCCTGTAGAGCTGCTCTCGCCAACCCTTCGCTTCGCTGTCATTGGGACCAACCCTTCGCAGGAGGGGGAGATCCTGGCACGTGTGTGGCGGCGTTGGAGGGATGTGGTTCTGGCCAATCCGGATTTCTGGTTCGCGATAGAGATTGTTGGCTCGCAGAAGTCAAGCCCTGCAGCGAGATCACACTTGAAGAGAAGCCGCTAGGAGCTGCTTGATATTGATATTCAGGTCGGGATTCAACTCAGGCAGAACGAATGTGTTCATAGAGATCTGGACCTCATCATTCCTTGTGCGAACCGCTGGCGTAGTCTCTCCGTTTATTCACAGACTCGGAGATCCACGCCGTATGTTATGGACCATCTTGGCAGTGTCGGGTTTCCATCCCTGAAACGTGCCGAGCTCGAGTTAAAGGTCAAAGCTTTTCCTAATTTCCTTACCACCGGAAAAGCCTCGAAATTGTGGTACTTCGTGGGATGGACATGGAGATATTGCTGGAGCCCCCTATTCGAGATAACAATATGTTCGTTCGGTGGCTTTTTGGGCTTTAGGACCAACAGCCACTATGCAGTCCGCATTGAAGGCTCCCGCTTCATACAAAAATTCATTAGGTCAGCGTGTAGGCTGTACAAAGTGCTGCCAGAACATTGTATCGTGGAGCGTGAAGGTATCACCCTATGTCGCAAATCGGAGCTTTCAAAATCAGCAGGTTCTTGTCCGTAGCTCGAGAGCGATTCCCCTAGTAGCGTTGCCCATTTCCTCCCCTCGCGAATGCAGTGTGTATCGACATTCACTGGTCTCGTGGACGACAAGCAGGTGTCCAATTAGGAAAACCAGAACAGTGGTGGTAATAGCATAGTGCATGCGGCGACTTTGCATTACATTTAGCCTGGTGCTCGTTTCTTATCGTCCAAATCCTCCTTCGCCTGTGGTGGACGAATATAACTTCTTACCAAGTTTGTGCCAGCTTTCGGGAGACCCACACTTCAAGATCGATGATACCTGGCCGGTCTGCTGGTTACCAATACCATTAGTACAGCACTATATATATAAAAAAGAAACCCCATTGCTTTCGTCCCGCGCCTCCGGGCATGTACATGTATGTGGGAAACCACGACAAAGCACCCATGGTACGGTGCTGTGCTCGCTCTGGAGCGATTGCAACGTCGGGTTTCAGGCAGGTGTGAATTATGCCATAGACCGAAGAAGCAGGCCATTTTTCTAGCTGAGAACCTCTCCAAGTGCGAAGTGACATCCGACTGCAATTCAGCAAACCTTGCATGGCGTGCTCGGACTCGGAGTCTGGACGTTTGCCATGAAGGACAGCTAGGTGACCGGCTTCAGTTAGCTTTTGGTCTCGGAACATGGGTAGAGTGCACTTGACGGACGCCGAATTTGGCGTTCATCAAGATGTGGTAAATAATAACTAGAATTCCTCGGAACTAAAATTCGGAGTTCGGGTGTTGGAGTTCTTCAACCTGCCTTTCCGTCTTTCAGGCATCAGGGCGTGCCCAAGCTTAAGCTCTTGACTCTTAGACTCGTTCGAGCGCAATTCTACCAGATCGAGACTCTGCTTTCTGGTACATAAATTTCTTTTCTTTTGAAAGTTGTAAGCCCAGTTAATATGTATGTTTGATCCTGGGTAATGCCCTGTATTGACGCTATCTGACAGAGTCACCGAGATGGACGAAGTTATTGTGGCGCGAGCTGAGTTGGCTCGGCTAGAGGAAGATGAGCGAAACCTTGTCGAACAATCATTGGGCGTCCGTACAGCCGCAGCGGCACAGAGGAAGAGAATCGACGAACTGATCCAGCAAAGACTACCACTCATCCAGCGTCTCCCCGTAGAGGTGCTCGTGTCAATCCTTCACCTTGCTCTCTGTGGAACCAATCCTTCAGAAAAAGGTACCCTGGCACTTGTATCGCGGCGTTGGAGAGATGTAATTCTGGACCATGCGAGTTTCTGGTCCACGATAGAGATTCTGGGTTCGCAGAAGTTAAGGCCCTGCTGTGAGGCTTCATTTGGAGAAAAGTCGTGAGGCACTGCTCGATATCAGTGTTCGAGTTGGGTCGGACAGATACTACGGTACCCTTCGTGAAGGTCTGGACCTCCTTGTTCCTTATGCAGCCCGCTGGCGTAGTCTTTCCGTCCATCCACGGAGCCGTTTTACAACCATGCCGCAGTTTATTTCAGATCGTCTCGGTGCTGTCAAGCTTCCATCCCTGAAAAGTGTTGAGCTCGGGCTGGCAGTAGATGCCTTTCCTACTTTCCTTTCCCCAACTAGTGTCCAGGTTCTGGAGCATTTGAAAATCTCATTTCGTAATATTGATCTACACTCAACGCCTGGTTTGTTTTGCAGCGAAGCTTCGTGGCTCTGAAGCCCATCAGTCTCATCAATCTTTCAGGCACCTCATTGTCCATGCAAATTCCGGTTCTGACACTGGTGACATTATCGCTCTCGGGTGATATACCACAGTGGTCACTCCAACCAAACAGTGTCCACTTTCCTGTTCTTGAGACCTTAGGAATCAGGCTCAGAAATGCAGATGATTTCTTCAAAGCAATCATAGCTCCGAAGCTCACATATCTTGACTATACTGCTGTCTCGGAAAATCCCGCTTTCTACTGTCTTCAGCGGTTTTGGGGACAAGTTCAGTAGCGTCAGGTAGGTGTCTTTGACAATGCTCTAGCTCTTTGCAGAGCATTTCCGCGAGTTTGCCATGTGGAATTTTACTCGGTATGGGTGCTGCCGGCTTTTTTCGGTTCCTGCGAAGGTATCGATGGGTTGCAATCTCCCGCGGATTACTGGAAAAGCCTCGAGACTGTGGTATTTGGTCGGTTTGGCCCTGATATGTGGCTGGCGCTACCTATTCGAGAAAACAATGACTTTGCACGGTGGCTTATAACACGACAGGACCCACGCCCACTCCGCGTCCGCTTCGAAGATGTTGAATCATTTTGTAGGCTGTATGAAATACTCCGGGAATACTGTGTTGTTGAGCTGAGGAACGTCACCCTGCGCCATGATTCGGTGCTTTCAAAATCAGCAGGTCCTCGTCTGCAGCTTGTGAGTGATTCCCCTAATAGCACTGTTCATTTCCTCACCTCACAAATGCAGTGCGCGCCAGTATTCAAATATTCACCACTGGATGACATAGGTACCCTAACAGGGGGTGCCCCAGAATGAGGAACGCCATCTTATAGGTGGTAGTATGCGTACGGCCACTTTGTATTATATTTACCCCAGTGCTCGTCTTTGATCGTGTAGTTCCTCCTTCGCCTGGTGTACGCGCAACTCTCAAATACCATTACTTCCTGCCAGGTTTTGGGAGATCCACGCTTTATTGTCGAGATATGGTCCACCCAGCAGTTGTCAATATTGTTGTTACACAACGAATCGAACACAAAGGCTCCATTTCCTTTGCCACGTATTTTCATCAGAGGGATCTTGGGTCTAGGCGGCAACCGTGCAAATGTACGGTACACTGGTGCGTACAACCCTCAAGATGAGGGCCATGGTTCACTACAAAAGCACGCACGGACAAAGCATCGGTGTCCATCACCCGCAATAAGTTAATCCCTCTCGAGAGCCTAAATCATGGGTCGTTGACTTTGACTGCAACTTGTGATGCTCATCACGCGTAAGTTTTCGCACTGGTGCTACTGCTAATTGTCTGCTCCGCTTCACCTAGACGGATGTCATCGGATGCTAGCTATGCTTTTGCCCCGCCTCGACATAGTTTTGGGTGAGTCATTGGAGGTTGTTAGCCCCCCATCCACCGTATTACGAGTTTCACAGATGCGGGCACTCATGTGTGCTTTCGACGTTCTCCAACCACCACCCTTCCTACCAAGCTGAATTGTACATAGCCTCACAGTTTCAGTATTCCTAGATACATAAGAGTGTGAACGACCGAAAGAATGCCGTGTATTAGACATACGAGACACAGAAGGAAGACGGCGAGGACTTTCGGCATGAAACCATTCTTGCCAGACAACCTTGGCACCAGATGGATTGAAGGCCAGGGATGAATAGAAATTAGTTCCTAAAGCAGGTGGCAAGATGGTAACCTGCGCGGTATTAATGACACACAGCATGGTGACGGCAGTCGGTAGGTATTAACGATACGACCTCCGAGAACGGACACGGGTTGCCCCAGGCACACTGCGAAGTTGGCATCCCTAAAGTCGCGATTATCCGCGGTATGTGCTTCGACAAGTGGAATGCGGATATGGTACCTGCGGAAACCTACGAGGAAAGACGATCGTCAGATTAGATTACAGTTTCTAAGCGTCAGTATATTCCTGCATGCCAGCCCAAGCCACCCTGAATACTTGTAAGCACCTGGGCAATCCTCCCAGACCACTCGTTGCCACCATCAATCCGTCGTGTTGGTGATATTACATGCTTCATTAACGCAAGTGCCCACGGGACTAGCGACAGACCCTACAGTCATTGGGACACGGCCTGGAGTTTCAAATTCCTTTGAAAGTGGGTATCATTCTTTTGGAGATATGATCTGTCATGGAGCTCACTGATGGAAGGATGTGGTTCCGACTCCGGAGCGATTGTGACGTCGGATTTCAAACAGGTGCGAACCCCATAGTAGACGGAAGAGGCAGGCCAATTTTCTGGAACCGCCAACCAACAACTTTTCCGAATACAAAGTGACATGTGAGCGGGCCTTATCGATAGGGACAGGCAAGTTGCCTGGAGATTATCTAGGATCAGCTGTGTAGCGTTATGTTCAAGTTATGCACGTATACTTTTAACACATACACATCTGCTGATTGCAATGCTTTCACGGCGAGACAAGGGTAAGGTAAACCTGACTCACGTCGACTGTGGGTGGAGAGCCGTATAACAATGCTCGGACGACCGTTGCATAAATCAAGCAACCCAGCTCACGAAGAACCCCATATCGAGGCAACGTCAACAGAGTTGGGCCGCTCACCGCCACCGAATTCAACCGGAAAGGAGGCTAGGCCAGCGAAGGTCGAAGTCGGATGCCAATTCATCGACGAGCAAGTAAGAAGACGTAACCCAAAATTCAAAGTCAGAGTGCTCGAGCTGGTGAGTAGTATTACAGGGTCCCTCTGACCTTGGACTCGTTCAAACGTACCTGAAATTCTACGCGTTCTGACAATCATTTTCAAAGTGACTCAACTCCAGTAATTCTTCATAGGTGAATGTTGAACCCTCAGAACCATTCTTACTGACACCGATCTCATAGAGCCATCGACATGGACGAACTTGTTGCAGCGCGAGCTGAGTTGGTCCGGCTAGAGGAAAATGAGCGAAACCTTATCAAACAGCTATCGGACGTCCGTACGGCGGCAGCGGTGCAGAGGAAGAGAATCGACGAACTGATCCGAACAAGACCACCACCCATCCAGTGTCTCCCTGTGGAGCTGCTCTCCTCAATCCTTCTCCTTGCTCTTCGTGGAACCAATCCTTCACAGAAAGAGATCCTCGCACGTGTATCGCGGCATTGGAGGGATGTAATCCTGGACCACCCGAATTTCTGGTCTGCGATAGAGATTGTAAGCTCGAGGAAGTTAAGCCCTGCCGTGAGGTTGCACCTGAAGAAAAGTCGCGAGGCACCGCTCGATATTACTATTCGAGTTGAGTCGTCCAAGAATCACAGTAGTCTTCGTGAAGGTCTGGACCTCCTCATTCCTTGTGCTGACCGCTGGCATACCCTTTACATCTATTCGTGGTCTTCGGCGTCTATTCCGCAGTTTATTTTGGACCGTATAGGTGCTGTCAAGTTTCCATCTTTGAAACGTATTGAACTCGACTGGAGTGTCGATACCTTTCCTACTTTTCTTTCTGCAACAAACGTTCCTGTTCTAGAGCACCTGGAACTTGGGTATCTCATGGTTGATGATCGTGATGGTCGCAGTCGGCACCGCTCAACGCCTGGTATGTCTTACAGTCAAACTCAATTCCCCTGAACCATATCAGTTTCAAAAATTCCACAGGCGCGTCATTTTCAATGCACATCCCGGTTCTCACACTGGTCACATTAACGCTTTCCGGTAATACGCCGCCGTGGTTACTCCAACCAAACAGCGTTCACTTCCCTGTTCTTGAGACATTGAAAATCAGCCTCACGAGCACAAGTGAATTCTTCAAAGCAATTGTAACCCCGAAGCTCATATCTCTCGACTATGCCGTTAGCTTGGAAGATATACTTTCTTCCCTCTTCAGCAATCTTGAGGGGAAGTTCAGTAGCGTTAAGCAGGTCTCTTTCACGATAGAATCTAGCGGTCTGGATACTTCGGGTGCTCTGGCTCTTTGCAGAGTGTTCCCAAATGTATGCCATGCGGAATTTTATTCGGAATCTCTCCCACACGCCTTTTTCGACCCCTGTGAAGGCATCTATTCATTTCGATCGCCTGTAGATCACTGGAAAAGCCTTGAAAGCGTGGCAGTTCCGTGATATGGACCCCAGCTTATGGCTAGAACCACCCATTCGAGAAAATAATGCCTTCGTGCAATGGCTCGTGGAACGACAGCACCAACAACCACTGCATGTCCGTATCGAAGGCGCCTATACCGAGGAGGAAGACGTCCCATTATTTTGCACGCTATACGAAATATTGCGAGAATATTGTGTCGTGGAGCTTGAAGACGTCGTCTTGTGCCATGAATCGGAGCTTTCAAAATCAGCAGGTTCCCGTCTGCAGCTCGTGGGTGGTTCCCCTTCCAGCATTGTTCATTTCCTCACCTCGGTAATGCAGTGCGTGCCGATGTTCACCTCTGGTCTCGTGGACGACATAGGTGCTGTAGTAGGGGAACAGTCGTCTCACGAGTAAAAGCATGCGCGCAACGAGTTCGTATTACGTGTACTTCACTGCTAATCTCGAATTGCGATGTCCTCGCAACTCTCGAATTCAACTTCTTGTCGGTTGGTATCAGTTTTCGGAGACCATGAAAACCCAACCGCCCCGCTGGTCACTAGTCCTGTCCTTTTATGTAACACTCATCGAAAAGAAAGAAAAAACACCACTACTTCCGTGGCACAACTTCAGGGGTGTGTCGTGTTTTTAGGTCCGGACAATGCGTACTGCCGAGAATCATGGTTCACATGAAAGAGCTGAGGTCCGTCATTCGCAACAAGCTATCTCCCTCTGAGAACCTAGTCGTGACGCGTGAACTCTGACCATGCCGTAATTATAAGAAATTAGTATGGTTTATGGGGCTATCTCATCTAAGAGCTCTCGAGGCGATGGCTGATTGGCATCGTGGTCTGACCACTCGAGGGGCTCGAAGAGCCGTGCAGAAGACAAATGGCACAGTATCCTACTAATATGAGAAAATATAATGGTACCGTATCTGGATTCCACAGCCACGATGTTCGTCAATAGGAATGATGATGCCCTACCAGCATCGCATTCGCTCTGCACGAAATCCTTTACCAGATCAACTGTGCCACCAGGTGGCATCATTGCCCCGATCTCTAAGCTTCAGGCCTTCGCAAGTGACGTACTACAGTAGGGTGGCATAGTGTAGGAATCGAGGAGATACCAGGCCAAAATAGGGGCGGACAGCGGCGCTGCAACTGGAAATTCGTCTGGTCATTTTTCGTCGGCTGCAATTTCGCCTCCCACGGTCCTCCCATTCAAGTTCAGTCGGGGAAGTCTGGTACACAGGGGGACACGTGTACACATACATCATACTCATCATTATGCATGGTCATTCATCACTGCTGGCGTTATACCTTGATATTCCTTGATTTCCCATTGGCCTTGCTTGGGTTCACCATTGTAATGACTTTATATCAACATTGTAAAGTTATGTAAAGCTATACTCATGTATACTCCTGGACTTGACGTTGTCTCCAGCGGAAGGGGATGTGGTTGTGTGACTAGACATCCTCCTGGCTCCTGTCCATATATGGGTGTGGTTGGGGAGCTATGGCGCAACCATAAACAAGGTGAGTGCTGCCGTCGGAGACGGCGCCATCTTCTAGTTGACTAAAGCATAGCATTTTCTATTTCGCAACACCGAACTCCCACAACTCATTCTTACACAGCCCCTCGAGACCCGACGGCATTTCGCGAGAGAAAGCAAGATCTCACCTGTCCTGTTCTTTCCTACAGTTCCGAAGTTATGGCATCAGGAAGGGATATATCCCCTATTTCAAGTCCTGACGAATATGTGACTTCAAGCGCCAAGACGAGTTCCATTGTCAACAGGCGGGCAACCCCGGAGAGGAATGTTTCACACATCAATGCATCATGACTCGGCACAGCAGCGCGCAGACTGCTCTTGGACCCGCGGACGACGGAGGGTCAAAGCAAATTTGGCATTGTCTAAAATAGGCAAGGTCGACAAAAAAACCCCTGACTGAGTCCACCTAAACAGGCGGACAATAGGCACTGACATGCAGGTCAAAGCGACTCGAGTCACTGCAGTACTGTGGAACGGTGGGACCCACTATTTAATCACCACAGCGTGACAGGTACGTGTCCTTTTCTTGGATTCTTACCACCACTATCGTGAGCCGCTTGCCCTCACCGTCGCCCTCATCTACCGACGAAACAGTTCTCTCTTAACATGCCCAAAGAACCAAGAACATCCACGTCTCGTAAATCGAGGACACCACCCGTCTCCGATCGTAGTTCTGGCCGTCGGAAAAAGTCACGCCCGAATCCACGGGCCACCACCTCTAGTTCTGAACCAGAGCAGCACCACAAACAACAGAAACCTCCCGTGAGGGAGAGGGATATTGGCACTAGTCAGTGGCCTTTAGAGTACTTTCCCCCTCCCCCAGATGATGGTCACTGGGTACCAAAGACCGGCGGAAAGCCAATCAACAAGATTCCAGCCAAACCCTCCGGTCTTCCGCCACCTCCATCTCCCACCCTTCAGCCCCCTGTGATGCAGTTGACTTACCCCCCTCCCCCGCCGTTTACTGCGGGCGACCCCACCTGGCTTCCTGAAATGGTGAACGACGTCCAGCGCCAACGCAATCATCTCCAGACGCAACTTGGGCTGGCTCATGCAGAGGCGTCCTCTGCACTTGTTGAAGCCACGCTGGTCCAGGCGGAGCTCCAGCGCGAGATCGGTCTGATGCAGACATTCCTAAATCATGCCGCTCATATTGCTGGAAATGGGTTTGTGCGGCGTCTGCTGAGTGATGTCGACAGCATCATCGCACACCGCTTGAATCCAGATGATGATGAAGTATCTGACGTGTCTCAGGATGAGGCGATAGAAGAAGAGGAGGAAGTAGAGGCAGCGGTCACTGAAGACGGCGAGAGTGAAGCGGAGGATGACGCACCGCGCGTCGACAAAGGAAAGGGAAGACTAATGGAGGCGGACGTCCAAGAGGAACGAGAAAGGGAGTCTAGTGAAGAGGAAGAACCAACAGAAGATGCAGACACAGAGCAGTTAGCATGGGACGCACCCATCCACAAAAGCCCTCCACCCGGGATAGAAACCAACCCCTTGGCTGTGGGCAGGAGACGCGGCCGCCCTCTACGTCGCGACCCGTATCGGGTTCGGGAAGATCATCGTGGTGAACCTATACTTTACGAAGTCAGTCAGCTGAAATGTTCTGCTCCTGTCTCGTGCTCCCTTTGCTATCACTACTTATATCACCTCCGTAATATATTGCAAGAGACTCATAACGAGTTTGAAATTCCCCGAAAGCAGTGAGGTGTCTGTACATCTGCACGACGAGAACCACTAGCCATTTTCTAAGAGTCTAATGTCGTCTAATGTCTAAAATGAATAAAGAGTTGTCATAGTTCTGTGGGCTGAAGTACGAATGGGGAAAGTAATGTTCCGTTATGATGAATGCACTGCACTGTCGTCCATCGCACCCGAGCTCTACCTCAATTCAAGTAAGCGAAGAACACCAAACGTTAAAGTCGTCATGTCCTTCAAAGATGGTCTCCTGCTGACTCGAGCCAGATATTGCGCCGCCAGCACGACTTCGATGATCATCTTCAAGTAAAGCATGACAGCAGAGATTGCGACACAAGCGGTGACGATGAGAGGACTATGTGTCTGCCGCAGCGACCGTACCATCTTCGCCAGCCTCACCTGAATCGTGAGGAACCTGACCACGACGATAGCGGAGAGTAGGAAGGACACGAAAGAGCTCTTCACGACGTGTTTGCCTATCCGGAACGTGAAGATCGCGAATGCTAGCTGCTCACATATCCGGATCTGTGGGTCCAGGGGAGAGCTCAGTCAGTATGTGTTGAGTAGGGCCAGAGCCAAGACGTGCCCTGTGCATCCGCAAGAGCTCTTCGCTGTTCCTCCAGTCCAGGAACGCATAATAGTCTTCCCCTAACGCTGCGCAGATGCTAGCCAGAGCTTTGGAGAAGAGCAAGGACGCGAGGGAGAAAATGTATACAGAATAAGTGAAGATCATGCCTTCATGCTCCGCACGGACGATGATGCAGCGATGGCCAGGATGCACCAAAAAACTGAGCAAATGTAATGGGTATCATGATCGGGGCTTATCTGAATCCCACAGAAAGGAGGCCCATACACGAAGTCCTTCCATGTGAAAGTCAGTTGATAAGACAGACAAAAGCAAATTTTTGATATACATAATACCTTCACGACCAGTTGGAGCGTCCGTCAATTAGATGGGGCCCGGGTATGCGTTTCACTGCAATGTTGTTGGCGTTGTTCGCGTGTTTTTTCTTTTCTTTTCTTTTTTTTTCAAATCCATTACGTCATAGCCGTAGCAATAGGCACTATAGGGGCTTTACTCTGTTCAAACCGGATGCACTGCCATCTTGCAAGACTGCATTCACGTGGCATCATAACACACAGAAAGGAAAGGAACGTAAAGATAGAGGTGGGTTTTAGTGTCATCAAAAACCACTAGTAGTAGGAAACCTGCCATAAAGAAGAGTCAGTAATGGCTTAAGAACGAGTTGAAACAAGTTTCGGCGCAGTAATGAAACGAGATAGATTGTGACATGCACCGTATCGCACGGACAGATCAGTGTGTAGCATAAACCAGTGCCACTGTAATAACCCTGCGAAATCGGCAGACGGCCGAATGGATGACGATGCCATCTTCAAAGTACAGGTGGATGTGACGGGAGACTAACGCAAGGGAAGTACGGCAGTACTACATAGGCGACAGAGTATTACTATTGGATGGTAACCAAAGTAAGCAGGGCATGTATTGACCGACGTGCATCACAGCGCTACCCATGTTACCAGGTGGACCGACTGCTCGGTTGCCATTAGCCGATGGCGTGCGAGCGAGAAGAAGGGCCAGACAATATCGCAGTTCTATCTCCGTCAGGCACATTCCGAGGTTGGGTGCAATACTGCGACGCAAGTCCATTCCACTGCCTCCCAGACGGGAACTTGAGATTTGCATCCGGCCCTACATTCATTTCCTTGTTGAAATCGGTTCTGTTGGGTTCAAGGTGTCCGACATAAGGTGTCTGAATTTGCCGACCAGGCACACCCTGCATCTCCGAACTTTGGCATAAACAAAAAGCAGATCGCAGGTCTCCCATCTGCTGGAGCAATGGGTCACTCAGCTGTCGAGTGCATTACATGTAAGGTGCACATTAACTGTGACATGATACCCACGGACCGAGACCACCTGGCGGGGATCAGCTTTCTGACGTTGTTCCTGACGGTAGGTTGGGCACTTGTACCTCTGGTACCACATTAGAATTCGAACCATTCACGCCAGGCGAGCCGTTCAGGGATGAGAGATTCACTGCGTCCTCATCAGCTATAGGAACAGTGGTTGAAGATGTGTTCAACCCATCTGTCAGCGAAGCATACGAACTAGCCCGTCGAGAAGAAGGTTGTACAGAGGGTAAGACAGGGACTAGGTTGACAATTGGCGTTCCTGGAGGTAGCTACAAACCCCTATTGGAGGATATGGAGAACCGCTGACAAACGTTGCATGCCTTTCATGTGGACCTGCATCGATATTGGCATGCCCGTCCGGGACGGAGGGTAGTGGAGCGCGGGAAGACACTTGCTGCGACGTCGCTGGTGAGGTTGTGCAGCTAGATCACTTTTGCAATAAACAAAATGGCAGTAGGATCCGTAGAGGAACTGCGAATACAGCAAACAAAGACGGAAGTGGCGGAGATAAGAAAACACCCTGATAAGGGTCCAGACCTCGTGAAATTAAATTATCATCTCATATATTGCAAGAATTGAGGGTGAAAAAAACCACTCACCATATGCAGGAATGCAGTCCCACCATGAGTAACCTTCTGAAGCATATCCATCAAGGGCTCGAACCCGGGTCTTCAATAATGGTGGCTGGCTGATCACAGTCTTGTTCACCTAACCATAGTAAGCCGTGCTTGCAAGACTACTCAACGGGGCACTTCATGGGAACAAAACCAAGATATGATGTTGGCCTTCCTGGACGCAAACTTTCAGCGAACGTACGTAGGGATTGTATGTGGGCCTTGCTCCTTATAAGGCTGTATAGGGTAAACCGGAGGTGGCATTGCGCTCGACTAAAACACATCAAACGAGCCTCTGCAACAATGAACAATGGTGAAGAGATGGAGAACGGTTACATAGTTAGTCAGTTTATAGTCATGGTTAAAGAGTGGTACATATATACCTTCAGTCGGACATCGTAAGGCCATCGGAAGTAGTCAGAAACCACGCTGCGGAGTGCAGTAATCAATAAAGGGCAGCCATGGGACTGTTGATCAGAAAAACGGCAGATCGCGGGCTGTATGCGAACCTGATCACTTCAACTGACTCGGCACTCCGTTGGTCCCAGGTGTAAACATCATTCCATGGATCTCGCCGGTCACGTACGCTCTGTCGGACGGATCCAGCCTGCCCATACCTCCACAAGCAACATCCAGAGTGCAAGAAGCGTGGTTTAGATAAGGGATTGAGCTCGCCATCGGGAACACTGAGCAACGGGCCTTAGCGTGGAAAGTTCTGTTCACGTGTCACCTCGATGGCTCAGCCAGACGTGCACTGCACTACACGCGACAATACACGCTTGCATCGAAGACTAAGCTCTCTCAGTGTTCCCATGTTCGACAGTAAAGTCATGCAGAAATTCTTTCTGGGGGATCTCTGGCTCGTTGTCATATGGGACCCTTATCTTCAGGCCTCGGCCAATGCGATGCACACGCAATTGGCTCATGGTCTGCTGTTTGCGTGCGCTGCAGAAAACTCACCAGCATCGTTCTTGCTGCGTGTTACAGATCCTCCATCTATCGCACATTGCGCTCGTCATCTGCGTGTGCAGACGGCCTTCCATCAGGGTACTAGCAGAGAGGCCACTGGATTCGGCAAGTGAGCTATCCTGTTGGTTCTCATGAAGTTGAACATTCTCGAATTATCAAGCATTCGGCCGTCTCGGATATGCCTGACAACCGTCACCCTCTTTGCTATACCCTAACCTCCTTCTAGGCTTACCTCTGCTCTTTTGGACATTGCCAGCTAGGTTAGGCTGGTACCCAAGCATCACGAGAACGGTCCTTAACATCGGCGGCTAGCTTGTGTCGCTCCGTTTGAGTCGCTTCTAACGTACTATGATATGCGCAAGAATTTTCCGTTCATCCGAGCTGCGGCTCGAAGTATTGCGCTGCGCGACATATCTCGCACGTCAGAGTAAGTTTGAGTCAGCGGACTTAGTGTGGTTGTTGCGATCTCACTTTGTACTTTCTTTTGTGTTCAGCAACGAATCCAGCTCCATCGGCAACTGCATCAGCGACAAATGAATCAGTAGACTGGTAATATTTCAGTCCATTACGAACTACTTGGGACCTGAAGCGGTGTGTCGTGCCGTAAGGAGCACACGATTGACAGTATTGTGAAGGTAAACCTAACTCACAAATCATGAAGAGTCCCCAGAACGAGCTAGTGGAATGTTTGGGCACCCATCTGCACCCCACCTAGGCCAATCTGATCAACGATTTTGATAAGTCGATACCAGTGGGCCCCACCGAAAGCTGGTTATTAGTTGTTCGTGTTCGGACACATTTCAATGAGCGCTGCTTACGCCACTCGGTTTCATACAGAACATTCTACGCAGAACTCATGTGAGTGTTTCATTTTGGGCCCACTGCAGTAAATCCATAAGGAATCTATGAACGCCATCGGACTTCTAGTGCCCTTATTTTCAGCTTGTTTGTTCCCACATGACTCCATTTCGCCGTCAAGGTTATACAATCGTGTAGGTCCGAACGACCGTTTGCAAGTGCGCCACAGTAGACTTTTCTAAGCCAGACAAAGTCGATGGAATTGATATGAGCGCGAGACATTGATATGTCACGGATCGCGTTGCAGTACTACGCAGCTGTAAACATCGGGTACCTGAGCTATTAGTGACACATGCATCGCCGTCGTCGAGACCGAGAATAAACACTGATAAGCACTTTGCCAATTTTACCTGTCGACGCGCGTTCCTAATACCTTAGTTCAATGAGGGAAAGGTCGACGAAGGGACTGTGGATTAAGGTTTCTGTGGCGAAGTCTTGACTACAGTTATGTTTTACTAAGTTCAGGGCGGCCTGTGGCTGGGTGTCGGACAGCCAATCAGAAGTTTCAATCCCTTTTTTTTTCGTTGGTCTATCCAGTGCTCAGCCGAACAGCAGAGATTTGTATGATGCTGACAACAATGATGGCATTTTGTGAACGCTCGCTCATCATCTGCCACTGGCTTAGCGGACCGAGGACGTCTCCTAAAGTATGGGTTGAACTTTACTCACGACACGTTCTAGATGGCCTGATGAGCATATGTTGTTTATCTTTGGACGGCCACGAGGCGTTTGTTTGAGCTCTGCGTTTACATCAAAGCTACCTCTTTCGTCATCCCCTGCCATGGTTTGATTATCAGTACTTGCTGCTCCTTGACCTTACCTTGTGTGACATATCGATACGCCGAGACCTGTCAGCTGTCTGAAGTATGTACGTTTGTCTGCGTGACGCGATCAGCACTGCGTCACACTGTCTGAACTCGGTCACGTCTAGTGTCCTCGGAGGGGCTGGTATCCAAACCGTGTCGACCTGATGCTGCTTCTCAGCAAGGCACTTTGTATTCTTGGCTTACAGTGGCTTACCCGAGCGCGGCATCAATACTTCTTGCGCGTTAAAGCTATCAGAGTTCGCCAGCGAGCACCAAGTCTGAACGGACCTTCTTTGCGACTCCGATATGAACTGATAAAGTCAGCGGATTCCCGAGATGCTTTTTTGCTGCTTCAACTATGTAAGTGTCTGTGTTTTAGGCGAGCCGTTATGGACATTCGTTTGGCCAGTCACCGCTTAGGAGCACGGCCACCATTAATCAGATCGGAGCTCTTTTCCTTGTGTTCAGGCGAACCTACTAATAATAATTCTCAGATGAGCCCATATGGCAAGGCGTGGAAACCAGGGAGATAGAACGTAAATGAAATCCATTACGGGGTGTGGAGGCAAGTCGGATGGCGGCAAGCCAATGTATTACTACCGATCCCAGATGGACCAGTGCGCGAATTGGATCTCAAAATCATTGATGGTTCGCAGCAAGGGGATATACATATCTCTTCCGTACCGGATTTGACTTAGGATCCTTCAGTCCTCTCGACGCACTCGGCAGGGCACTCCTTCCACTTTCTTTTTGATATATAATATCTTCTTGTTTCATATCACGTTCCTTTCTTTGCCCCCCGTCGAAATGACCATCACATTCGCCGACAGACTCAACGCCAGAGTATGTGCCGTCTCTCTGTCGCCAGTGGCAGCGCTAAAATACTTCCTATTCAGGTCGCCGACTCTGTCATCGGGCGATGGTTCCGCCTCGAAGGCTCTGGTCATCCCCGTGAGCGAGAAGGTTCCAGGTTCATGGTAAGTGATTGTTATGGTGTGTCTTCATACGCTTACAGTGGAGGATAGACTGACGTCCGTGCCGGTATAACAACATGGGTGAGCGGATAGTCTTTTCATTCCATAGTTATCCACGTTGACTTCAGAACATTCTACCAGGCTGCCATGGCTTACATCGTAAGAAGATTTTTTAAATTCTCTACACCCACTCTTTGATTTTGACCAATGTGTGTCAAGATTTCCGTCAATGCGTCAATTGTCTCGGATTCTGGAGGAACTTGCGTCTGCAACGGTCCCAACAACTGTCAAACAGACGAGACATATCTGTCTTGCGTCCAAGAAGTGAAGCAAGACCTGATCACTAGCACGGCTGCTATCTCCGCTCTTGCCTCAGTACTCATGGGTGCTCTTGCTAATCTTCCGGTTGGGATGGCTCCTGGCATGGGCTTGAATGCATACGTACGCTTAGTGTCCCCATGCACTCGAATATAACCGCTTATCGGCCTTCCTAGTTCACTTACTCCGTTGTTGGTTACCACGGGAGCGGTTTCATCACCTACCGAGAAGCACTAGCAGCAGTCTTTTTGGAAGGGTACAGTCTAACGCCAACCTCTCTGGGTCACCTGACCAATTTTACCTTAGATGGGTATTCTTCATTCTCTCATTGCTTGGTTTGCGGCAATGGCTGGCACGCATCATGCCTCAGTCATTGGTCCTTGCCGTTGGGGCTGGCATTGGTCTGTACATTTCGTGAGTAAAATCCCTGGTCGCATTCGGAGAAGAGGTCGATTTACCACCGTGGAACACACAGGTTCATTGGCTTAAGTGCGCCCTATTGTCTCATGGGCGGACAAATCTAAAACTGGACGGGTTATTATAGCTTCCGGCGGCCTGAATGTGATCGGAGGAAACGTGACAAACTTGGTGGGATTGGGCGGATGCAATCCAAGTGGTAAGTGAAGTTGTGGAGTGTTCGACTCGCTTTTGCCTGACTGCTTGACATTAGACTGGGTTAGCACAGATCTTCCATACTACTGTGGCACCCAAGTCCTTCGAGACCCAACGGTTTGGTTGGGTATCTTCACCGGTGGGTAAGTCACTGGACCTTTCACTCTTCATCCTCCCGTCCCTCTTGTAGTACTAACCTACTTGGTGACCTGCAGCTTCCTCACCGTTCTGCTCATGATGTTCCGCGTGAAGGGATCTCTCCTCATCGGTATCTTCCTGACCTCCATCATTTCCTGGCCACGGGAACACTCCTGTCACGTACTTCCCGCACACTACCTCCTGGAGAGCAAATGTTCGCGTTCTTCAAGCAAGTTGTGGCCTGGCATCCATTACAGCACATCGGTAATGCGCTAGATGTGAGTCCATGGATGTTTCTTGACATCCTCCGAATTTACCTGAATGACATCACTAACACGCGGGATTCTCAGTATAATTATGGTAAGGGCAAAGTCTGGTATGCCCTGATCACCTTCCTTTATGTCGATATCTTGGGTAAGGCTCACGTTGCGGTGCTGGACCCTGTCGCTCACGTGTTGTGAACCCTAGACACTACTGGTACCTTGTACTCCATGGCGAAGTTCGCAGGATTGCGCGACCCCGTTACACTTGATTTCGAAAACTCCACTATTGCTTACTGTGTCGATGCAGTCTCTATCTCTATGGGAGCCCTTGTTGGTACCAGCCCTGTGACTGCATTCATCGAGTCTGCTACGGGCATTGCAGGTGCGTTACAGTGTGTCCGTCATTCTCCTGAGTTTTGCTCATGCTGCCTGATTGCTGCAGAGGGCGGAAAGACAGGTATTACGGCTGTCGTGACTGGCTTGCTCTTCTTCGTATCGGTCTTCTTTGCTCCCTATCTTCGCTTCCATCCCATCATGGGCAACTGGAAGCGCTCTGGTTATCGTCGGGTCTCTCATGATTCGTAATGTTCGCGATATCAACTGGGATTACATAGGCGATGCACTTCCGGCATTCCTGACCATTCTTTTCATTCCATTATCCTACAAGTATGTTCTTTGCTCCCACATGATTCTGCGCGCATCTGATAGCTTTGTCACAGTATCGCTTATGGGGTTATCGTTGGAGTTTGTTCCTACATCATTATCAACGGCTCTGTTTGGATCATTCGCAAAGCCTCCAACGAACGGTTCTCACCACCAAACTACGATGCCTCTGAGCCATGGGTTATCCCCCCCGGCGGCATAATCCCTGGTTGGGTGTAAGTACTCACGTTGTTTTGTTGCGTGCACGTTTGCTTAGGCATGCTTGCAGCAAATATCTTCTCAATCGCCACCGCGCGGCCCGTGAAGGCGGCTTCCGACTATCCCTTCGAGGACCGTCATCGTCGATCTGACGTGTCTGCCGATTCTGGTATTGCTGGCGGCCTCTCACCAAAGCAGTCGAGCTTCGAACAATCCGAAAAGTAATCACTGCATCTGCCGCCCGCCAGCCCACCACCACCACCCCCGTCCCGTCCCCTTCTTTCTAACCTTGGAAGGACTGTTCACAACCTTCAATGCGCACCTCCTCTTTCGTTGTATATTGCGTATTTAATACCTTTGGAGACATTATATACATATGGCGAGACCGTAAGCATCCCTCCGTGGTTTGGAGGGCGCTCGGGCTTGTGTACCTATCTGGAGATACTAGTCATAGTGGTTTGTTTCTTACATTTTCTGCACATATAATCAATCATCAATCATCTTCCTACATATAGAATGCAAATAGATGAGATCAGGATCTCTGGTACTCAGTACCTCCTTGCCGCTGACGTCGATGTCGCAACGACTCGCATGGAGGTTGGCTGCAGACTTTACGTCGGGTGCTTTGATCTAGGCCGTCATAAGACACGGCGTGAAAACGCTTCCTACGTCTTCGTCAGAGTGCGGTCAACGATTTAGAGGCGTATGCGCAGGTGTCGAGAAAAGTGTCTCATTTCGACCTTGTAAACAAGGTGATTGGTTTGGCATGGCAGTGTGGTACGATAAAATCATAAAAGTCAAGTGATCGACCCTTTGATTATGTCATGAAAGCTTCAATTCTGATTGGCTGACGCGCCCTCACGCCACAAATAATTCCGCGTACAAAAACGAGGTTGGCCTGGGTTTTCTGTCCACCTCAAACGCATCGATGTCCTTCCTCAATGCGACGGTGGCAGCAGCCCACCACACCGCTGAGCAACTCTATGCCAACGTGGACATCTCGCAACTAAGCTGGTTGGAACAGCAATGGGCAGCCTGGTACCTCTGGATAGGCAACCCAACCATCGCGACTGGTCTCATGAGTTTCATACTTCACGAGGTGGGTAATGTCACTACTTTGATTGGCGTGTCTCGCGTTAAAATCCGTCGTCGTGAAGTTCGTTTACTTTGGTCGTTGCGTACCGTGGATCATCATCGACGCCATTCCCTACTTCCAGAGGTGGAAGCTTCAGCCCGACAAGATACCTACGTCCGAGGAACAATGGGAATGTACCAAGGGTGTCCTCTTCTCTCACTTCACTATTGAACTCCCCGCCGTCAGTATTGGGGTCTTGTTCCTCGGAGCAGTCTGTTGACTTTTTTTCTTCTTCTCTTTCCTTTCTACAGATCTGGTTCTTCCACCCTGTAGCAGAAGCCATTGGTTTAGAGATGCACCAGGTTCCTTTCCCATCATGGAAGACTATGCTCCCCCAAGTCGCAATCTTCTTCGTCTTTGAGGATTTCTTCCACTTCTGGGGTACGGCACCACTCCTCTACCATCCGCATATGTACTAGGTGGGGCTAATTGCCACTTCAGCTCATCAGGCTCTCCACACTGGCGTATTGTACAAGCACATCCACAAGCTCCACCATAAGTACTCTGCCCCGTTCGGCCTTGCTGCCGAATATGCACACCCAGCGGAAACTTTTATCCTTGGTACGGGCACACTCGCCGGACCATTGCTATGGTGTTTCTTCGTGGGCAACGTCCACATTATCACGGTGTACATCTGGATTACACTTCGCCTGTTTCAGGCTATTGACGCCCACAGTGGTTATGGTGTGTAAAATTTTGCTATCGTTGCCTTGTGATCAGGTTACGTATACACTTTCCTCACCAGACTTTCCATGGTCCTTGCGGAATATCATTCCATTTTGGTCCGGTGCAGAGCACCACGATTTCCACCACATGTCCTTCACGAACAACTACTCGACTTCCTTCCGTTGGTGCGACTACATCTTTGGCACTGACAAAAAGTACCGTGAATATCGCGAACGTCTTGCCGCCTCCAAGGCTGCGTTGAAGAACAAGAGCAAGGCCGAACAGGATGCTGCTGAACGGAAACTCCTTGAGGAAGTGGAAGCTGAGGGCCACCGCGCTGAGGCTATTGCTCAGGGGAGCAAGACGCTCAAGGTACAGTAGGGCAGACGAAGATACAACGTCATATATGAGCACTTTTAATGCAGCTGTACAGTCCTGTCGATATCCATCCACGCTACATTATTTACTTCGCACAGAATAAAATAGATTTTCACTGAACAATGTTTTAGTTCACCATATACGTCATCCGATACTGCCAACTTGCTAATGAACGAAGACACGACCCACCCTGTCTCTCTAAGGTCGGTACTGCCTGTGGAGACGCTGGATCTCATATTTAAGTGTCTTTCTCGCGATGAACTACTCGGTGCTCTCAGAACCAATAGCCTGTTCCACCGGGTGGGAGCTCGTGTGCTGTATCGATCACTGGTCGACCTGCAACCCGTTCAGGCTGTTTACCTCGCCAGGACTATCGCCCACAACGATCTTTATGCGTCGTATGTACGAATCGTTGAATTCGACTGGGGAAGGTGTATTGTCACCGCCAACTTCCTCCGCCTCCTGAACCGCGCTCTCCGGCGGCTCAAGTTCATCCTGAAGCTCTCTCTCGAGTTTTCAACCACTGACAGTACAAGCCATGCTGCATCTGTCTTGAATGGATGTACGTTCTCCCTAAAGAGCTTCTCAACATCGATACGTTGCGGCTCCACGCTCGTGCGCTTCCTCGAGGCCCAGAATAATATCACCGACCTTTGTCTGCGGGGTATAAACGCCACCGATGCAGCCCCACTCTCCCCTGCGGCGCTTCCTCACCTTTCCCACTTCCGTACGGTCCTGTCGTGGCCCACACTTACTGCTAATTTTATTTGCAATCGACCGGTCGAGAGCGTCTCGATGTCGGTGCACCCACACGAGATGTGCTCAGCGCTGAATGTCCTCCTTTTGTCATCAAAGCCTATCAGAAGGTTGACTATAATGTCATTCGACACTGCGGAGCCTGTATCGCTTCTCCGTGAAATCGCTTTCCGGCTGCCGGGGCTGGAAGCTCTCCATCTCGTTGTCCTGCCAACTCATTTATATACACACGTCCGTCTTCTTCCCCAACTTAGTATGCCCCTCCTACATCCGACCTCCGTTGTATCCAGGATATGCTACTTGGGATGGGATCCTCGCTATCCCCGTTCAAGTGTCTCAAGTATCTCACTTTCATAGCCCCGGGTACTGAAGCTTCCGTAGATGACGAAGGTATGGTGGCTATGACGTGGCACGAGGCATGCCCAACCTTGAAGACGATAATCTTACCAAGGGGCATGGTATGGGCGTTGACGAACGGGAAGTGGTTGTGTTGGGATGACGATCCGTCTGTTCCCCTGTGCCAAGATGTGACGAACGAACTTTGCAGTTAAACATGGACTAGCTGTGCCGATTTGCGATTTGGAATCTCCAGTGCCCTACTTGAAGGGTGTACAATGTTGATATCAGTCACATGTTTTGTCCGACTGTTTTTCGATCTTGCTTTAGTCGCTGCTTTTCACCTCGTTCACATTGTTCCCACTGGATCCTCTTGCACAATGTCAGGCTGAACTAGCCCCTGCTGAAAATGTTCATGGCACTCCTGCACGTTCTCCACGAAGGAAAGGAAGTAGTTGACTCAGCCAACTTCAGCGTCCCCAACACTCGGAGCAATCCTCACTCGCCTCCCCGTTGTCGAGGTCGAGACGCTAGTCGGGATCGAGGCTTAGCTGTGGCAAGTTTTACCAGTAAGGCGCGCACGGCTTGCCCTTCCTGTCGCTACGAGTCTGGGAGTGGTATGTACTATACATCCTAAGTTTCCAACACTCCTCCGTGTCACACAGATGGACTGAATATTCATCGTAATCGTGATTTTGCCTAGCAGTGCCCAGCCATGACATCTCCCCAACTCTACTTCTCGTTTCCAAATGCCCAGGTGAAAGTGCGTGGAGTGTTACTTACCTAAAGAAGAATCACGGCGACCACTATCCCTCTCAGCAGCTGCCAGTCGTTCCACGACCGCGATGGACAAGTACTCATCCATCGTCGTGGTGGAACGATGATCGTCGAAGAGTTGAGATTTTGAATAGCATAAATTCGTGTCGCACAATTCTTCTTCCCACTGGATTTTCTCGTGCAACGTCAAGCTGGATTTCTACTGAAAACATGCATGACACACAAGATTTCTCGCATTTGCGCAACAAATTAGCGTTGATGACGAATTTACCTATTTTTTGGGGACCGTCACGTCACAGCTACCCGACTGCAAGTCCGCACGAACGCTTTCGAGTCATTTGGTCATGATTGCGTGAAGCATGAGTCGTGCTTGTAGTCGACGGACACCGCGTTTCTACGAGTATTTTGTGGAATCCGTGTAACGCGCCATTTTCAGCCGCCTGTTGGTCGTTTCGGTTTAATGGCGCTGCAAACGCAAAGCAAAAAAGGAACAAAGAATCGTTGCGCTTAGTTCGTCGAAATGCGGAACTCGACACACCAATATCTTTTCCCTCGCAAAACAGGCAGGGCAGTTAATGGGAGGTTAGCACATACGGCCGATACATAGTGTACGATTGTGCCACCGGTATCCGGGAGAAAGGAGTCAATTCAGCCACTAGTAGGCCAGATGCACAAGTGCGTTATAACTTGACCACCCACTGTCATAAGGTGCTCTCTTCGGAACCTCAGCCCCTCAGAAACCTGTAAAAGGGCATGATAATGGTTGGCACTTACACCAAACTGGCTCGTGTACGGAGGCCTCTCAAAGCGCAGGGGACTGCATGATGGCACGTGTACTATAAGGCATGGTGTGTACAGGATTAGCAGAGGAGCTATAAGTGTGACGTGTGCATGAGTGTGGACTGACGTGTTGAAGAGAGAGAGAGAGAGAGAGAAAGCCACACAAAATATACAATAAAGCTGGGCTCAATGGGCGCGATGGCGACCTCTCTCCCGACTGCTCTTAGTCTCCACTCTGACGTACTCATCCTCGTTAGGGTGATCATCTGAATCCTTCTTCACGGAAACGAATACTTCTCCGTAAATCTGTAGTGCGACGGCTCGTGAGTGAGCCTTGGTGCGCGGAACGGATGTGTCTCCCAATACGCGGTCACACGTCTCACGCAGGACCGACTCGATCTCGAGCTTGGTCCCCTATGACCAAACCACCGTAAGAACTATTGTAGGGAATAGCGATTTAATCTTACCTTGAATAGTGCCTGTAGGCCCTTCTCGGCAGCCTGTTCCTCGAGGCGTTTCTTCTCCTCGGGTGTCATGTTTCCTGCCTTCTCCGCTGCTTGAATCTGATCGAATACGCTCTTCAACTCTATAGCCGACCGAAGAGTCGACACACTGTACTGTATTTAGAACCCTATCTCCTGGGCAAGGAACATAAACTCACGTTTCACTGAACACGTGGTATTTGCCCTGAACGTTGTGTAGCCAGCCACCCATACCGAACAGCGTCTGGTTCGAGGCCAGGTAATACTTTGCTTTGGACAGGTAGACGAATCCTACGGCATGCAGCAGTTCAACGCCGTACGATTCTTTCTTGAGTTCGCTGAGCAAAACAGCCTCGTAAACAACGAAAGCAGAACTCATACGAAAGGACATACTCAGCCTCCATCTGACATAGCTGACGCCAACTGTTGACGACGTTGTTATCGTCGGGACCCGTCGCAGACTCGGTGAAAATCGCAAGCTTGCGTTCCAGATTCTCCACGCTTTATATTTTGAATCGAATCAGAGGCAAACTCGAGGGAGGAGTTACATGTGCTCACAGTTTCCCCACCCGCTCAGCACGGGCCGCAGCTTTCTAATAGGGTTTTTGGTTGTTAATGCAATGGTAGCTAAAGTTGAGAATTACCTCGGCATCGGCTTTCCTCTCCTTTTCTTCCCGACGCGCCTTCTCCTCGTCTGAGATTATTTCTTTACCTTTTGCGTCGCGCTTTACTTCCTTTCCTTCCGCCTCTTCAGCTTCCTCGGCCTCCTGCAAAGCAGTTTTCATGTCCCGGGCGAGGCTAATGTGGCCGATGATCGGGACGAAGCGTTCCCCCCCAAATATTGCACTGAATACTTCCTCTGGATCGACGAATCCGCCTTCGGGTTGGCTTTCTTTTGGTCCAAACTCGTTGTATTTCTTGCGTAAGATGGGGTCTGAGAGGGTTTGGTAGGCTATTGCGATTTCCTTGAAGCGTTCCTCCGCGTTCGGATCATCTGGGTTCTTGTCCGGATGGTGCTTGATGGCCAATCGCCCTATATTGCGCAGTACACAGCACATCAGAAGAGGTCCATAAACACCAGCTGGTAATGGCAGACGGATTGCGAGGAAGATGAAACTTACTATATGACTTCTTAATATCTTCTGTGGATGCATCCACAGGTACGCCCAGTAGGTCATAGTAACCGGTTTCTAGCGGCTTCTCTTGTGTGCCAATCTTGCGTCCTTTCTTATTAGTAGCGGAGCTTTGCCCGCTCGGCCCATTCGACGAGCCAGCAGTGGGAGATGAAGTAACGGATAGACCCGCTGGTAGTTGTATAGGATAGAAGGCATGCTGATACACTGTCTGACACCTGCAACACCGGACACGAATCAAAGTTCCCTGTGACGGTATCGGAGAGGGCACGGGGAATTCAAGTGGAATATCGCAGCTTCCACACTGCGAGCGCAGGTGGGGGATATATGGCCTCGACTGCGCGATGGGGTATGCACTGCTCATCGTCGTCGCTGTCGTCGTCGTTGCCAGTACTCCAGCGAACTACATAGGGCATATAAGAGATCACGTGAGCCCCATCACATAGCCAGGGCGTCTTCTTCCATTCACTGCTCGAACGTTCACCACCAGCCAAATGGGACCGTCTCTGGACTTTGGGACGCCAATCAACACGGCCTTGCTTGTTTACATTCTGTACTCGGTACAGAAAATCATATTCCCGCCATTACCCGACCTAGCACCCAAGTCAGTCCCAACGGAATTCAAGGACGGATACTCATGGATGCCCAAGTCGCATCCTCCGACGCTCTTGTACCAGACTTACACACCCAAGTCACTTGCAAAGTATGACGGAAAGGACGGTGGTCGGATTTTACTGGCCATTAACGGTATGGTGTTCGATGTCACGGCCGGACGGAGTTTCTACGGACCGGGTGAGGCATAGCGTCATTGAGGTTTTTGCGTTCTCAACGAAAAGCCAGACGGAATGTATGGCAACTTTGCAGGAAGAGATGCTTCTCGTGGGATGGCGAAGCAGTCTTTCGCTTTGGGTACGAGTCTCACCGAATCACCGACTAATAGACGCGCACGTTCATACAGATTACACCAGAAATGCTGACTCCAGTAGACCAGCCGTTAGACAAGCTAGAAGACCTTGACCAAGAAGAAATGTAAGCCGAGAAGTTCACTCTCAGCTCACAATCTTACCTTCTTGTCTCCCGATGTAGCGAGAATATGAGGGGTGCGTAATGAGCTTTCGTTTGAGCCCAATGCTCGAGTCTGACTCCCACCTAGGTTGGATCGAACACTTTTCGAACAAGTACGTGATTTGCGGAAGGGCTGGTAGAGAACGATGCTGTATAAGTATGGTTCTGGAGGGCAATATTACTGTCCGCTTGTCCGTCCTCTGGATGTCCTTGTGTATTAGTTGTTCGTCCCTTCATTACAGTAGCACGAGATTGTTTGTACTTGACATGATCATCACCTTCCCTGCAAAAACACCCTTCGATGGACTCAGACGCCCACTTGAACTTTTTCGGTCGGCTGGTACAAGAGAATAGCAACACATTTGAGGATCTTCTCCGCAACGCACCCCGCGACGACGACGACAGCAATCCTCCGCAGCCACGAGATGCGCCGCTCTATGTCGAAGAAGAACCGGAAACACCAGCTCCAGCAGCTCATCCGACGCTGGATGAACGAACGCCATTCACCCGACATCCTCCCCACCGAAGAGGACCTGCTCTCAAGGTTACTAGACCACATCCGAAGTCAGGTAGGAGCAAGGCACACATTCCAATATGTATGACTGTTGGAATCGATTCATAGACCGATCATGTGCGACGGTTGTCGTAGTCTGAGACTGTGCAATTACTTCGCTCCGATCCATCGTCGTCAGAAGAGGAGCATTTCAGGATCATGCTCGTACAGACAGAGGTCGAACGAGTCAAGTTCATCGTCAGGTCTTATCTTCGCACCAGATTGTTCAAGGTGTGTCCCTTTTTTCCTCGGTTTCTGTCGTCATCGCTGCTTACCTCTCCCATCGATATGTAGATAGAGAAACATGCTCGATATATAATGACGAACCCTGAGGTACAACAACGATTGTCGCAGAGCGAAGTGGATCATGCAAGAAGGTATTCCATCCTCACGTGAATCCGTGTTTTTCTGTTGTTACATGGATATGGGGCAGGTTCGCGAGGTTAACGGACCAACATTTCTACAACACTGTCCTCCAAAGTTTGCCAGAAAGTCAACAGACATTAGACGATCGAATTCTCTTTGTTCCGTCTATGAGTAGGAGGCCACTTCTATCTGGGTGACTGTTCGATTGACTTCCATCAGTCACGGAACCAGACAAGACCAGAGCGGTCTTCGTGCGTGCCCGCCAGAATTGTCCCCCTGTACGATTACCAGAGTAAGCGCATCCTGTTCTTGTGACATGCACCTTTCTAAGTCTGTGATTCGCAGCGGAACTGCATTAGAGATGCAAAAGGGTCACATCTCTCTCACTCCTTATTGGGTCGTAGAACAGCTCGTTGCAAGGGGAGAAGTCGAACTCGTGTAATCCACCGTCGTCGTACGCTGTAGTCCTGATTATTAACTTCGCAAAACAAAACTGTACAGTAGCCAATGAGCGGCTCCGAAATATGTGCTACACACCTCCAACGTCCTATATCACTCATCTAGGGACGTTAAGAAGTATCATCATCTTCCTGCCAATCATCGTCATGATGCCCTCGATAATGTCGGCTTGATTTCCCACCTTCACCTTCCCCGTCTTCTTCCATGGCAACATCACCTTCCGCGTCCGACTTACTGCCTCCGGGATCAGCACTGCTCTCAGTAGCGTCCACGGGTTTCTTCTTCCTCCGCCTCTTAGGCTCACTCGACGACGCACCTCCTTGTGCAGCAGCACCGTTTTTCTTCGCTTTCCCACCTCTTTTTCTCTTTTGCCCCTCTCCGCCACCCTCTGCAGTCGAGATCGATCGTACCCCCGGCGGAAGGATCGGGAACGGACTCGACTATCTCCTTCAGGAAATCAAACATCTCTGTTGTTTCCACGGCATGTTTTCTGCCAAGAGGATCGAATAGTCCATAGTGTTAGTTACATCCACCGGAACGGAGAGGGGGGAACGTACAGGTGATATGCTTCGACCTTCTTCGCACCGCGATGGACGGTAACATTGCATGCTTCCTCAACTATCATTGACAAGAAGAGCTCCAGCGCTTTAGCTATCCACGCCGAGTTGCCCGCGTCCAATCGTTAGACAGATCCGGCCGCCAAGGAGTCAGACAGTCACGGGGTGTCCAGGAAATACCACCGAAAAAAGGAGAACATAATAAGCATTCATCTTCAGAGCCTTGCGAACACAGGGAAGTTGAACCAAGGGCATACATACATATCACGATAGGCGTCGCCTGCGCAACTTTACCCACTTCCTCGTCCTTCTGCATGATCTTCTTTATCCTCGCCTATACACCGCGTTCCGTGTTTGATTCGTCACAAGCCAGGGGTAGAACATGTGTGCATGTGTACATATGGAGGCGTTCAAATTGGTCATCTTTTTGTCTGAGGTGCCGTTCGTGGCGATCAGCAGCCGGAAGAAAAATCTCACCACAGGAAATTTCGTTTGCTTGTTCTTAGTCTTCATAACTGTGTAATATGAACTGGTAACCTTGTTCAAATAATATGTTGAATGCTGAATCCCAGGACGTAAAATGAGCGCGGCTGCCACTGGGGGCGGAGCCATCTCCGGGCAGCACTGATACTCTTTTTAAGTCCTTACGGGCCAGCAACATCATGGATCACGTGATGAATAAGCTCGACTGGGTAATCACCTAGTGTGGGGTATCGATCGCAAAAACAAAATATTGTACCACGACAAAATTCAAGGAATGGCAAAGTAGTAGTATGTGCACTAAGGAATGGCCGGGTAAATTAAACGAACAAACCTCGGGCAGAGGTGTAAGGGGAGACCAAGAAATGCTGCCGGAATTCAAATTCACTAGACGTTGGGTGACCCTTTTCTCTCACTGACAGCCATTTAGTCACGAGCACAGCTAATAATTCAATCGAACACGCGACGTACCCGCTGGCCCCCCCAAGAATCACTTCCAACTTGTGCCGAAAATCTAGCATTTTCTTTCCAGCTCCTCATTGTGCGTTTCGTGAGCATGGTCCAGCTTGAATGCCTGGCAATCCCGCAGGAAATGATCCAACTCCCGGACGCGGATGTTAGATAATTCGGGCTCGCCAGAACCTCTTGCCCGAGCAAGGTATGATGCAACGAGCGTCGATAGACCACCTGTGATGTGTACGATCGATTAAGCCCCTTTATGCAAGTGCAGAGATGGGGTCCACCCGACCTAGTATCGAAGTGGAAACTTGAGCCTAGACAATGCACGTATCAGGGGGGGGGGGACTCGTTGCGTTCGTTTGATAAGTGGAGGACTCGCCTGTCTACCAGTCTGAAGTGCAGCGGCTATGCCAGTGGTCAGAGCACCCAGGAGCACTTGGAGGCCAATGGCTATGTTAAGAGCATAGCCTGTCATGATAGCTAAAGAACCCCCATGTTATTTGCTGGACGAAGGTCTGCACAGCCGTTTACTAACCTCTGTTGTAGGATTTCTTCTTCTCTTCTTCAGCAGCGTCGATCGTTGGTTGGATCCTTTCTCCATAAGTTTTCTGACGCTACATAACATAAGCGGCTCTTTACGATCAACTGACACTTGCGCACCTACCGTCTTATCAACTGGGACAATCCAGTCAATTTCGGACGCATTTGTTGCGGGACGCAGAATCGTGGTGGCGCGTCGGGCCATCCGTGGATGCCCGTCTCTGCTACGGGCAGGAGGCGGTGTTGTCCCTGTAGGGGGCTCGAAAGGATTAGGCTGATCCTGGTCACGCGCTCCTTGGGCATGGCCCTCGGCAGATTCAAGAAGATTCTTGTCTGATTCGCCACCGCCATTGTGCCCAACCTGCGATGGATAGGGTGTACTGGCTTCGACCTGCTCGTGGAACCGAGATTCAGTCCTAGCCGCAGTAGTGGCTTCCTGTTCAGCCTCGTGCGCCACTGGGTCCTGCGATCCTCCAGGACCACTAGCTGGATTCCCCGACTCCGGGGGAGGAGGCGGCCGCTGAGGGGGAAGAGACATTCCAGGGAGCTACAGGGATCACCAGAGGCATCTGATGGGAACTAGCACATTTATAAACTTAAATGACTTTCGGGTCTAAGGGCAATTTCAAAGCCACAGCTCTTTGGATTCTTTTGCTTCCGGCTATTCCGCCGGAAAGAACCTTAAGATATGCGGGAATTACACCAATCGGAAGCATTGACAGAAGAGTTGCCTGTGAATAGGGATGACTTCTTCGGTTCCCGTTGACGCTGGTGAGTACCACTGAGCCTCGTTTAGGCAGAACGGACTTCCACCATGTGTTCGCGTGATGCCCTTTCACCCCTCCATTCTCCGCCAGAGTGATGCGAAACCGCAGGATGCAAGTGCCGAAGGCAACGATCATGAGCGCACATTTTTCGAGTTCCTCGTAGAGATGTGAATTCTTCTGAGGAGACAAAAACACTCGTAGGGTAGGGGAAGTCGCGAGATACGCTACCGTATCTGTGCATTCCCCAAGGTTCGACGTTCGACGCATGACATCGATTGTCATTCGTTACACTGGTGACTAGTACATAGATAGTTGCGATTCCAGGGGGAATTACGATAATGCGCTGTCATTGAAGGCTCCAAAATCTGAGAAACGCTGCAACGGAGTTAAAACTGGTTGGGCGTCCTGGTTAAGCGGAGGGTGAAGTTAAACCACGCCAGTTGCCACATAACTGTTTAAGCACTTACGTAAATGTGTTTTGATAACAAGAGTTGCACCGAGTCCTCCGGGAATGGTTTTGGCCATCGTAGGGAGACTGGCCGATGTGGACCCTGGGCATGTGAATCGGTCCTTGTCAATTGACTCCAGAATCGCCTTGACGACTCTCACTCATATCATTGATGATTGATCAATGCCACGTTACGCACGACCGCACATATACTGCAATCGGTTTACACTCAGGGAGTCCCAAGACAATTAACGGGATCAACGTCGGGGCCATTCGATGTCGTTCTGCGACAGACAGCCACCGTGCTAAGTTATGCAGGCACAGAGGAAATGCATATGCATGCAGTAACATCCCAAGATAACCAGCAACTTGCTCGAAGGACCACATGGGAACCGTTTTGTATTTGGGTACTACATACGTGAATAAATTTTTTGCGTGTCGCGAGATGCTCCCCAATACGTTACAACGGGAGACCGATGCCGTCCTTAAACGAATTATTATGAGAACCACTCAGTGATGGGCCCATCTGAAGTGTTGCGCAGATTGAATCCTTTGGTAATAATGGCTTGAAGAGAAGTCGCTACCGAGCAGTGGCCATGGTATTGTCGTGTATATAACTTGTGATGAGTACATACTGATCGATCTTCATTACCGTGAGTCCTTGTTCATCAAGCATTCCCCCCGCTGACTGCTGTTTACCTAGTAAAAGTGTCCGTATGTCAACCTCTAGAAAGATCCTAAAACACTATATAATAAAGCCATCCGGATCTGCTGACATGTGAATTCAAATCTTCATTAGAGCGGATCAGAGTGGTACGCACGAAAAGCCCATATCGCATCTGACGGAAATAAACCGCGCGACGAGAATCGAAGTCAACCTCGGGATCAATTTCTACATAAGAGTGAGTGATAAGCGCTAGAAATCCGGCGATGCGGAAAATCAAACTTGCCATTGACCCTGGGCAGGGGATGCATGACTATCATATCTTCTTTGGCCCTGGACAACAACGCATGGTCCACCCGATAAGCGTCCTTCACTCTTTGCCAATCAGCCTCGTTCTGGAACCTTTCCCTCTGTACCCGGGTAACATAAAGCACATCGGTATCTGGTAAAACCTCTTCCAGGGACTCTAGCTGTCGGACTGGGATGCCTGCCTTTCGTGCCACTGCGACGACGCTGGCAGGCATGGCCAAGGAGGGCGGCGAGACGAAGTTCAGTCGCACAGAGTAATGGCAAAGAAGCGTTACTAGGCTATGAACGGTGCGCCCATTCTTCAAGTCACCCAGCAGCGTAATTGTGCGGCCATTGACTGTTCCAAGTTCAGAACGTATCGTGTACACATCCAAAAGAGCCTGAAAGTGAAATATTACGCAGTGAGTCGCTCGCATACAATTCTGTGGCTCACTTGAGTTGGGTGTTCCCCGATTCCATCTCCCGCGTTAATCACAGGAACTGGTGAAAACTTCGCCGCTAGTTGGGCGCTGCCTACGTCAGGGTGCCGAACTACAGTTGCATCGGCATAGCAAGAGACTGTCCTAATCGTATCCGCCAGTGTTTCCCCTTTCAGAACCGAAGAAGAGTCGACATTGACTTGGATCACGTCACCACCACAGCGCTTCATAGCCGCGTCGAATGAGGCGCTTGTTCGCGTAGAGGGTTCGTAGAAAAGATTACAGAGAACCTTACCCTTGAGGATGTCCAGCGTTCCACTACGCTCCACCTGTAGGCGCATCTCATGTGCCAACGAAAAGAGATCGTACATGTCCCGTTGGCTAAATTGTTTGACTGAGAGGATATGTCGACGGTGGAATGCCGGGTGGGGGCCATGCTGATAGGGTAGCAGGCAAGGAGGGACCTGTGGGTACCGATACTGCAGCTGCGGAGATCGTCGGAGGATGGCTTGGAAGAGGGTGGGGATGACTTTCGGCACTCTTTGTCGGTAGGTGAACGGGTTCTGGTTTCGCGACAGGGGACGTTACCGCTGGATGTAGGATGACTGCAGCAGAAATGTCCTTGCCACTTGGCGGCGCGGACAACACACCGTCCAAAAATACGGTCTTGCCGTGCATGACCACCCGGTGGAGTGAACCGGCCATGATTTGCTTGTCTAGTGGCGACCAGTGACCATCTCTGGAGGCATACTGGTAGCGGCGCCCGATTACCACCTCGACATGTGTATTCGCCTGTTCGGGCAATCCGAAAATATGTATGGGATTGTCGTGCAAGCGGACCCTCACATCCTCAATCGTAAGACGGCCAGCAGCGACTGCCGAAAGAAGCAAGGGTAGCGCCTCCAGAATTCCGGAACATTCCAGACTGGACGTTCTCCGACCTCAGTCGCAAGGTGGTAAGGAAGAGAGCCCACGGAGAAAGCATCAATGACATCAAGTTTACTCCAGAGGTACTCCTGCTCCTGTGCAGACGGTAGCATGGTCGACTGGGGGTACTGTTCTTGTGTGAAGAACATCGTGTACACCGACACGTCGCAGGTGATCTTGAGCTTCCTTGCCTTGCTTAGGGATATTAAGAGAAGGTCTTCTTTGTTCCTGACGTCAGTGATATGGATATTACGATTGTGGAGACTGGCAAGTAGCAGCAGGGATGCGAGGTTAGAACCCCTAGCATTGGTGACGATCATCTTTTCGGCGACCCACGTAGCAAAATGGGTAGCTGTTGCGGATATTTGGGGCGCAATTATGGGGTCATGGAAGGGTATGAATAGTGCCTTGACCTCAGCTTTACCCTCATCAGTCAGAGATGGGGTATTAGGATCGGTTGTTGCGACGCTAAGTGCATAGTTGCAATAGGCGTGGTTTTCAGCGACGCCTTGCACTCGCTTTAAGGAGGCGTCGTCTATGATCGCCTCGTCTAAACCGTTGGGGAGGATTAGGGACGTGGTGAACCCGCTACTAATTGACGCCTGCGTCGCTTGGATAAGGTCATCTTCCGTAAATCTGGGAACGAATGCAGAGACATTGACGAGGCCTGGTAATGTGTGTGTCGGGTACGAGCTTTTGCAGTCGACGTTCGACACGTCAAGGGGTAGCTTGCGAACCAACGCTTCCACTAAAATCTTGGCACACTTGACGTTGGTAATCAATGGAATGGCAAAGTCAACTGCCATCCTCCTCGTGCGGTACCCTTTACTCAGATAACTGGCGGGACGACGGTAATTGTTTCCTAGACGGCAAATTGATGTACATGTCGATCAAATTATTCGCCAGATGCTGGGTGAGGGAGTACTCCGACTTCGCCATGTCACTGCTGCCTTCTGGAAGTGTCTCCAAATACTGTAGGCTTGATAAGATATTGCTATCGAAGAAAGTTCCAGAGGGAACCTTACCTTGCAAGGTACGTTGTGTTCCGTCAAGAAGTCTGCAGTTCCTGAGGTTGCGAAGATATTGTACCCAGCTGCGCGTAACTTCTGCACGGATGGAAGGATCTCCAGCTTCTCCCGATAGCTGCCAACGGAGAAAAGTATATTCTTTTGCGGAAGGACGATGCCAGTCGATATCAACGCCTTCAGGTAAGCTTCATATTTGTCGCGGCCGAAACAAGCCACCTCGCCGGTCGAAGCCATTTCCACACCGAGCACGGGATCCGCACCAGACAGCCGGCTGAAACTAAATTGCGGGACTTTGACACCGACATAATCGGGTGGAAGACTGGGGTCTGGATAAGAATCAACAGGTATACCAAGTATCACCTTGGTCGCCATCTCGATTGCGTCGATCCCAGTGACTTTTGAGACGAAGGGGAAGGATCGTGCGGCTCGAAGGTTGCATTCGATAACTTTAATTTCATTGTTTTTGGCAATGAACTGAATATTGAAGGGACCAGTAACGTTTAGCGCGTTTGCAATCCTCGCGGTTGCTTCTTCGATTTGTCGGACAGTGGCTGGGTCCAGATCTTGGGGAGGGTGGATTAGAGTAGCGTCACCGGAGTGCACTCCTGCATTTTCCACGTGTTCCGAGATGAACTGCATGACCATTTGGCCATCCTTTGCAACTGCATCCATCTCGATTTCCTTCGCTTGTTCAATGTACTTGGAAATCACGACAGGGTGATCGCGCGAAACAGCGGTGGCCTGAGTCAGGTAGTTCGACAGGTCGTCACCAGTAGATACGACATTCATCGCCGCGCCAGAGAGCACGTACGACGGACGCACGAGCACCGGGTAACCTACGGAATCGCAGAAGGCCAGCGCCTCCTTGAAGCTGGTCAGCTCCTTCCATTTGGGCTGATCCACACCAATTTCGTCCAACAGACGGGAAAATTTGAACCTGTTCTCGGCAGTATCAATCATCTCCGGGGACGTGCCGTATATTTTCACGTTCTGGCGATACAACGGGAGCGCGATGTTGTTCGGCGTTTGTCCACCCATGGACAGTATGACCCCTCTGGACCGTTCGGTCTCGTATATATCGAGTATTGTTTCCAGACTGATGTTCTCAAAGTATAGGCGATCTGCCTCATCGTAGTCGGTGCTGACGGTCTCAGGGTTATAGTTAACCATAATCGTCGGGAGGCCTTGCTCCCGCAAAGTCCTGATGGCCCGCACAGCGCACCAGTCGAATTCGACAGAGGAGCCGATGCGATAAACGCCGGATCCCAGTACCATAATTCCTCGGTCATCGAACGAAATGTCGTGCTCGATGGCATTATACGTGGTGTAGAGGTAGTTCGTGAATGCAGGGAACTCTGCGGCCACCGTATCGATCTGCTTGACGAAAGGAGAGATAAACGCTTCCTGGCGAAGGCGACGGACAGCAAGCTCCGTTGACCCCATGCAGCTGGCGAGAAGCCGGTCGGAAAATCCTAGTTGCTTCGCCCGCAGCAGTGTTTCGCTATCAATCGACGAGATGGTGCGCTGCCTGAGCAGGTTGAAAAAAGGGATCTGAGAAGAAACCGTAAGACAAGTTAAATGTAACCTACATCAAGTCCTTTTCCATTTCATGAATGTTCTGCAGCTTCCAGAGGAACCACTTGTCAATATTGGACATCTGCCAGATCTTTTCAACAGAATATCCCAAATGGAAGGCCGTAGATATTGCGAAAATTCGCTTGTCCGTGGGGTTGCAAAGCTCCTCGTCGATGTCCTCCACATAGTCATTCTGTGAGAAAAGTTCGATGTGAGATGCCCGGAGTTACAAACGTCTTCATACCTTGGCAAAGCCGAGGAACTGGTCATCAATGGCACGAATGGCTTTCTGGATAGTTTCCTCGAAGGTTCTACCGATACTCATGACTTCACCAACACTCTTCATGCTACTGCTCAGCAGTCGGCTAACTCGATTGAACTTCTTGAGATCCCATCGCGGGATCTTGACGACGACATAATCCAGACTGGGTTCAAAGCATGCGCTCGTTACTTTGGTTACGGTATTTTTGATCTCATTGAGAGGCACGCCTAAACCTAGTTTCGCAGCGATGAATGCTAGAGGGTAGCCAGTCGCTTTCGAAGCTAACGCAGACGATCTCGACAGACGCGCGTTGACCTAAACACACATAAGTTTGATGTTGCCCAAAGCGCAGTTACGGACCTCGATGATGCAGTACTCCTTCGAGAATGGATTCAGGGCATATTGAATATTGCATTCGCCTATTACGCCCAGATGTCTGATTACATTGATCGCAGTCGTCCGTAGCATGTTATAATCAGCGTCCGAAAGAGTTTGAGAGGGTGCGACTACAATGGAGTCACCCGTATGAATACCGAGAGGATCGAAGTTCTATCCACCCATCAGTGACGTCCGTGCGCTAACAGCACGTAGGCTAGAACTTACCTCCATATTGCAAACCGTGATGCAGTTGTCCCGACAATCACGAACGACTTCATACTCGATCTCCTTCCACCCTTTCATACTTTTCTCGACCAGCACTTGGGGACTTGTTGCAAACGCTTTGCTGCATAAGGCACGTAACTGATCTTCGTCTTGCGCGAAGCCAGAGCCCAAACCACCTAGCGCATAAGCAGCGCGTACTATGACCGGGAATCCAATTTCACGAGCTGCACCAATTGCTTCTTCTGTCGTAGTCGCGGTGCTCGACTGCGCACAGCGCTCGCCAATATTCTCCATCGCTCGTGCGAATAGCTGCCGATCCTCCGTCGTGATGATGGTTTCAATCGGAGTCCCGAGCACCTTCACGCCGAGCCCAGCGAATTCATCCTTGAGCTTTATGCCGACGTTGAGAGCTGTTTGACCACCGAACGTGACATAAATTCCGTCAGGTTTCTCGTACTTGATAATCTTGCGCACGAAGTCAGGCGTAACAGGCAAGAAATACACCTTGTCGGCAAGGCCCTTGGAGGTTGCGATGGTCGCAATATTCGGATTGAGAAGGATGGTGTATATACCTTCCTCCTTTAGCGCTTTGATTGCTTGAGAACCCGAATAGTCGAATTCACCAGCTTGGCCAATGGAAAGCCCTCCAGATCCCAAGATAAGCACTTTTTGAACGTTGATACGAGGTGACAGCCTATCGTTGTCTTCTTTTCGTCCCCCTGGAAGAGATATCGGTGACAAGGTGTTCGTCGCGATGCAATCGACGATGTTCTGGATGAAAGCGTCAAAAAGGAACTCAGTATCGCGAGGCCCAGGTGTTGACTCGGGATGGAACTGTACGGAGAAAAATGGCTTCGTTTCACAGTATATGCCTTCGTTGCTGCCATCATTCGCATTTTGGAATAGCTCTTTCCAGTCGAATGGTAGAGTTTCAGCATCGACCTGATAGCCGTGATTTTGACTGGTGATGTAGCATCTGCCAGACAAGGCATCTGTGCAAGGTATGTTATGGCCACGGTTACCATACTTCATTTTTGAGGTTTTCGCTCCAGCTGCGAGAGCAAGCAGCTGATGCCCAAGACAGATTCCAAAGACAGGACGATCTGCTTTTTCCAGGGCTTTCTTGAGTCTCTCGACCGTTACGGTGAGCCTAGTTGGGTCGCCAGGACCATTGGAAATGAAAAGCCCGTCATACGGCTCAGCGTCGTTCAGAAAATCGTGATCCCATGGAACGACTTTTAATTCTACCCCACGGGCAGTGATGCATCTGATTTGATTGTACTTCATCCCGACGTCCACTGCTAGCACACGAAGTAGACGCCCAGAGGGGTGTCTGCGCGGTTCCCCGGACGGTGTATACACTCGCGGATGTCTGATTGACACCGCAGTTACTAGGTCATACTGATTTGGATCGCGGAAAGGGATGTCAATGTATTCGTCGCGCCAGGACGAAGGTGGGGACGACGCGCGAGACGCAGGCAGAGACAGAGATTCTGGCAGAAGATATGGTAAACGTCCTCGGGGAGCCTCTGGCTTACGTGCTAATATTTTTGCTAGCATGGAGCCTTGCTCGCGAATCTTTTTGGTGAGGGCACGAGTGTCAATACCGTATATGGCGGGCACATTATTCTCCTTCAGCCAAGCCCCAAGAGAAGAATGTGCCAAAAAATGGCTGTAATCGTCCGTATAAGAACCGACAACCAGCGCCGCGATATGGATTCGTGACGATTCAAATTCGGATGATAGTTCATCTGAAGACGCGGGGCGCTGAGGAACACCGTAATTTCCAATGAGGGGATATGTTAAGACGAGTATTTGACCCTCGTAAGAGGGATCGGTCAAGGACTCCGTGTACCCGACCATACCTAGATGGGCAAATATCGACAACAATGTGTTTTCTGAGGTAGAGACGGACTGACCGGTTTGGAAAACGCATTCTCCAGCAACGCTTACCGCTTCCGCACCGAAACTGATACCGCGATATGCGGTACCGTCGTTCATTTCCAACACTGCATCTTGGGGAGAATCCCCGGATTGCAAAGGCGCGAAGGTAACGGGAGGCGCAGGTTGGCCAGTGACGCGGCCAAGACTGCTGCCGGAACGCGATAAAGGCGGTCGAAAAGTAGACATTAAATCCTTTTTAATTGGCAAGTCGGTCTGTCTTCTTTTCTCTTCACTAAAAACTGGGCAAGGTTTTGGTGAAGAGGAAAGAAGAGAGGAATATCAATCGCAAAACCGAGAAAAAAGATCAATCTTGTTTGTGGTTGTTTGTCTACTCTTGGTCGACGTGTATGACCACGTGATCACAACTTCTTCCAAGTATCGCTGCATCGGACACACATCCGACAACGGATCGGACGTGTGACTACCGTTCCTGGGTAGCGTCTGAACACAGACATGGCTTGTCATGTTGAAGCAGCCGAACTATACCTATTCGAGTAGCCTGTGCCCATGCCCGGCCTCGAAGACGGCTCTGGCAACGCACAGGCTTTTATCGCCGTTTCAAGCGTGAAACCGGCGTACCTCTCAAGGTACATATGTCCCTTGTTTGATCCGCCACGGATTAATTGTTCACACTCATCTGGTTGTCGCTGAACCAATTCGGCCAGACTGCCAGTGCCTCGAGTACATTTGCCATACGTACTTGCCGAGAAATCGAGGATTCGAGTCTTTTGAGTCAAAGATACACACCCACGATTTGTCGCTAAGTATGTGGTAAGTCAGGACCAACTGTTGGCGCTCGACATCCGGTACCCCCAACGCCGCGGAGGTAACAAAGTCCTCACAAGTCCTATGTACGCCGTACCGACTCAGCGAACGAGTGCGATCGTACTGATCACCGTATGGAGGTGGGAGGTTTTCGTTTTCGCGCTGGATGACGTCAATCGCCATAAACGCAGTGGCCTTCCTTAACTTTTCTAAAGACGTCCTCTCCTCTTGGGTTGAGGAGCAGTATCCCAGTGAAAGGTTTGGCTATTTTTACGGTCGCCAGGGAATCTGACGATGATGTTCTGTCCAGAAATTCTTGTTTGTGCCTAAGTAAGTGCCGTCGGCCAAACCCAGGAGGTGAGAAGGAAATCTCCGCAGCGTCACGCATGGTACAAAAGGTATTCCTGTAGTCTACATATCTAAGTTGTGGTCAATTCTTAGGCCCACTGATTCGCACCCGAGGGTACTAGGTACGAATCAGTCCCAGGCCGATTACGGTACTCGAATACAGTATCATGATTTGACCTCGAGTTGAGGTGCTTCACGATGCGAAGTATGACTACTGCGATCAGATACACTGCAGATAATTCCAAAATTTTTGTGCGTGCTTGGAGAGCATGTCTATCACATTCTGAGTTGTAGGATTTTATCGGGCCCCGGAATAACCCATCTTCACATCCCGGAGCCCCCTTTTCAAACATTCCTGCACTCGGATCAATCCTCCGCCTAACCAAACTGACCGATAGCGGTCGACAGTATATATATAAAATCCACTTACCCACAGCATAAGCACCCTGTGATACAATTGGCCAGGCCAGTGAAGAAATTTGCTATAGCTGAGACCAGCAAAAAGGGTTCACGAAGCAAATGAGGTTTATGTAGATGCATTGAAAACGAACTTGAATGCTGACCAGCGACGATACATTCGAGGCAACCTGCTATAGCGCTGATGACCGTCATGACAGCATCTGCTATGCAGGCAAATATGCCCGTAATACATGAGATGATGATCCTACGCAGGGTTGTGAGCCGTACACGCTGTATGATTCGATATAACGTACCCCATCGCGTTTCAAACGCAGCCTCCAAGGTATCTTCCCACAACCGGCGACTTAATAGCTCGAGTTCTAAGTGCAGCGGCTGATGCGAGTCTACTTTATACCATCGTATCGCCAGTGACGTCGCACTCTGACGCGTTTATCCAAGCCCCACTCATTACTGCGAAGATCGGACCACACCAGTAGAATGCAGCGGATCTAAAGCTGGCATCCACGCACCACAGTGTAATGATATCATACGCGTAGTATCTGCTCCTGGAGGATTGCCTGCGGAGCAAAGCGATACTGGACAGTACTGAAAACGTTCTGTAACTTGTGTTGTTTTGTGTTGAAAATCACACGGGATTTGTCGGGTATACTTCAGTTTCCGATTGTAGTTCATCCCTTGTGGTAATAGAGAATGAAGGAAAAAAACGCGTGATATCTGCTAGCTAGGGTAACGTTGAAGGACGTGAATTAAAAGACAGTCGAGGCATTGGACACGAAAACACCAATATAATGAATACCTAAAGTTTTCGTCGGGAAAGAGAAATCAATCATGAGGCACATCGGTGCTTTTAGTGTCTACTCTGCCTCTTCGTGTTGCACCTCCTCTTCGTATTCACCCTCCTCCTCGACTCTGTTTACGGAATCAGACAATTCGTCAGCTCAAGAGAAACCATACGCTTACGTTGCATCTTGGTATTGCTGGTATTCGGCAATCAAGTCCTGCATGTTCGACTCGGCCTCAGTGAATTCCATTTCGTCCATACCCTCCTGTGTGTACCAGTGCAAGAAGGCCTTGCGCTTGAACATGGCCGTGAAGTGGTCACTGACACGCTTGAAGAGTTCTTGGATGGCGGTCGAGTTACCGAGGAAGGTAACTGCCATCTTGACGCCACGGGGAGGAATGTCACACTGGGCAGAGAGGACGTTGTTGGGGATCCACTCGACGAAGTAAGCAGAATTCTTGTTCTGCACGTTCTGCATCTGCTCCTCGACCTCCTTCATCGAGACTTTACCACGGAACACAGCAGCGACCTGCAACACAATTATTGCATGATAAATGATCAGGTCAACGCCGTTCTTACCGTAAGGTAGCGACCGTGTCTTGGGTCGGAGGCAGCCATCATGTTCTTGGCATCGAACATTTGTTGTGTCAATTCCGGAACAGTGACAGCGCGATATTGCTGACTGCCTCGAGCAGTCAAAGGCGCAAAACCAGTCATAAAGAAGTGGAGACGGGGGAAAGGAACTACAAGAGGTAATCAATAACCAGAATTATACGAACGCAAAGAAGACATGCCCATGTTGACAGCGAGTTTCCGCAGGTCAGAGTTCAGCTGACCGGGGAAGCGCAGACATGTTGTAATGCCGGACATAACGAAGGAAACAAGGTGGTTGAGGTCTCCATACGTTGGGGTCGAAAGCTTGAGTGTCCTGAAGCAGATGTCGTAAAGGGCCTCGTTATCAATGCAGAAGGTTTCGTCGGAGTTCTCTACTAGTTGGTGGACCGAAAGAGTAGCATTGTATGGCTAGGGTGGCATTGTCGTAGGAGTCACACATAAAAATGAAACTTCGTACCTCAACAACGGTGTCCGACACAGCCGGACTTGGGACCACGGAGTACGTGCACATCATGCGATCAGGGTACTCTTCCCTGATCTTGGACATAAGCAGGGTTCCCATTCCAGCACCGGTACCACCACCAAGCGAATGGGTAATTTGGAAACCTGCAGAAAAAACTTGAGATTGATCCATCGCCATCAAGAGTTCTTAACACACCTTGGAGACAGTCGGTACCCTCAGCTTCCTTGCGAACGACATCCAACACCGAGTCGACTAACTCAGCTCCCTCCGTGTAGTCTGGGGGTGACATATGAGCATCCAACGAAGAAATGGATGAGATATCCTAAGATAGAACAACAGTACTCACGTCCTTTCGCCCAGTTGTTGCCAGCACCGCTCTGACCAAAGATGAAGTTGTCGGGGCGGAAAAGGCCACCAAGAGGACCAGAGCGAACGGAGTCCATGGTGCCGGGCTCGAGGTCGACAAGGACGGCACGGGGAACGTACTTGTTTGAGCCGATCTCATTGTAGTAGACCGAAATACGTTCGAGCTGCATGTCATTATCCCCTTTATAGAGACCATCGCGCTGGATGCCGTGCTCGTCGGAAACCACCTCCCAGAACTTGGCACCTATATGATCGCAGGATCGATGAGTATCGACATGTTTTTTTTTCTCACTGAGTGGCTGGATCCGTACCGATTTGGTTACCACACTGTGGGTAGAGAAAAATTGTGAGCGATCATGGTGAAACGAAGCGACGTGTTGTCCTACCTGGCCGGTCTGAATGTGCACGATTTCACGCATGCTGAAGAGGAGAATCAGTATGTGTTGAACGCGAACGGCAGAAATAAGTTTGAAAGGGAAAACGCGAGCGAGTCGCGCTGCACGCCCTGTACACGTATCCCGACGCGACAACAGTAGTGAACGACTAGCAAGACACGTACGCTGGGGATTAGAAAACAAAAAAGAGAAGTCGTTACAGTGATGGACGTTTGGACACGAAGGTGGTCAAAAACGAGGACAGGCAAGTCGGGTCAAGGGTTGTCCGCTTAGTTTTCAAGCGGCGACAGAAACCAGTGTGGCACCAGACTCATGTGTTTATGCAACCTCTGCCTCGAGGCACCTGGAAGCGAGCGGGAGTAAAATATCGACAAGCCGTGAATCCGTTATCAACCTGCCAGGTCTCGTACGGGCTGCGATGTGGATCACGGCAACTCAAGGACACAGTCTGTGTGAGGTAAATGAACGCGTCCTGCTCGTTTAGCCAAGAGTAATCTGATTGGTGGGGAACCTCATGTCAGCCTTGAGGTATTAATCCCACAACAGAATAGCCACTTGTCTTGGCACACATAGCCCAATGATCTGACAGGGGGCGCAAGCCCTGCAGATAACTGAGCGCTGAACCATGTAGCGGTTGGTACTTAAGTTTAGTGGGTACCGGCGCCCCCACCTCGATTGGCACCCACTCACCCTTTGGTACGTCTCTATACCCTCGCCATGAACGACAGCGCCAACGAGGCAGCACCACGACCTCCCCGATTCAGGAACTCCACAATACACGAGATACCCTCACCGGGAATCCAGTCCCAGAGACCCCCGCGTTATGTGAGCAAATATGTCGCCAGTGAACCGTTGGAGTCCAACGTAGCATCGTGACTCAGGAACCCTTCATCATCAGAACATAGGTCATCACTCTGGTGGTGGCATGCATGATCGGGTTAGGAATCGCTATTGAAGTCGCCCTCCATATATCTCGCACCCAGAATGGTCCGTTCGACGTCAGACGGTGCACAGCGCCAAGTTTTCACAGTACATGTTTTCAGGATTTTATGTTCCCGAGAAGAACGTCTTCAGTTTCGCCTCCACGCAATTCTTGACGGTACAGTACCCACCACCAGTATTCGCATAGTGATTGTTCATGTTCAGCCCGTTTTCAGTCATTCTTCCCGACATTGCTAGTCGTTCCCCTCGCATTTTTTTGGTCCATCGCCGACTGGATGCTCCGCTGGTATCAGGTAACTCGTATTGTTAAAGGTACTATCGGCAAGTTCTACTCACACATCGCCAGCCGTATATAACTCTTGCCGAGGGCAGTGCACCTGCTTCGCGTAGCATCCTCTTAGACTATGTATGAGTACCTCATTCAGAATGGTGGAGAACGCTGACATCTCATCTCCCTGATCGCACTCAGGTATGCACGTTCCATTCATTGACGTGCCCTGCTGACGTCTACTGGTAGCCAAATAGCCGTGCTTTTTTACTCGTTCAAATACAAACACTATCTCGTTTACATCTCGACAGTTACAGCACTCATCGTTACTCTGCTGCAACCCCTTGCAGGTTCGCTCTTGGAGGTCCAACAGGTGCCCCACTCCGTGGGTCAGTCGTGTTTTGAATGCAAGGGAACGTTTTATTTATAGGTGCCCTATCTAGTGTCTACGGCAATTAGCACGAGAGCAGTAGCACTCTCCCCTGATGTCACCCAGCTGGATGCATACTTAGCGTCTGCAGGGTGAGCGTTGCAAATTAGAAACCGAATATGCACTAACACACTACTATCCAGTATGCTGACGCAGCAGGTGAGCCCATGTCGCTCGAAGGGTCCGTACGGAACTAAGATACACCAGTTTATGGTAACCTCGGTGATCCTTCCTATGTCCTACGGCGTATGGACTGCGGCCCTTTTTGAAGTGAGTGTTTCCCCGATCCTAGTCGATATACTTTGTTTGCCAACATTTTACGTTCCAGCCAGCACCCGGCGTATCCTCCCAAGCGGGACGCTTGTAGTGAAACACGACTGGTCTACAGACAGAGGTCAACTGCAATCAATCCTGAGTCACTAAACTTAACCTCTTCGGGCAGACAACTACTCCGCTCAAGTCGCCTTCCCCAACGCGTGCTTTGCTAACTTCTCCTTCGGAACTGCTGGACGGGAGCCAGCAGTATAGTGTCATCAATGCTAGCAGCTGTGCATCCCGCCGGTCAGGAAATTTCATTTCAACCCAGTTGTCTTTTGGTATTACTTGCAAGATACGTCTGCTACCAACGACCCACAAGTTTCGGCCATCTTTTGTCAGCCCTCAATGAGAGTCTTCACTATGTCGACATCTATGAACCTGGGTAATGGCACGTTGGGTGACTGTACGATACTGCAGAACTTCACGGAACCAAACAATGTCACGGGAGACCCGCTGAATAGCCAAATCTTCAACGGGTAGGCGACGTCTTTCACGCCACCCCCAGTCACCGTTTGTTAATGGTCTTTGAACAGGGTTGTGTTTGACGAACCCAGTAATATCTACGTCGCGGCAAGAGCCATCGCTATCAACTCCGGCTTGCCAGGAACCGTATACAAATATGCGCCACAGCAGCCCAACGGTATCCAATCGGTGTTCGATGACCCTTACGGGTGGCTTAACGCAACGTCGAAGATCTACGTGAGCTTAGTTTTCTGTTCTAGCTAGAACCTCGGTAGCTGATGCACTTGACAAGACGCAACACCTTGCGGTGGCCGCGCAAGCTAATTACTTTGGCCAGACCAACACAACGATTCCAGCACTGTTAATAACGGACGCCCCGAGGTTGTTTGTAGAGTGCGTCCCGTCTTCTGCCTTAGCTACGTTCACGTGCTCACGCATCCTCCTCATACAGAGCCCTACCTGCACACCTACTCAGCTCGCTCATGTTCTTGATTGGTATAGCTGGACTGATCGTCCACTTGCTACATGCAAGGTCGCGCCGTAAACTCTGGCTAACGAGTCCCCCGGGCTCGATCGCATCCATCGTTTCGCTAACATCGCGATCCTGGTTACGGCGAGCTGCTGCTGCCTTACGACGATGAATCCCGGAATGCGGTCCTAGACTCAGTGGCTTGAAGTTTCACCTGGACCAGCGTACGGGTGCTATCGTCGCTGAGGAGGGCCGCGGATTTGACGCCAGCGGTGACAAGGCGTCCCTGCTCGGGCACGAAGAAGTGTTTAGAAGCCCCATGTTCTGAGGGGATAGTTCCTTGCGCTTGTCAAGATGTCCTTTCAAAGACAAGGACTGACCATGATATACGTCCGATACCGAAGATCGGTCACCAAGTACATTAATGTACACCCATAGTTAACGTACACCACAATACTCTCGTTCCTTACCAATCATCATCTGAAAAGTCATCTATTGCACGAGCGACAGCGGGCGGTGCTGATTCCAAGTCGTTCGGATCGCATTCGCCGAAATCATTAGGGTCCTCCTCCTCGTCGATATCGTTTCGGGCTTCTTGCTTCGGAGCTGGTCCAGGCAATAGTTCCGCACAGGGTGCTTCACCTTCCGCACGATGGCTGCGTTGTTCGTCGATGGCAGCACCCTCAGCCATGGATTTCCACATCCGAAGTTGCAGGCTACAATCCTTGATGATGATTTTCCTCGAATCCTGGGAGGAAGGACTCACAGGCTGTCGTCGCCACCACACGTGCGAGTATCAGTTTGAATGCGTAAAATTTTCGCGGTCTCCGGTGGTGTTTCGGGTGATTTGGACTCCATCAAAGCATAGAACATTTTTTGTATGTCAACAACGTATGCAGTGGGGTGTTTGAGTGCGCCATGACGGAGGCTGGACTGTACTCCCCGATCTTGGGATTCCGTTGGACGAGAGTAATCCTGACGATAGGCTGATTCAGGCCCTCTCTGAGACGAACACGAGCGGGAATGACGCTGCATCTTGACGAAGGTTTTATAAGTTGCTGACACGCGCGGGAAAACGTAAATGGCGTTTTATGGACACACCTTGTCCCCAGTGGGATTGAGAGGAAGTAAACCGGACAGGCCTGACTCAAAGGAATCAATATCAATGCCAGCACGACCCAAAATGCTTCGAGTCATCTCTTCATCGTGACACAGCACGATCAACGGCATTCCGCTCTTCTGCGCATCGTGGTCGAACAGAGTGCGCAATCTCTGAGGTAATTCAGGTTTGGTAATCTCCTCTACTTTCGAATGATTTGGCAACTGCGATTCACGTTAAGCGGATGCCCGTGAAGATAAACGAGGCTTGTTTACGTTACCTTGGAGTGCGGATTCTTTGCTGCTTGTTTCAATTTGAGATGCAGTGTGGTCCCCGTAAGAGTATCAAAGAAACTGGGGAAATGGGCATCCGTGATACCCACCTCAATCAAGTTCGGATTCTGCAAACGCTCGTCTCTGCGCCGTTTGTCGACAGACCATTGCACGAAGACAATCGAGATAACTCGCACGCCTGCCAACCAAGTTGGTGGTGATAGAGCGAACTTCTCTGGCATAATCAGTTTGGCCAAGAGGTGGTAAAGCATGCTACAGAAAAAATAATGTAACCACCGAATACGATCTAATTGCGAACGTAATTTATCATACCGCTGTTGCTCGACATAAGCACGGTAGTGCACTGAGATCGGCCCAGCGACGTAGCCGCGATTGGCTTGGCTATTGTCTTTGGGTTCCTCTGTCTCTCGCCGATTCTTGTTTCTCGGTCTTTGTTTGTACGTGACCAGCTTCGACGACAACTCTGCTTCTGTACGAAAATAGATAGGAGACAACGAGAGGAAATCGGATGATCGCCAGGACCTCCTCGGTATGCTCAGCCTGTGTTTTTGGGTAAACGAATGCATTTGCTCCGTGGAAAGCAAGACGTAGGAGGCGCCAGAAGGCAATATGCCTTGGGCGAATCAGAACAACGTTCGATGAAACGGCGTCCCACCGATCATACCTAAGACTAGTTCAAGGGGCGCATCCGAACCTCCAGGTCTAAAATATTTGGAGCGTTCAGACGCGAGCGCACGGATCATGGGTTTGTCGTCGTATTGTTTAAACCTGGAACTCGTAGATGCATATACAGAAGTAGAATCGAACAGCACACCCACACACCATCCATTCGAATGGGCCCGAAAGCCTGATACTTGGTAGAAGTCGGTTTGTATAGTCATAATTAAGAGATTGAAGAGCGTTTTGAGGCGTGGTAGTACACAACGGTGGGTGGGTGCAGCGAGGGCCCCTGGTTTTAATATTCGCGTACTCCCATCTATCACGTGACGCAGGTTTTTGCATCTGCAAAATTACCCGAGGGGATGAGCAGCGTATGGATGCCTCCGTTTGGTAAGGTCTTAAAACTGTGTAGCCGGTATTATGGCATGCACTGGTGCAGTCTGGTTGCCATCTTATCAAGGTTCCGACGAAATTATCTGAGATTATCAGCCTTTACTAGTAGTCGAGATTATCAACTCAAATACACCATCAATCAGGAAATTGTATTCTACGAGGCTGGGTCAACATAATGTGTGAGTAGTTCTTGTCCATGCCGAATGATGTCTAAGGTAAGTTTCTCGAAGTGTGTTGACAGATCTGGATCCCCCCTTACAGTCTGAATGCACTGCTGTGCATCAAGGTAGTGCGGTTCGTAGACTGTCCACCTCAAACTCTGGTTCTCAACCCCTTTTGAGAGCAACAAGAGCCCATTGGATGATGGTGACAGTGAATGTGATAAGACAATCAATATTTCTTGTATTGGGTGGGATAGCATTTGATAGCTTCCCTTGGGGAGAGTAGATCAGTCTCGTGGATTATTGTACTCACAGCAGGGTGGTGGAAAGTGGCACACAATGTTTGCCCTGTTGGAAGCTATATCCAAGGTCAGTGCTGCAATGAATTCCCAATTGGTTGAGTGAGGTATACTGTGATCGTGGCATCTGTGAAAGTCCACTTGTCAAGGAGCTGGTCAATTGCTGGGCACCAGACTGTGCCAATTGGACACTGCACATCGAATTGGAATCCTCAGGCTGTAAGCATCCTTGATCATGATCCAGGCAACAGTCTTGAATGTTGTTGTAACTTCGTTCAGAGTGTGTTTAGCAGCAGCACAAAATTTATCTTTGTTGTGTTTGTTCTCAAGCCAGATACCTGCAATATGATGCGAATTTAGACTTGTTAACCACTAATAAAGAAAGGAATTTATGACTTGAGTTGTTGAGAAACCTTCCTGCGAGCTCCACAGCTAGCTGCTCGATGAACTCTGCATCGGCACCTGACCACAGTGGCTGCATCATAACAAAGTAACAGCGGATATGGCTTCAGGCCTCCTCCTTCATGTTTTTGATGGCAAACTCAGGGATTGTGTTGCTTCCTGATGGTGGGAGCTTGGGTTGCAACAGGCACAGTCATCACATGTGGTAGGAGGATTAGTGGCTAGCATTAGAACTTGGACTGGGGGTAAACAGACAGGTTGTGATGCCTTAGCTGCCTTCTGAGCAGCTCACCATGTATCTGGTACAATACAAATACTGATCAAACACCTCCCCTCTGGTAGCCTCTCCAGGGTGGCTCAACCTAATTGGAACATGAGTAGCTACATAGTCATTTGTAGTTAAGGACATGTCATGTGGCACAGATAGTTCACCAGAGAATAGAAGGTTGGGGTGATGTGGGTGTTCGGTATGCTGTCAGAGCTCATGGAAATCCATGATGGACCAGGATTGCATAGTGGATGAAGTGGGTGTAAGTTGATGGAATTGCTGCCAGGGCATGATTGTCAAGACATGGCCATGTCATGCCTGAGGGGCTTGGATGTTGTTGGCTGATTGTAACCACATTGCCCATCGCATTATGTTCCTGTAGTCAATGTCTGTGAGCTAGTGTTTGAATACATAAACAATATGATTACTTGCCCTATTGTCAAATCCTGCATCGGTTGGGAAATTGGGAAAGGGGATCGAGAATCCATAGCCTTGGCTGCTTGAGGGGCCTGAGTGAGATTGGGTGATCATAACCTCATCACCCATCACACTATAGTCCTGTAGTCGAATGTTTGTCAGTTTGGGTTCAATACATATCCAGTTACTTGCCCAGTTATCAAATCCTGTGTTTGTTGGGAGATCAGAGACAGGGAAGGGGAAGGGGAAATGATGACTTTGGTCACTTGAGGGGCCTGAGAGAGGTTGGCGAAACATCGTTCCATTGCCCATCGCACTACACCCCTGTAGTCGATGCATGTTAGTGAGGATTTGCTATGTATTAGATTACTTGCCCCACTGTCAAATCCTGGATCCATAGGATGGTGGCAGAGAGGGTAGGGGAGGGAGAGATTCAGTAGGCTGTGGCAATCACAAGGGTTGACTGATATAACCAGATGAAATGCATGCAACAATACAATTCAAAAAGCAAATACACAGGAACAGCTTTGAACAGGTAAACAACAGAGCTGCAGCCAGCAGTCAGTTACTATATATATATATAATGCATGAGACTCACCTACTGCTCATTTCCACCTCAGATCATCGATAATCATGTGCTATCTACAGGGCTCAACCCTCATCCTCACTGTCATCCACCTCTGATCTTGCAGATCTGTCACTGGCCTCACAGTCTGATGGGCCCTCCACCTTGTCTGAAGAATGAAGATGGCCCTGCACTTCCTCTTCAAGTTGATTGAGTTGCATATCCACAGTATCCAAGGTCATGACCTCTTCGTTGTACACCTCATGGTTGAAGGCTATGAGACTTTTGACATTGTCCATTTCCACTGCACATTCTAGATTCACCTCACCAGCTTTGCCTGCCAAAGAATCACTGTAATCCTTTTGGTCTTCTTTGCAGATATGCTTCATAAGCCTGCCATAGTGTTCAGCTTCCTTGAGTTCCCAAGCTGAGGCCAGTGCTTGATAACATCTAGTCTCTGTTACGCTTCCGTCAGGGGTCTTTCCTTTTTCAACTCTTTGCGGTCATGTGCGTCACATGCCTTGTCGCATCCCTAATAATCATTGCCATCCTAGGGGCTTGAATGCTCCAGGGAACGTTCGGATCTCCTGCTGTCACAGTATTTCCAATACTGATCGAGACCGCATTGCCACTGTGATCCGGTATTCCACTGCCCTCTCTGATGGACGACTTGTTTACTTCTTGCTTTTATGACTTGTTTATGTTGCCTAGATGTTGTACTATAGCTCTGGTGTCAGGCTCCTCACTGCACATTGATTGCACCAGCCGGTACAGCCTTCGTCTCCCTGCCTACCCTCATCTTTGACACCATATGACTCCTTTCTATTTCATTGATGAACTTGTTGATTACTGCAGATACACGTTGCGACGCATCCATCATGACTAGTACAGTACTCATACTTAGGAGTATATAATCCTATGTACCTCTACCTGTATCTGCAGTTTTTCGATAGCTTGCAACTGAGCTTCATCCCTTTGATCTAATCCTTGTTCTCTCTCTGTGCAAACAACCTTAGGGACTTGCCAGCAGACAGAACCTCTGCCAGATTACTTCGATAACTCAGCCATAGGGGTTACGACAAGTTTGGCCCGTAGACTCCCACCTCACGTGCTTCATGCCTATTCCATTTGAAGAAGTCACCATGCTCTGGGCATAACAAAATTGAAAAACTCCACGCAGCTTTCGGGACTCGTCAACCTCTTCACGAAAAGTCTACTTATCCCTTCGGTTACTGAACTTCAACAAACTGAACTCCATCTCCGAGGCTCGTTGGTTTCCCTCAGTGTAAAGACTAACTTGCCTTTTCTTCTTACTCTTGCCTCTCAACTCGGATCCCATGAACCGATAACAAAATTGAGAAGCACCCCTCTACCCTCAATCAAGTTCACCACTCTACAGGCAGCCATTAGGCTTTAATAGATCGCCTCCCTAGAGTGTAGCGCTCGTGTCTCCCTACACTGTAAAGTCACTCGTGCACCACCTCTCTACACTGACAGGTTTCTTTCGAGAAATAAATCCTCCCTCAGCCTTCATTATCACTTCTCAGTTAAAGTGTCTAACCCTCAGAAGTTGAGACCTCCAGTCCCTCCCTGATCTATGCTGTTAGGACTTGGAAGGAACCCGCCTTTACCCCCATTACCAGGAAGACTAGGGCCATCAGCCACAGCTAGTAATCCTCGGTTATCATATCTGTCCTGTTTTAGGGAATCGGAAGTCACGCTTAGTTCAGAAGAAGAAGACGATCAGAAGTCCGATACTTCTTTTGGATCAGTCCTCAAGGAAGAACAAGAAGCACTGCAAATTACCTGTTATGTCCATGACACTTGGTCACAGAGAATCAGCCCCTGAGATGCCACCGAAGGTTTTCTCCGAAGTGGAGCTGAAGGAAAGGTTGGAAGAATAGAGGTGCTCTTTGGCGGAAGACTGGTGCAAGATAGCTGGTGGACAGTCAAGCGACCCTTTTCCAACAGGAACACCTATGGACTCAGGCTCTACGAGCTTGGTACGCCAGGAACTATGGAAAGGTAATTCCCCCAGAGGACCCCATTGGTGGGCCCAGTAAGGGTAAGGCCCCAGTAGATCCCGATGACTCAGTATGATGTCTGCCCACCCAATGGAGGTAGGGAGTTTAATGTCGGGTGCATCCTGGAGAATATGATGGAAGCCACAATGGGCTTCAGACTTGGATCATGCAAGTCGAAGGATACTTGAACCTAAACAAGCATGTCTACAACACAGAGTCACTCAAGATCTTGTTTCGCCCTCACCTATATGACCAAAGGAGCTGCTGTTTCCTTCGCTGAAAACTACCAAAACAAAAATAAGCTTCTCGACGGAACTATCTGGTACTCCGACACCTTCCAGTGATTCAGTCGAATGTCTCAAAGCTACTTTTGAGTCTGGAGATCAAACAGCGCTAGCAATCCTTCATCTCTCTGACATCTCTCAAGGCAAACTGAGAACTTGAGTCATACATCGCTGAGTTTATGGGGCTCGTTAATAAGGCTCAATTAAAGGAAGAGTTGTGTGAAGCAGGGATCTTCTTGGAACAGGATTGAACAAAGAATATCGCAATTGGGTTCTCAATTCTGGACATGCCCCCTCCACCATAATCGAGTGGATCCAGTGCACAGGAGAAGCGCGAACCACGATCGCTACCAAACATATCCTTGAAGGGAAGGAATCTCGGTATGAATGCAAATTCATTCATTACCG